AAAAGTCTTTCTGAACAGAAGCTTGTTAGTCAAGACCAAAGTCGCCGTGTACAGGGCGGTATGCCTCTCCATTCTACTCTACGCGAGTGAGACATGGACCCCATACAGGCACCACATCCGCACATTAGAACAGTTCCACATCCGTTGCCTACAGAAGATATTGGGACTCAAGTGGTGGCATAAAGTTCCTCACACAGAGATCCGACGTAGAGCCAACATCGAGCCCCTAGCGGCCATACTTCTGCAGAGGCAACTCAGATGGGTAGGGCATGTGATCCGCATGCCTGAAAACCGGCTACCAAGGCAGATGTTGTACGGTGAGCTTTCCGCGGGCAAACGCACCGTAGGTGGCCAGCGCAAGAGGTTCAAGGACTGCTTGAAAAGTAACCTGAAGTCCTGTGGCATCGAGCCACAAAGTCTTGAACGACTAGCAGCTGACAGAAACAGTTGGAGACAGGTATGCTCGACAGCTACCGAATCGTACACAGACTGCTACAACCAGAGGGCGGAGACCAGCAGAGCAAGAAGACACATGCCGGCTCAGCAACAAGGACAACACATCTGCGAGATATGCGGCCGCGTCTTAGCAGCTAGAATCGGCCTAATCAGCCATCGAAGAACACATCGAGTGAGAGAGACAGAGAGTCAACAATGAGGGACGTCATCTTCGAAACCGAAGGACTGCCTTAAGCAACACCCATTTCCGGTTAATTGTTAGCTCCGGGTGTCTTTGATATCGACACCTGTTAATCCTGGCCCATGCAGAATAGAGCTCCTGGAATTTCGCGGACTGGACAAGATATAACGTCGTGGCGCACCTGTGTTTGTCAGAGTGTCATATAACAATATACAACCATATCATCTTCTTTGACAAGACGAAAGTTTTATGATCGATCGCCATGGTCAAACATGTTCTAAGATTGAAGAGGTGAGAAATGATGGCTGTTCTGGAGTTGGAAAGTTGATAGTTTGCGAAAATTAATGTGTTTGCCCCCTTCCTATTTCCTATTGAGTCGACCAGTGCTTCACCTCTGTTGCTCCCGTGTCAAGAAGGGTAACAAGGAAGCAAGAGATCACGTAGTGGGTCGACAGGACTTCAAAGCAAAGTTCCCCCACGCTAGTTATCATTTTCCGGCAGACTTTGGAGCCCCTTCCGGCCAGGAAAATTCTAGAAGTGTAGGAAGTAATGCGGGCTTTGTTTCTAATCTTGGAAGTATTTCCCGCGATTTCTCGCGCTGTTGCCGTCTTTAGGTCGGATCGTTTAGGCTATCTCCAGATCAGAAAATTGGAAGACAGTCTTTGTCTTATTCGTGCCCATGATAACACGCAATGATCTCTCCTTGTCATGGAAAATGCACATCTTTATCCATAAGAATGAATGGATTCTCCCGGAATTCTGTCACCGCTGATGTCCAAATCGCAACTGTTTCTAATACCGTACACGCTTCCAGCGGCGCACGCCAGTGGCCAACTTAAATACCTCACTGTGCACCATGGCCAGGGTCTTCAGTCGGCTGTAATTTGATTAAAAGCAAAGGGGCGAACTAAAACAACACAAGTATTTGTTACAGTTGGACGAGATCTACAAAAATGTAACAGCCAAGAATTAGTCCATCTCGCAAAACTGGAGGAGAGTCGTTTCTTCCCTCAATTTATAATTTTCTTTTCCTGTTGTACAAGTTTTTTTTTTAAATATTCCTCACTTTTCTTTGGAAAAACATCTTTACTCCAACGATAACTTTGAAAATGGGACAACTTTGATTTGGTCGGAATCGGCTGCAGCTGAACGTGCGGCTATGTACCGTTGAACGCAACTCTGTCAAATCTCAAAACGTGAACTTGACCGCCGCTGTCAACAAGCCGCCCGACCTCCTCATACAGGTCACTGAGACCGAATGTTAAGCACCCTCAGGCGTTTGTTATAGAGCCTACCTTGGGGCAACATGAAATTAAACTTCTGTATGCCATAGTATCAAACAATTTTGAGAGAGGGGCGTTCTATTAAAGCTAACGCGCCTTTTTCAAATGCACTGAGCCGAATTTCTTGCCTGAAGTATGCAAGTGATATATGAGTTAAAGATGGCTATCTCTCTATTTGGCAAAGTATAAGACACTCAACCATACTCAAACTTATACCATGTTCTTCAATGACTATAAGCAAGGACACTGTATCTATAAGTATAATGTCCTTGCCGAAAGACTGTAAAATTAGAAGACTTTAGATCACTATCTTGTTGGCAGTGGCACAAGTATGCAAAAACGCGTCTAGCGCGACTCCAGAACGAGGAAAATGTCGCCAAGAAACACCAAACCGCGGCGGCGCACTTCTCGATTGTTACGGTTGGTGTAAGTCACGGCTGCTTTACTCCCGCCACGCGACATAACCAGCCTTAATGAAAACACCCCTCCAGTAGGTCAGAGGTCAGCCGTTAGAGGCCACGTTCAAAGCCATGCCTCCCCTCCCTATATCACTCACATCTCATTCCGCGCAGACTGCCGTCTCTCAGGGTTAAGCGGTTGACTTTGAACTTGGGCGGAGCGTGGGAGAGAGCGAGATATGATTTTACAGAGTAGCGTGTTGGGAATTGGCTTATTTCTTTATCAACCAAACTTTATTGGTCGGATAATTCTTGTACTAAACATTGTCAGGTAAATTTCATGGGTGATGCGATGCCATCTAGCCTCTACCAGGCTTCGGGAAGCGGCTGGATAGAGTAAAAATCGGTCAAATAGAGAGATAGCATGCCGGGGGACTTGGTCTGCTGGAGAGAACAGTTTGCCGCTCCCATGCGGCAAAATGTACTCTCTAGCGGACCAACTCCCAACCGATTTCTACTCTCTCCAGCCGCCTCCGGAAGCCTGGTAGAGGCTAGATGCCACCGTGTGTTAATCCAAGTGCAGGTGTGTTTTTCTGGCAACGTAAGCTTTGGGGGAACTTGTAAGTCTTATCAGGTGATTCTGTAAGCCATAGGTTATCTCGTACAGTCCAAACAGTCCGGCAACACCAAAAGACGGAGCCGCGACATGAAAGAGTTTTAAGTTTCTGTTTTCTTAGCCACAGATGTCCACGGCATATTACACTACAGGAACGACGTGTAGACATCTCATAACAACACAAGGGTACATGTGCAGTCGTGTCAAGTATAATAGACGTAGGGAAGACTCTGTGATTTTTGATAGGAATCATTGAGCTTTTAAGGTTTAAGCTAAGAAATGGAGGAGGGTATCTTACTAGTAATATTTCCTTCACTATCACAGGAAAATGAAACGTGTAATGTATACTAGATAAGACTCAATTTTACCTAAATTGTCCCCAATAAATGCCCGCTAACGTTTGAAATAACCTTGGGATCTGAAAGAGTATTTCATCTGGCACAAAATTTCCCCGAAACTTTCGTCTATTTGTAGAAGTGAGAGATTAACGTCACGTTGGATCAAGTTTAGCCGGGATATATAGACTTCGACTTCCTCAGTACAATGTATGTCATTTACCAGACTACCAATGGGTACGTTTCGATCCTTTTGCCTCACATGGCATCATCCAGCAAATATAGATTGGAATCGGAGCTAAACCGCTAACAGTTTTTCGACTTCTTCGAAAACAGGATGAACAACAGGATGAAATTCACCCACATGAGGATATAGGGCTGAACTTGTCACACTGTACGATCACGACCCCGACTTCCGAGCCATGTTTTTCTTGGCCATTCGTGCGACTTTAAAACTTCCCAAATCTGAATCAACAAGGAAACCGAATGTTTGGTTTGACGTCGCGACTTGCGGAATTTTTGGAAATATGCTGGATCCGGAAAGTTGGACCAGAAACATTTTGGGTCCCTTCCAGTGTGACTCAGAAAGTGGCGTCATGATGCCCAAAACGTCGTCAGGATTCAGTGTGGCGTTTTAGAAAACCCTGTCATATCATTATGCCCTACACGAGATCGCTAGATAAGATATAACGGAGGAAGAGAAAGAGGGCGAGATATATACATAGAGATGGGGAGGGGGGGGGGCAAAGCGAGGGGTAAAGTGTACTATGATGATGATGATGATGATGATGATACAAGCCCTGTGCAGTTTTAGAAAGTTGAAATAATGGTGACCGTTGTATTCGTTTTATCAACATATAACTTTTTGGCGTTGTCGTTAATCAATGAAAACAATACACCGACCAGAAACAACTTCCACACAGCCTAAACAGGTTGAAAGATATTAAAATAACACAAACAGAAAAGACCTGTGAGTGTCTTTCCTGACATGGTTTTGACACGGCCACGCACTTCCTGCGAGAATCCCCCATTAGCCGTTTCTCCCACTGAGTGCGTAATTCGTCCAATAACGATCGTTTAGTCTCGTGTAAATCCGTCTGGCCTCGAGTTCCAGCTCGGAAAACCCGAAAGCCAAACTCTGGGTACGAGAATCTCATAGAAAAGGGCACGAGGTTTAAGTTTTAAGTATACAACCTTGCATCAGGTTTCAGCTGTCTAAAGTACGCGCTGTTTGAACTGAGTTTGCCGAGCGGAAGCGATTTAACCAGATCCCTACTTACACTCTGTCATCGTGTCTACACTCATTCTCCTCGCCACAGCGGAAAATCGAGACATCAAAACCGCGTAAACTTTAGCTTGATATACAGGTCGGTGCTTGTCTAATATTAAACAAACTTGTCCAGTGTCGAAGCCGGTGGATTAGGTGGACGCTTTGATGTAGTGGTTCGGGTCGGCAGTCCTTTATCAGCGTGCCAGAATGTTTTGACTACTGCGGTTCTGGTCTGTAGACGTTTGTCTACCCTTATTAATACTTCCCCGTTCGTGTGGTGCAGATATGCTGTTGTCCGGTAGGTGGTGTTCATGGGTTCAAACCTTTCTTACCATATTTTGGTGACGCCCTAGGGGTGGATGCATTTATGGTAATTCGTTTCACTGCAATTTTTTTTCGGGTACAACGACACATCTATTTTGAGACTTTCCGACGAATGATATCAGTAGCACACAGCTTACCTGGCAAGTGTCCTTTCCTCCCGTCATTTTTCCCGCGCAAAGCATCTTGTCGGTGACGTAAGAGTTGTACGACTTGGGTTGGTTGCATACGTCATGGGGCACGATGGGAAGTTTGACCTCCTGGATAGTATGTGACTGGACCTTCTCTGTGGGGGAAAACACACACTTCTTAAGTGTACCCCTTTTTGGCAATGGTGAACGATAAATTGACTATTTCTCAGTTTATCCCGATTGAAAATTCGAAAAGTGGCTTGTGTTGGATGGACAGTCTAAAAGTAAATCACATGCAATAATTTGATGCGATAGACGTAGTTGCTCAAAAGTTGATTTGAAGGCTGCTACTAGCCTCTACCAGGCTTAGGAAGGCGACTGGAAATAGTAGAAAATTGGCCAAATAGAAAACAGTCAGGGGAGTTGGTCTGCTAGCTATAGATTCTTGATAGAGAGTACATTTTGCCTTGCCCCCCTCCCGAAGCCTGGAAGAGGATAGGCTGCTGCTTCTATCACACAAAACATAGGAGGCATCATATCGTCCCACGCACTCTCGGTCAGCCCCCAGCCGGCGGTGTAACAGGTGGCATGCTCGTCAAACTCTTCCCCAGACTCCGGCAGGCAGATGAAGTTGATCCCTCCCTCCGCAAACTCCACGGGCTGGTTCATTTTGATCAGGGCGATGTCGTTGTTCACTGTGTACTGTTAAAAATTATGGCAATGTCATGGTTGCGAAAATAGCTTCTCTGTAGTACTACGGAAATAGGTTTGTGGCTTATATGGGGAGGAGAGGACGTCAAATTTTCTGGCTAACAGGAGGAGCTGTATATCAGAAATTTACCGTCTTCCCTTCCAATATTTACTTGGAGATGAGGACGCACGATGTACTACAAGTACGACAAGTGGCAAGTTTTACAACTAGATACCTGTGCTGATCATCAAAGACGCATGCAACGCTTGTGTCGTTATGTTCGAAAACGAACCGGTCCTCACCTGGTTGTAGCTGGCGTGGATGATGATGTGGGAGGCTTTTCGCGTCTGCTCGTAAGGGTCGTACGAGTTCTCGGTGAGGTAGTGTTTCCCTACCATCAGTTTTAGCATATCCGGGTACAGACTGGAGAGGAGGCCGACATGTATAGTTCGGATGGTTTCTATGTACGTGTACGGGCATGTTTGTGTTTGTGTGCGTTTGTGTTTGTGGGTATGTCTGTGCTGTCATGTACTACAGATATCCTAAACATAACCAACGCATTGCTTGTGTGACTAAGTCTATCGCATATCGTCCCAGATTGGCAAAGGCTTCAAGTTCGCTGAATGTCAACCGTTAGCATAGATATAGGCAGCAGGGTTGCAGCGAAAAACGTAAATGCAGATCGGCCACAGAAACCAATATGTGAGCATATCAAACAGTTCAGTATCCAGTCAATAAGAGTGCCAATCTCGTAAAAGAAGAAAGAAGTAGAATATATAAATAGAAAAGGATGACAAGCTCACTGAAATCCCATGCCGACGATGCAGTGCGCGGCCGTGGCGACCCACTGGCTGTCGATCAGCACGGAGCCGCAGTACGGCGTGGCGGTGTTCTCCTTCTTCAGCTGCACCAGCCACGGCCAGGCGCCCTCCGCCGCCGGGCTCCCGCCGATGATACGGTGCGAACCGACGTACGCGTTGACTTGTCGGGTACCGCACCCGGTCACTGTGACACACAAGGCAGTATACATGTCATCAAAGGTAGATTATAAGAGGTTTTTTTTTCAAGACAGAAGCTATGTTGAGCATATGCTAAAACGCGAATTGTGACGATTGCATCAATAAGTTAAGAGAGGCGCATCTTTCCTGAGTAGCTAGCTGCGCATCCATTCTTCCTGATTTTATACAAACAGACCTGTCCTTGGTGCTGAACACCATCCCGACAATCAACTATCCATTCCTTTGAGCTCGACCCCCCCCCCCCACCCACACACACATGGGCAAACGTATCTGTCCTTGGTGCTGAAAACAGCATCCATGTATGCTTTGTGCCGTGAGAAATATCGGTACCATTTCTAATGAGAAAAGTCTTACTTACGAGGCTCAGGGATGCACGGTGGCGGGGTTCCACAGTTGGTCGTCTCGGAGGACGGTCCCTCGCACGGCCGGGCGGTCACACACACCCTGGTGCGCGTCGTCTCTCCGTCGCAGACCTCCGAGCACTGTGACCAGTCTGTCCAGCTGCTCCAGACGCCCGGAGGGACCGGAGTGGTGGTCGCAGGGGCGGTGGTTGTCGTGGGGGGAGGGGGCGTCGGGTTGTTGGGATTCTGATCTAAAAGAGCGAGGAAGCATGGATCTCTAAACGAGTCATCATGACGAGCATACTGAAACATTTTTGAAAGTCAGCTCACATGGGAACACAAGGTTGTCATGGCGATAGCATCAAATCTACTCATGCATACATACATACATACATACATACATACATACATACATACATACATACATACATACATACATACATACATACAGGTAAAGAAAGAAGAGACAGTATAAGGAGAAGTAGTCGTACTTCCTGGTTGTGGCCCACAGTTGATCTCGTCAGAACCGTCCCCGCAGTCGTTGGAGCCGTCGCAGTGCCACTCCTGCCACACGCAGAATTCACCATGGGCGCACTCAAACGCGCCCGGCCAGCAGCGAGACTCAACTGCCGGACCAAACAACGATACATCATCGGTTTTTAAAATTTATTAACTAGAAAAGTGCAAAGCAAATGCATATGGTCTACTCTGTTAATTCTTACTCAAAACACATTAATATATATATGGCGATAGCAGTTTAAATCCCTCCTGCTATAAAATTGCAACATGATGTAACACAACACCAGTTACCATGGTGGTAGACTGTGGTAGACAGTCTGGTTCAGGTCATTGACCTTCTGTGTTTGGAGAGGAGGAAACAACGTCAAATAGAGCAAAAACAACGTCGGGATATGGGACACGTTTGTTGAGTCAATGAGATCCTTTGTCATTCCTTGTATCTGTATCTGTATAGCCGGTATAACCGCCCTTGGGCGTACGAAGGACCAAAACGCCAAAATTTGTGCTCAACGAAGGAACTAAATTCAACAGAGAAGGGACTAATTTCAACAGAGAATGAGCTAACTTCAACAGCGAAGGCGCTGTGCTCAGCGAACGTCCTGTGCTCAGCGAACGTACTGTGCTCAGCGAAGGAGCTGTGTTCAGCGAACGCACTGTGCTCAGCGAAGGAGCTGTGCTCAGCGAAGGGCTGTGTTCAGCGAAGGGGCTGTGCTCAGCGAAGGGGCTGTATTCAGCGAAGGGGCTGTGTTCAGCGAACGCACTGTGCTCAGCGAAGGGGCTGTGTTCAGCGAAGGGGCTGTGTTCAGCGAACGCACTGTGCTCAGCGAAGGGGCTGTGTTCAGCGAAGACCCTTTGCTCGATCAGTGTTGATGCCCTAACGGCTAGGTAGAATTATAGCACCATCTTTTCCTTTCCAATTAGACCCGACAGTCCTACAATTTATCCGACAGTCCTGCAATTTATCCAACAACCGGATTCAAAATATTACAATCATGAACTTTTAAGATGATTGTTATAAAATAGAGGAATGAATGACGACCTTTATTGGGCATTTCGCCACACTTGGTTAAGTATAGATCACAACAAAACAAGATACGAACGAACAGATACATGGTCTATTTGTATTTGTAAATCTTGGAGAGTGTGTTGGTTTATTACGGTTCCACGCACTGTGAATGATACACACGATGTAGACCATGGTCTCGTGCTTTCCATGATGTTTGGGTCTGATACTTGTACATTACTTTGTACAAGGGGGACTTGTTTTCTTGCGACACATAGAAAACTGTCTGATCATATTTTACCTACAACAATGAAACACTAACTAAAGAATATTTTTTAATACTAGTACCAGACACGTACGCTGTCAACACTGTTTTTTCTTCAATATGCTGTTATCTGATCTTAACCGCCATTGTTCTCATACTGAGACTCGTACGGAATGCAGGAAATCGCACCTCTGTGCCAGTCGTCCCTAAGCGGTTGACAAAGGTGATTAGGTGATTTGGAGCTTGGGGGATTAGGGTGGGTCTCTCGACAACTTTTACGCTTTTATATAGCCTCTACCAGGCTTGGGGAGGCAGCTGGAAAGAGTAGAAATCGGCCAAATAGAGAGATAAGCATGCCAAGGGGAGTTTGTCCGTTGAGATAACAGTTCGCCGGCTAGCTTTTATACCGAATTGAATTTTCTAGAAACACAATCACTTAAAAAATAGTAGGTCATCTTGATACAAATTACAAGATGTCAAATAGCTTTCCTACGCCAAACGCCATGAACTCGAGAGCACAAGACAAGTTTGGGCGACCCCACGTAGTATGACTACAAACACATGGTTCGCGTCACCTTCAAAACACTTATTAATAAGTATAGTACAGTCAATTAATGCGTGGAAAACAGCTCTATAAGAAGCTAGAATGGCTGCACTGTGTGTACTATTCACAGTGAGTGGTGCCGTAAAACCAAACACTATCATCCAAGATTTACAAATGCAGATAACCGATCTAGGCCAAGCTATATATTCTGGAATGCAGTACTTTTTTGAAGTAACGTCATCCATGTATATGTTTTCATAGTGCGTAGAGCAAGGAGCCAGTAAAACAGTTAGGAGAAGCCAGAAAGGCTGCATTGGGTTTTGGGTTATTTTTGACGTGTTTTTTAGGCTTTGTTAACGGGGTTTCTTTTTGCGATGGGACTTTTTTGGGTGAAAAAATTCCAGTGCAAAAAAGAATCCCGATAAAAAGCCTAAAATTAAAAACGCACCAAAAATAACCCCAAACCCAAACCTCTGCTTGGACTGGAGAGTACTGCATCGTGTGTATCATTCACAGTGCGTGGAGCCGTAATAAACCAACACACTCTCCAAGATTTACAAATACAAATAGACCATGTATCTGTTCGTTCGTATCTTGTTTTGTTGTGATCTATACTTAACCAAGTGTGGCGAAATGCCCAATAAAGGTCGTCATTCATTCCTCTATTTTATAACAATCATCTTAAAAGTTCATGATTGTAATATTTTGAATCCGGTTGTTGGATAAATTGCAGGACTGTTGGATAAATTGTAGGACTGTCGGGTCTAATTGGAAAGGAAAAGATGGTGCTATAATTCTACCTAGCCGTTAGGGCATCAACACTGATCGAGCAAAGGGTCTTCGCTAAACACAGCCCCTTCGCTGAGCACAGTGCGTTCGCTGAACACAGCCCCTTCGCTGAACACAGCCCCTTCGCTGAGCACAGTGCGTTCGCTGAACACAGCTCCTTCGCTGAGCACAGTACGTTCGCTGAGCACAGGACGTTCGCTGAGCACAGCGCCTTCGCTGTTGAAGTTAGCTCATTCTCTGTTGAAATTAGTCCCTTCTCTGTTGAATTTAGTTCCTTCGTTGAGCACAAATTTTGGCGTTTTGGTCCTTCGTATGGGCGTAACACACCAGCTTCGCAGGCATTACACCGAACGACTTGTTACTCCTAACCCTTGAACATCTAACTCCAAACATTGTTTAAAGTTATCGAATGATAATACCCCTCCTGTACTTGTTGATAGCGATTTGGTTTTTTTTTACTTACGTGGGCCGCACTCTTCAGTGGACTCATCCTTGTAGTCCTTACAGTCCAGTATGTGGTCACATTTCCAGTTGTCGGACACGCAGATGACGCCGTTGGCACCCAGACAGCTGAACAATCCTTGTCCACAGTCTGTCAACATAGCAGTTAGGAGTCTTACATGCAATTCCATGTTCTCTAGTGTAGCCTTGTACAACGTCAAACTTCGTGCGAAGAAAACTAAATCAATATAAAAAACAAATCAATATCAAAAACCAATCAATCAAGAAAGCAAGAATTAATGACAGATACGAAACCAACCACAGTTCAGTTCGTCCCTTCCGTCCACACAGTCACGGATGCCGTCACATATCCACTTCCAGGGAACGAGGGTCTTCTCTGTTCCTATCGGTCGGCGCCGACTGTCTGCTGCCTGTCTCTTCTTGCGAGAACCAATGTCACACTCTGTTAACAAAAAAACATGAAAATAGCATGTTCTGTCGAAAATTCGTGAAAAATTCTAATCAAAATTTCCGGAAACCTTAAAAGTTGTTTCCCTTTTATTTCAACTCGTCTGCCTGTCGCAACTGAATATTATGAGCACCTTCCTTTCTGAGTACAAGTAACAGTCTTTGAGAGAATGGCCGGTCGCCATCTTGGATCAACCCACCCCACCAACATGGCGACGGTGGCTACCTAGTTTGCATAAATTGTGACGTCACGAGCAAACATCCTATGCTGTTTGATAACATCGCACAGTACATTTATCATCAGGAAAAACTGCTCACCAAAACACATGTTCTCATCGCTGCCATCCGCACAGTCCACGATGACGTCACACTGCCACCTCCAGGGGATGCACTCGTCCCCAGACTGACAGGCCCACTGGTTGTACCCGCAGCCACCGTGAGACTTCACATCGGGGCGGTGGGACTCCGCGCTGCCGTTAACTGAAATGGACGGAAAGAATATTAAAGACCACTTCTAATTTTTGGGGGATGTCCCAGAGATTTTTAGGAGTGGGGGCAATTTTTCGCATAGCCCATTAGATATCTTCATAGAGGCATTTTATTGACGTCATAAAGATTATCATATGAATCCCGGCGACCAGGTGTTGGCAGCTAAATTGATTAAGTAGCAGCATGTTGGCCAATTTCTGTCACTGTCATCTAACATGCATATAGCGAATATGAAAAACCTGTATAACTTTGATCATAATTGGTGTCACAAACATTTGACAGTTTCTCCTTATAGCAAATTTTTGGTTGTTTATAACATCAATGACTTAATTTTGTATTCCTTTTCCTTAATACATACCCAAGAAGTAAACGATTATCGTACAAGACCTTGTATAAAATGATAATATCTTGGTTCTCCAGTGTTAATTTTGCAATTATCCATTTTCGGTCTATTCACGTAAATTTGAGCAAGATACCGAAAATGCTCCCCTCCCTCTCTATGGCCTATATCATTGCAATGGTATGTATGCACATATATGTTCATATTAACTACGATTCAGTGACATTGAGCAACTTATTCTCAAGCAGGAGAAAATAATATTGGTAATACATATTGATAAATTCTTCTTTGTTTGTAAACCCTTGATCATTCGTTGCATAAACGAACCAAATCAAACCAAGAATATGCACTATCACGTGAGCAAGTTTGCAGAATGGTTGCTGTCCAGCCAAGGTAAATACAGGACAACATCAATAGTAGAGCAGTTTCTGCAAAAGACCAAAACAATGTTTAATAGCAAACGTGTATCTTAGAAAATACCTCTTCGAGCATTTCCAGTTCGATCCACGCTGTCAAGAGGACGAGGCGATGACAAAATGGCGGGCATAAGAGCAGACAGCAGTGCAAAAAAGACTACAAAATCCAGGAAACTAGCCATAACTGGTGGACAAAATGGCACAGCAGCTGAATGATGCACTACAGCAAGAGGTTCTTGAGGTAAAGAGGGGATGGATGGTCAACCTGTTGAAGAAATCCACGTTTTCATGGAGGTGTCATGCACCGTCCAACCGGCCTGACAATCCTTGTGATGCAGAGACTGAGCACCTGGTGTAGCACCTGATGAGTGATCAGAGTTAACTTCAGGAATTCGCAAAGGTGAGGACAATCACGTATATACCTGCAGTGCGGGTATAAGACGCCAGGAGCCACCCAAAGACGGTCATCTATTTGGAATTTGAGCAGATCTCGACTTCAAACGAGCGATCATTATGACAGGAAGTGGACATTAAAGAACATTTACTTGGCACATGATTACATCTGCTCCTTTGACCTTCGGGCGACATATGTCGTTGCCACTCATTGTAGTAAAGTCATGTCTGTTCTTTGTCGACGACTACCTCGACGAAAAGTTTGTTCCAGAACGTGTCACCAAAATAAGTTGCACGGTATCATGTTTCAAGTAGTTTAGTTATTCTGGAATGAAGTTGCGTGAGTGCGAACAGTGGAAATATGTATTACACAGTAATGACAACTGTCCATTCCTACAAAAACGTATTGAACCGGCCTTTTATGACGTTGTATGAGTCATTCTGTGACGGAGGAAAACGTTTCTGACAGTGACAATGAAAACAAAATGAAAACACGCTAGTGCTCTAATAGGATCTAAAACATGGGTTCCTTCCCGTCAAAGAGTAAAAAGAAAGAAGAGAAGCAAGGAAAGAATCAATCCCCGAAAAGTACGCCGGAAGAAGTTCGGCGCAAGGTACCCAGACGGACGGCCAGGAGAGCGTCGGCCGTGCCGGGGCTGGACACGATTCGGGACGATCCTGATGAAGAGTAGGTTTTTCACGTTCAGGCTGTTCCATGCATGTGGCCTATATGTGTGGCATTTGCATTTAGTTAGTGTTCCTAGTTCTACACCCATCCTCAGCGACACCAAGGGCCTTGGCTTGCATAAAAAAGCCCATGAACCCGTCTGGATCTTCTAACTTTTCAGCCTGTACATCGTAATTAGTGGGAGCCTGACAAAGGCTCCCAGGTCCCTTCCTCTCTGTTGGCTAATGCTATAGAACTAGCTGTAGCTAGGGCTGTTGTGTTTAAAAGCGTCCTCTAAATTCACAGCAGTCTTGTGCTTTGTTGCCCCACTTTTGAGCCATAGTGTTGCGGGTTCGAACCCCATCCTAGCGTTAGTGTTCTGAGAACCGATTTGCAAGGTAAGGGTTAGAGATCCTTGGAGGGGCTAAGCCAGAGATACCTTGTTAAACACATCAAGAACTAACCTCATATCAAAATGCACGTTAGCATCGCACCAGACTAAGCAGAGTATAACCAAGCATACCGACATTGTCTCACAGAGACGCCGGTAGCTGGGTCTTCGGCGGCGGCTCATCGGAGAGGGCGAACATTAACATCCCTGACGTCACGGAGGGGGCGGACGTCTCCGACTGGAGCAGATCATCAGATCATAGCATCACACCGGACATTCCTACATCTAGATCATCAGAACAGGTCTAGGGAGGGAACCAGACAAAACTGTACCGTTCCAGTATGACAGAACTGGATAGGAACTGTTAGTTTGTGTGCACCTATCTTATTTTCTTGCCCATGGTACACAGAATCCAAAACTGATGCGATTTATGGTTTAGACTATGTAAAGATCCGTCAGCAAATATCAGAATGCTTTTTTAAACGGTACTATAATGCCACTGTCTATCTTCAATATTGGTCAGCTGAGCTGAGAAGGATACAACTTTTTACATTTTTCGGTACGCGGTGGGAACATTTGTCTCGAGCCATTGTACACGTTGTGCCCCGTGCAATTATTAGACATCAATGAATCAGTGTATGTGAATATGATGTAGTAGGAAGAGTTAAAAAGGAAACCTGAAAACGAACTGATTGAGTGTTAAACACCTTTCTTTTGTCGGCATCTTGTCGGCACATGGACGTCTTGAAGACCAGTAAATGTCAGTCATCTACGCACATCCCAGTCTTGTGTTTTCGGGGGCCAAAGTCAGTTACTAGTATTTAGTTAGCGCATGTGTCTATGAACCAGTTGAAGTGACTTATTGGTGTATGGGGAATGAATTTCCGTACCTTCATATTCAACCGTCATTGTATGCAACAAAACATAACTTCCAATTGGAGCCTCACATATGTCATTACCGGGCAGTTTACTCACCAATTCACGAAGCAGCGTTTGGCAGACATCGTCACAGAGGAGGCAGTAATGTGTAGGAATCAAACTTGATTCCATCCTTCACTAGCCTCCCATTTCTTGCCCAGGTGGGGCACTGTCATGACTGGTCTCCGTCCACAATGGCATCAGTGTTCTAGCGTGCCATTGAACATAAAGAGACCCCTAATGGTTAGGGCAGGATTACATTCTTTCTAGTAGATAAAATCAATGAATGTACAATACATGTCCTTCGTTACTTCATATCAAGCACTTCAGATATACTAGTAAATGCGATGTCCTTGCATCAGGGGCCATTGCTACAGAAATACCACCGTCGAAAATCCATTTCAATTTGTCAATACAGATGGGCCTAATCTAAATGACAATATTGTACACATTGTACGGTTTGCACCTAGATTGTAGTCATGTCACCACTAATAGCTAGGTCAAATCGGTATCAGTTGAACTTGAATCTCACGTTTTATCGTATACCAGTCCCACTGGCATTTCAACAGTGCGAGCCAGATGTAAAGTTAGTTTCAAGATAAAACCAATCGAGTCAGTGATCATATCTAAGCTCTAATGTAACTGTAGTCCTAACAATAACTAATACATGTGCAACGGACTAGCGAGGAAGACAAATTCAGTTCTTACCCAGACAACTTTGTCGATCATGGAGCTGGAAATGATCTACCCAACTTTTGTGTGGAGCATAAAATGGCACACTTACTTCTGTTCTCACTGAGAAAGTCCAAACGTCATAGAAGTGAAAATGGTAACGTCATAAGATAAGATGACCACTAAATGCGGTGACCCTCCATTGACCGCAGATGACCCTCGTGTCCTCAACTGACCCCAAGAGCAACTGCCCTGCATGTTATCGTAGAACGCCACATCTAAATATAACGTTACGTTATGTTGTAGTAAACAAGTCCTTATTCTGTAAAATAACACTATGACAGTCACTATAATTTTTGCTGTAATGGGTTTTGCCAAGCACAACCATTCAGACATATCTCCAATGTGGTTGAATCTTCAACCATCTGAGATCACGAAGACTTTCAGCTTGAAATTTATTTTCGATTTCTACCAAACATACATCAACGTCACAAAGAAATATGACGAAACAGCGGAGCTATTCGCTTGACAGTGTAGCCTTGGTCAGAGCGCAACGCCCCCGAAGAAAAAGGGCGCCTCTCTTGAAGATTTAACATGGGCAGACTTGTCAACAAGCATCTTGCTGACACGTGATCAAAATGGGATGTACGATCTCAAAAAAAGCCTCTTCTATCCACCTGCTAAAACGGGCGGAAACAATTTCATACGGCCCAACGATCACCGTGGAAGACGACGACGATTTCACTATCTCTCCCCAAGAAGAGCTACAGAGGATGAACAGGGCCCGAAGACGGTCTCGCAGACGGTCTTCCATCGCTCCAGGGGTGGCCGCAATCGCCGAAGAACAAGAAGAAGGGTGCGAAAAAGAACTCCTTTCTTGTTGTTTCCTACGCTTTTTATAATAAGCAATTCTGACAATTCTTGGCTTCATTTTAGTTTTTCTTCTCTAAAATGGAAACAAACTACCGGTACAATTTTTATTCCCCATGCAGATCAGCAAGTGACCATGCTTTTGGCGGGAAGGGCCTTGTGGCTGGCCCGTTCTCTTCACCACGAGGCTCCATCTCACTAGACCCCGGCACAGGACCGCTAGTAGGAGCTGTCACTCCGGACTCGCTGAGACCGGACTTGCTGAGACCGGACTTGCTGAGACCGAAAGGGCCTACCGAACTCCCAAGGCTCTCAGAAGACTCACTGGACGAGGACGAGAGCTGGTGAAATGTTCAGGCCGTGGTTGGACAATGTTATTGCCACTGACTGTGATCATTTCTCATGGCAGAATTTATAGAGTATTATTATGACGTCACGATGAACATGTGATCAACAACTTCTGAGAACATATATCATAAAATTCATTTCATAAAGTTGCTTAACTTCTGTGAAGTTTTTATTTTCACAATATACAAAAACAGAATTGTAATCAAATGATGAACCCGCACGAAAAGGATCTTAGATGACTGGCAAAAGTGAAGAAAATCAGACCCACAAAAAGTACAAAATGGTGTCACTACAGTGCAAAAGGTAACACTGCGGAGCAATATTGCACAAAGAAGCAAGACAATGTAGCTTCTGAAACTATATCTGTAGCAGTACAGCAGTGTTCAATACATCTCTATACATGTCCTATAATTGTAATCTCAAGGTTTGCAATATAGAATCTACTTCTTCATTTGTGGAGTTTTCATCATGTACAGGAAAACGTTACAACAGTACCAAGCCAAAGTCAATTTGTTTTTGCATCAAACCTACAATCTTCAGTTGCTAATTCTATACAACCACAACCACCAAATCATGATAGAATATCAACAACACAATATAAGCCAGAATGGTGCATATCTTTTGTTTTTCATATCTTTTTGTCCCACCACTTTCCACCATAGAAACAAGATCACAGTATCTTAAAAAAAATACACCCTTTACCCCATCTTCTTTGGTAACTCATTTGCCCAGCATTTGCATTGTATATGTTGATTACAAGTAGTGTAAGTAGCACTTTAAATCTACAGTTATATTCTCTCCCCTACCCCATTAGCAGGGATTGCAGCTATACTGGCAAGGAAGGTCCCTTTCTGTTTTTAACACTTGAAATAGAACAATTTATAGTAATTCTTTGTGAAAGTAGAATCTACTTCCATTCAAGGAGCTTACAGGGAAAAGGTCTCCCTTGGTCCATTCTATGCAGTTGTCATTACTCTCCAAGGAGCACTACAGGTCTTATAAAAGATGGACTATTCGAAGATGGTTGAATTGAGCTTCCTAGTCTTCTGAGGAACCAGAGTCGCGGCGCACACGTGCAGGTGGGCCACTGGCTGCCCCACCCATGGCCCCGATCAGACCCCCGGCAGTGTTGAAGAGGTTGATGGGAGAAGAGCCATCTGTGATCAGGGTAGAGGTCAGACCCAGACCCTTCAGTAGTTTGACCTGTGGATGGGGAGATAACATCATTAGTGACATTGTAAATAATCATAGCATGTGTTAAAGGCATCAGGTGGTTTTTGTGAAACAAAACAGGACAACACATAGAGAAATATAAGAAAAACCCTGACCTGTAGCTCGGGCCCAGCCAGGGCGATAGACTGGATAGTCTGAGCACCAATGGCATCCACCTGGTTCTTGAACTTCTGTGTCTCGATGTCGGCCATTTCCCTTAGCTTGGCCACTTCCATGTCATTCTGCTCCCGCAAGTACTTTAGCTCAGCCTCACGTGCTGTGGTCAGGCGCTCAAGCTCAGATTCCTGTAGAATTAAGATGAGGTCAAGTTAAGTATATTCCCATGGCTGATATTTATTTTTGGACACAGGCATTTAAAAATCTATAGTCTTCTGAAAATGAGCAAATTCTAAATGACCATTGAAAAATAATTTTTCATTCCGGCATGAGATGTCATACAGAAAATCAAGTTTATGAAGCCTAATACAACAAGTTTGGGGCCTTGCCCAGTACGATATATAGATATAGAAGGGAACCTACAGCTTCAATCTTGGAGGCCTGTGCCTTGAGCTTGGCCTGCTCCACCGCCGCCTCTCCTTCGATCCTGGCAGCCTCGGCGCGAGACTGGGCCTCTGCTTTGGCCTGGCCTGTACTTTCCACTGCAGCACTGAAGAAGGAAGGAACCATAATCAAATTCAGTGAAGTTAACAGTCAGGCATTCGTGGAAAGACGAAATAAAATCTTACGAGTTAGTAGCACTTACTGTAGATGTTATATGAATGCAAGTTTGCACTTAGTGGATTCTTTGATGACCATAAATTGTATCATAAATGATAGTAAAAAGTGCAATATTTCATTCCAATTGGAGAAAAAGTCTCCTGTCTCTTGTTGTGTAAGGAGATTTCTAACTCTACAGTAATAACTGTAATTTCAATAATCAACACTCAATCAAAAGAGAGAATAGTCCAAACCTCTTGGCCTGCAGTTCCAGCAGGTCTCGGCGTGAATTCTCTGCTTCCGCCTCATCCTGGATCTTCTGACGCTCCAGCCGACCTTTGGCTTCCTGTTCCACGCGCTCGGCCTCGTGCCTGGCCGCAGCCTCCTGGGAGTTGGTGGTGATCTCGATGGCGAGGGTGACGGACTTCTGCAGCGAGTCTCGCGTGCGCTGGTCCACCGGCTCCACGGACTGGATATCTACACTGGTAATCACCAGGTTGTTCTGGGGGAACTGGAAACTGTAACAAACAGAGGGAAATGGTTAGTGATTATCACCAGGATATTTAAGGGGAACCTGAAACTGCAACACATCTTTATACAACAACTATCCAAAATAACCTCATAACTGTTGAAATGTGGAAAAGGTAAGGGAGGGTACTCACACATCGCGAACCTTGTTGTTCTCATCCAGACCAAATACCGATGCCCTGATGATACGAGCAGAGTTCTGGAATGACAAAATAATTTATTGAGATTACAATCAAGATTGTGATGAAAATTGCAATGGGAAGATCAGAAGAGTGAATAACATGCCCCTGAAGGCTAGGACCTGCTTTACCATGTGTCTAAACTTAAAACACTGCTAATTAATACCTGCCTACTGCAAAGTCAAATGTATGCAACCATACAAATCTACAGTGCATCTCACCTTGTGGAAATCATCAAACTGAACACCGGCAACAGCCCCACGGACACGGGAGGCCACAGCCTTGCAGGCGTCGCCAACAAAGTCGGGAACACTGAAAATCTTCTTGCCATCCTTCTCCTTGTCCTTGACATCAAAGTGCCTGGTGGTCACAAAGATGAATGAAGGAAAAAATGATAGGTAATGATACAGAAATGTCAAGCAAACATAACTTTTGTAAATCCAAACAAAATATTACTGTTGATGGTAGAGAAGGCCCAAACTGCTCCTATCAAACAACAGGGTTGGGTGTGAGTTGGAAAGTTCCATTCTACAGACAGGAGAGACAGGACATGAACCACCTACCAGTTGTAGCTCATCTGCAGCTGCAGACGGGCATGGTCGGCCGTTTCTATGGTGATGATATCGGTGCAGAAGTCGGGCCCGAGGAGCAGGCACAGGGACTTGATGACGTTGGGTCGCTTGGGCTTCCCGCCGGACAGACTGAGCTGGGTGAACTGTTCATCAGGTCCCAGCAGCACCAGTTCAGGCCCAAACACAACCCTGAAATGTACGGTTAATATAGGTCATTGTTTGTAACCTAGAGATTTAGCAATTCAACTTAAGGAATCAAGGAATATCAAACATCTGTGAACTGTTCCAACTGCAAAAGGAAAATTCTGCTTGACTGAATCAGAAATTCATATTTGCCATTTTGACATATTAGATATAATGCTTACATGTCTTTACTTGTAAGTTTGTACCAATATCCACTTGTGTTGAGACTTGTTTATTTGGTCTTGCTTCTTAATTCCACACTTTTCGAAAATAAAATCACGTAACCATCATACACACCTGGCTTTCTTCTCCTTGTAGTCGTAGATCTGGACAGCAGCGTTGTGAGGCACGCGGAAGGTCACGACCTTGGTTTTGTCCCGCGGCTGGTCCGAGCGGGGACGGGGCCCACGGTCACTTCGGTCCGCGAGTGGATCCTTAACGGACAAAATTCAGAACAGTTCAGGAATAGATTTCAGAGTATAGCTCTGTAACAGTGTAAGGAACCTTTTGAGTTTTATTCTTTGATTACAGAATGCCTAAGTCTACGTCTAGATCTGGCATATCCCCAAGTCCATCATACTGGTACAAATGTAATTTCACAAACTGTTGTGGACGTGTTATAAAGTGTGATGCAAGCATGTGCAGCTTTATTTCAGCTATATGGCTGCTACTAGCTTGAAGCTAATATAGCATGCATGCAGCAACAACAAGTAGAATGTGACTTTTCATGCAAATGCACAAATTGAGCAAATATGCCTAACTTAAACACATACAAGCTGTGAATGATGGTCACAGCAATTCCTAAGACTTACAAGATCCCCCAAATTAGTGTAGGCCTGGCAAGCCATGCCAAGTTCGGCAGGTCGGAACCGAGGCTGAGGCCTCTGCTGATTTTGAACTTGAACCTGTGGTAGAATGTCCTGTTCATCGGGGCATATGTTCATCATACTCCCAAATGCAGGCCTGCCTGTGTCTATCACCTATATAGTGGGGTAACAAAGGAATAAATTTGACTGGCATTAGAATGAATTAGCTCACCTGTGTTGGAGGGTGATATAATCAATGACAGCAGTATAAACCTTCTTTCCAATGCGAGTAAAATCCATTCACTGAGCATTACTAGAACTTTTGATGAGTGTATTTTACTCATGTTGGAAAGAAAATTTAAACTTTGATCAAAGATCTTGGATTAAAGGTAGAATTAGAATATTTAGCTGATTTGGTGTATCAAGGTTTTGATTCATTCCTTTGTGTCCCCACTTGTGCTCAGCATGTTACCTGGTTTTAAGAATGACCATCATCTTCACACATGTACATATGAAACTGCACAAGCCTTTTGAAGAACAGTCATGTTTGGGTTCCTGATATTTTGGTTGTCAATGCCTTTTCTTTATGCACCATTTTCCTCGAGTTTGAGTTTTCCAGTTTATGGATGTACCTACCAAGTTCTGTGTGAGGAGAGACTCCACCGCTGGCGGCAGCTGTTTCTCCCAACTCTCCTCATCCTGGTCCAACATGTAGGTCTGTCCACAGACCGCACGAACCTGCAAGGTCGAAGATAACAGGTTAAGGTCAAACTTTATGCTTCAGACATGCAAAACAGTCATGAATGGGAACTTCTTTTGCTGTATTCTATATTCAGATTATTACTACTACAAGAGACCTTGAAAACCTCAAAATATCATGATTTACAACAATGTGAAAAAGGTTTGCAGCATTTGAAGGCCTTTCAGTACCATGGACAGCAGGGTAGCTCTTTTAAACAACTAACCAAATGTAAAAACCAAATTGTTCACCTTGCCAGTTTTGATATTCCGGATGTAGATGCCCTCATTCTCGTCCAATGGGATGGCCTTCCTCTTCATCACCACGGTAACCTCCACGGGAGGGACGTACTCCTTCGGGCCGCGGATCATCCAGCGGTCACCAGGCTTCCGCTCAACTCCTCCGTCCTTCTGCTGCACAGAAAATTCCATGTTACATTAAATGTTATTTAGAGATGACAGCATGTCAAAGTGGTAGAGATTATAGTGCGGTAGAAGCATAGAAGTTGAGGGCGATAGATAGTGGCACAATAATCAAAAGCAGTGACTGGCATGGTTGAATGTGCACTCATAAGAGTTAGTTAATTCACAGCAAATATAGAATCCACAGAAAACATAGAATCCACAGCAATCTACAGGGGGCATATCTTAACAGCTTTTATATCCTTGAATCATCACTTGACACTGTTGTTCTAAGCAAATCCAAAGAATTCACTAAAGAATTGCTATTCAAAGTTCACCTGGCAGCTGTAAAAAAAAAACACCAGGCAATCAAAACCCTCAAAATTACCTTGCAGTTCATGCTAAACTTGACATACAAAAGAACACTATACAATCAAACAAAATTAGTTGCAATTGCCAAGAACCATGAGTTTTATTTTTCCATGCCCTCACACCGCAAACTCAAGCAAAGCTAGAGAGGTTCAGCTGCTGTAGTCACCAGTGTTTTCTGGGCACCAGGTTCAGACGACACTTCTTCAGCTTCTTCTTCATCATTCTAAGCAAAACAGACTCGCTATGAAATACCTCACAGGAAACCTTTTACTGAGGTGAAATCCTGACTAAAGTTCAGTCAAACATGAATTGGTGATCAGATGGGAAAATATTGTTTCTGACATATTTCTTTAATGCAAAAATAAACAATTGGTGTTCTTACAGCGTCCTTGTCCTTAAAGGCTTCATTAGCCTTAAGGATGAGTCCTTCATCCTCCTCCAAGATGTACATGGGCTGGATCCCGTCTTCAAGTGTCTCTCCTGGCTGCAGGAAGAAAGACTTCTCTCCCTGAAACAAACCCAAACACCTTTATTACATCCTTGATGAAAAGCGGGGCTCAATACGTAATTCCTTGCTTTTCCTTGAGTTGACAAACCCTGAACAGTAGTTCATTATGCACCTGAATTGGTCACCAAAAATCATGTTGGTTATAGAAGGATAGTTGGTATTGTTTCATTGTTGCTAACTTTTCCACAGACATACACAGGCTCACAGGCTCATAGCTAGTTAAGAGTTGCCAACATCATGAGCAATTCTTTGACTATCTGAAAAGATATAAAACTGTCAGTACTGACCTTGACGAGCTTCCGCTGGCCCAGCTGGGGTTTCCCATCCTCTCCTACAGGGTCTACAATCACGGCGTATTCACGGTTACTCAGGGTGGTGATGTTGATCACCCCAACAACCTGCAACATTAACATGGAAACTGAAGTTTAAAGATCTATTAGCTTGATTTTCATATTGTATGAAGGTTAGAATTCTAGTGTACATGCCAAATATCTAAATAACTATTTACCTACTAATTACTTTCTCAGCTTTTTCCCTTCAAAACTAGCCTTTAGGCAGGTTTGTTAGGCTCAATGATTGTGTTGATATTTGTACAGCCTCTGTTGTCAAGCATGCACTATAACTACAGTGAAAACGGTGTGTTCAGGGTCTTGTACCTCTTCATAAACATCAGGAATGTGCGTCTCTGTGTCCTCCATGGTGATGAGCCACTCCTCACCACTCTTCCTCGTCTGGTTCTTGAAGTCCTTGAAGGTCCTCAGTGCTCTCATGTGCAGGGCTTTCTGTAACAATTACACAGACAAACACATGGTCAGCGGTGTTATTAATCAAATTCTGGTATAGTGAAAGATGTCAAAGCAACAAAAACATACTTTGACGGAGATAGGTCAGGAAATGGGTGCAAAGGGGAAAGTTTGAAGGATAGTGTTTGCTAGGAAAATGGTTGAAAGGAGTGTTTCCTACACACCTTTTCTGTCAGGACATAGGCGTTCACCACATCCACAACCTCCTCATACGCACCGGGCAGATATGCTCCAACCTTCTTCACTACCCATTCCTCGCCTGAAGGGACAAAACAATTGTACATTAATTTTCAAATTACACACTGTTATCAGTAGGCTTTCATAGAAAAACTACTAGTATTACTGCAACATGTTAAACTTGTGACTCGTACATATTTTGTACAGCTATGTGTTGACAGAGACTCATCATACTTTAGATTGTGGCTTATATTTTGTGAAAAACTCAGATCATAATACCCACAGTAGTAGTCTTCATGCTTCATTTAAAATAAAAAAAATTTAACATTTTGTGCAAAAATGTCTTGAATCTTGAGATTCACCTGTGACCCTGTGGTTGCCATCCCGATCTTCTGTCTCCTTGCGCGCCCTCAGTTTGATGGCCTGGTTTGGCAGGATAACGGTCGCACGGACAGTCTCATCAACTACAACCTCCTTCCTTGGAATGTAGGTGCCTGTTCAGGGGCAAGAAAAGCAGTGTAAGACATAGTGGCATCTGTAGAAATTAAGTGTTAGAGATCTTAAAACAACGCGTTTTCAATCTTTGAATTTTTATGCAGGAATTGGTGATATTCAGCTTTGGGAGTGTGCCTGTGAACAATTTATAAAAACAAAAATATGCTTCTGGAATTTGTGAGTACTCTTGAGAGTGTATTGAGCAATGACACTACTAGCTCTATGTCACTAGAATCCAGAGTATCTCACCAGGCCCTTCAAACAGCCACTCATCTCCGGCCACTCTCTTCTGTCCAGTCTGGTCCTCAAAGTCCAGCACTGCCCGCAGCCTCAGGGCCGTGTCTGCAGAGACCACCTTCAGGGGTGTGACATTCTGGAAGGGGGATGGCAGTTTTAGAACAATGTATCTTTTAACCTGTATCTTGCTGAGGTAGCCGTTTGGCACCGAATTGGCATGACTACTTGGTTATGCAGCAAGAAGGTAATACATGCACTTGTATCTGCATCACAATTGTACAATATTTTTTTGAATCAAAGTGTAAACCTTAGTATAATTCAGAAATGAAAACTTTATCAACTCTGCAACTGATCTGCTGATCTGATATTATTATAGGGTTCCAAAATTTAATTAGCAAAGAAATGTTGTTATTGAATCTTGACAGTCCGAAGTAAGGATATTCTAGAATCTCTGTCTGGTAACCTTAATTACACATGACCATTTTGTGCAATACAACCTTTGGGAAGAGGACAAAGGGACATTCTACATTGTATATCATATCACAATTGATTTTATCACCCTTAATGTACTTTGAATCTTTACCCTTTCAACAGTAATCTAATAGTGGATCATACACTTCTATGTACCCAAAGTAGTTATGGTATTGCTGTAACAGTATACTACATGTACTAGATCATTTAGATAAAACCCAACTCAAATATATGTGTACATGTATTACTACATTGTGTATTCTAAGAACTGATGCTATCCTGCAACCTTAGAATTTAATGATAATTTTTTGTATTGCAATTGACTGGTAAAAGCTAAGTAAATACAAACAAAGGTTATGATATCTCCTCTTTAATGATCCCTTTGCAGAAACATGTCAGCCACCTGTTTGAGTGTTTCCCCCGGGTACAGCGGGAAGGGGTCCTGTGCCAGCCGGATCTCCAGGTCTGCGTGGACCAGCTTCACCTGTCCGCTGGTGTCGTACACAGGCGCGCCGTCCTCCCCGCGCACCACCGGGTTCTCCACCACGCAGTAGTGACGCGGCGGAACCGTGATCATCTTCTCTGGAGGCAGCACAACTCTGATGACAATTAACATATTTTACTTCAATGCCAAAGTCACAACTACACAGTAGCAAAGTAAAAAAAAACAACTGCCATACATTAGTGATCACCTCAAAAGGAAGCAATCTGGAGACAACAAAGCCATGTGAGCATAATTTTATTTTACTGACAATATTACCAGTTTCTTAATGAATTAGTAACTGGGTTTTCCAAGGCATAATTAAGTATCAGTTGTAAATGACTGATATGCAAAATATATGTTTACTTGGGATCTCTACTGGTTGAATTGCAGATCGGAGTCTCTACCCTAAAATATACATGTCATAACACATGTACATGTATATTGGAACTTTATAATGATTATGACAGGGTTTTGTCAGTGAGCAATTGTTCTTCATAGTAGTCCTTTAGTAACAAGGTTTTCTCAAGGTCTGAGAAAAACCAGTTCCCAAAAATGTCATTCATCAAATTCTATTAGCAAGATGGCATCGACTGCAGAACAATGTAATGTTATTACGCAATGAATTATTCAGTATGCGAATTCAAGCAACTCTTCAAAAAACCTTGGGTACCAAAATTTGAAGGTTATACCAAGAAGCTTTCAGTAATGTTTCTTATAGCTCTGGGTACACAATTCATGATCCTACATGTCCTTTACCTATATGTAGTTAGGAATGACATCTTGTGTAGTGCTCATTGTACTGATGACTCTTTCAATAAGTGGGCGTGTGCATGTTTGCCACTGGCTCTAGGGTTAATGTTGATTGTACTGTGGAGGTCTAAAGAGTAAAGTCACATACTTCTCATTGTCCTGTCGGATGTAGGTTTTGGGCCCAACCTCTGTCCTGGTGACGTTGAGGTTCTGGTCCAGCACGTGCATGTAGTAGAACGGCGGGATACGGAAGATGGACTCCTCCGAGTTCCCTCCCGTGAACCGACCCTGCTTTCTGTCCGTCATCGTTGCTGATTTTTGTCGAGACTATGATACTGTAAAAAAAAAAAGTAGAGGGATTTATTTTGTATGTGTGGTGTGAGCATATCAAATCGTGTAATGTAAAAAACAGTCACAATAAAACGTCTATATTTGTCAGGTATTGTCATGTCAAATGTTTGGCCATATTTAGTCTTAACGTTTCTGGCCAACATGGCTGGATGTCTGGCTAGTACATACCTCTGTCTCACCAAGATAGCCTTGTACTAACTGACCTGTATCTATCCAATGATGCTTGACCAACCTAATCTTTTCCCTGTTGCTGCAACTAAAGGAGGCCTGGAATGGCATGCACAAAGCCGTCCTTTTGTGTCTTTAACACAATCAGGTCCTGTGACCAGCGTACTCTACACAAAGGTGTGTGTGGGCGGGGCTTGCCTTTGCAAATAACAAATATCACCTGTTTGTCTTGTGGAACAGATAGGGCAAACATGGCTCAGTTTTTTACCTGTACCTGTTGTTGGATGTTTTTCAGCATAGAATGTCTTCCCAATGGTTGGTGTGAATGCTAACATTAGGAATATTCAGTATTTACAGTTGTAGACTAATAACGAGTGTAACATTATATGTATTACGGCTTGTCCTTGAAAATATGTACCAAACAGCCCATTAACATCCCAAACATATAAATCTACAGATAATTGACTTAGGGTTAATAAATACATAGGTTGGCAATCGTAAAACTGCTGTTCATCCTCTTTTATATCCTCCAATGGACATGACAAGCAAATTTACTGTTTTTAAATGATTTAAAAGCATGACAGTACAGATCACAACTGTATTGTCAGTTGTTTGATCAGTGAGCTTCAAAAACATTGCCCTTTACCAATAGATATATTTTAGTTTATAAGTTATTAAGGTTAAGAGAAATGATACCCTGGAATCCGATTTGCATATGAATAAGGGAGCATGTCAATGCCTCTTATCAGAATTAGTAACCACTGACATCATGAGCTAAGCTGGGTTGTGACATTTCAGTTTAAGCTTTAGTCCCGCACAACTGTCAAATTTTGTTGAGCTTGGGGGCCTTCAATGATTTTCTCAACACTGTCATTTTTCCCAACTTTTGTTGCTTTGCATCCCCAGTTGCATTGGCAATTAAGAATCATTACAATAAAATGTTATGACCAAAAATGCTTTATTCTTAAAATCATGCCTGCCTTTTAAGTTTGATTATCTCCTTTCTTGTGGAGTGAAGCACTTGAAAATTCCACAACAGTTTTCTGGTTGATTTTAAATGGTTCACAAAATGTAGCAGCTATTGCATAAACACATGCAACACCTTAAATCTCTCCAAGCAAATTGTCTGGCACAAAAAACATTTGACGCCACATCGTTTGACGTCATCAGGATTCAACTTGTTCAAGATAACTTCCTGATCCTGATAAGATCAAGATAACCTGAAAAATAATTGTACAGCTACAATAGGTGGATCGTTGAAAATATGCAATTTGTTGACTTTATGCACGTTGCTTGATTTTGAAAGTTGTTGGTGAAAAAAAAAAAGAATTCCCGTCAAGAAATAACCTGTGCTACTTAGTATTTAAAACTAACATCATACTTCACAACGAAACACATGTCATAAAGAAGGATTATTATACTTATAACAAATCAGCAGAATTCAGTGTAACAGACTGGTACGAAACAGGAACTATTCGCATTCAGCATGCTAGAGAGAAATGTACTACGTCCAAAAGTCTAATATCTAACCCAGTCTGTTCCTCTTTTACGTACATGAAGTCATGATCATCAAGATACAGAATAATCATGGTCGAGCAAGTCTGGAGTACATTTCGTATCCAGGAGGGTTTGCCACCAAACAATGCACGTTAGATCCACGTCCTATCTCAAGTAAGGACCTTAACTACCTTATGTCAATGCTACTGTAACGTCTACCGCAGAAATACGGCAAGGAGAGTAAGAAAACTTGCTCAAACCTGCAGCGTTTCAGCAGCTCAGCCCGTCCTAACACACCCCACAAGGAAGTAATATAGATACAGCTATGGGGGCGTGGCAGGTCATCTGCTACTGACCAATAGGAGTTTCTGATTTTGATCACATGGTTATAAGATCGTGGCGTCATTGGTCGAAGGGTTAATTGGGTTAAACCCCCGACACTGCTACGCAAGTGGTTTTGGGTTTGAGTCATCGACCTGAATAGAACTTGCAACTTGTTGTGCAACTCCTGCCAGCATGGCTGATGTTAACACTTCAACAAAACAGATTACATGTTGTCATCAAGAAAGAAAAGGAAACCTACGCATACATGTGCTATGATTGGGTGTCCAATTCATGAGCAGCATGGGTGTAAACAAAAACTGACATGTGGTTGCTAAGGGGCTATCTGCAGATGTGATGTTGTGTCCAGGATAATATGTGACTAACACAAAAGTAGCAAACTCTGCAAAACAATTTCAAGAGTTCAAATTTTAAAGGCATGCATTTCCCAGATAATTTCTTGTTTTATTATCAGTAATTAGGAAATGCAATATTACTCAGTAGTATCATGGTATGGTAAGAGCTGCAGCACTTATCATGTATTATGTACAGCTACATTGCCATGCATAAGTAACCTCCAGTTATACTTATTAAGTAAACCTGCACCCCACAATAGATACATGTGGTGAGTCATTTTTTTATGCTTATGCATTACAGTGACTGAACATGGCTATTGATTTTGCCTCCCAACATCTGCTTGCAGGATTGTCCCGGTGGCTCGATGCTCCCGCCGCATCAATCACACTCAAACATTGCAGGCCATCGCGAGCAGAACCAACTTCTACAGGCTCTCGTTCTTCCCCCGTACCATCAGGGAATGGAACGAACTTGAGCCTGGTGCGGTGGAGGCGGGGTCTCTCGCCCAGTTCAAATCTGAACTGGCGAGGACCCTGCTGCATTGAGTCACCCCATCATGTCTTGTATATATGTAAATATTACTAACGCACTAATGCACTTGTCCTGTCTTTAGCACACACAAAATCAGTTGTCTTATGTTCCTTTCTCAGTTATCCTTGTTTTTCCCTTTGTTTTTTTATGTACCGGGCACAATTGTTACTAACAATACTGCGTAACGACTGCCAATAATACTACTCTGTAGTGCTGGGCAGTAACGAAGAAGAAGAAGAGAAGAACTCTAGGTACCTTAGTACTACCAAGGAGGCTATAGGGGTATTACTACTACTAGTAAACTATGTCTCAACACAAAATATACACTCACCAATTTTCTCCAGGATCGAAGCACCATTCACTTTGGAAAGGTGAGCTTACAGGCATGCCATGTCAGCAATCTGTCAAAAGTACCAGGATGCAATACCTCTCCCCTCTCTTGATGAATGATTGTTGGTGATGGTGGTTAGTTGGTAGTGCTCATACCAGGGTACAGAACTCTGATGGCTAGGCTGGGATATGGACCCTCAAACACTCAAGATTGTTAACACTGGACTACAGCACGCTACAAAGATTGCTGCAGATATCTAAAGTACAGTACCTTAAAAGGTTTTAGACAAAATCATCTCCTTGAACAACTGTGAAGTGGGATACCTTGTTAAATGATTACCAGTACTCATTAAAGCAATGGAAACAATATTTAGGTTGTAGTACATGCAATTTATTCCTGGCACTATACATATATTTTCAGTCACAGTTCCAGATGTTTATAATCCTGTGCCACCAGGTTGTTGCTGTTTTCTTTACACATTTTTGCCTGCTTATCAAAAAAGTCAATGTTTGTTGTTTTCTATAGCCTGGTCTATGCTTTCATGTTTTCCTCCTTTGTGTTATAATCTTCTGCATCATAATCTGTGGACTTGTGCAGATGTTTGTGATCATAGATTCTCCTTGGTTCTGACATCATCATGCCTCCATCTACCATGGCCTGCTGGAACCTCTGGACCTGTGGGGGAGGAACAGTGTATGAAGTACTGTATCAACAATTCAAGCTTAAGGAGAAGAAACACAACTGTAAACAAGGGAATGAAAGGGCATTGATGATGTAAATCTTAGGAAAGGTCATCTGAATAGAATAGTGCAGAGCAACACTTTATACATGAGAAAACCTGAATATGTTGATTTATTAAAAATTGTTTGTATCAAGGAACAGACTGTACACTCAGACATTCACTACAGTATTCTTTTAAATCAAATAACCAACAAGTTAATTGGTGTTACTTTGTCCAATTTGTTTTGTAAATCATAACTATGGTATCTGCAGTGTTACAAGTCTGTAGGATGGCTGTCTTACCGTTTCTGACTCTAACTTGTGTGGAACCATGTCAAACTCCATAAAGTGGATCCCGGCCTCTAAACACCGCTGTGCCAGGACATGTCCGATGTTCTCTGCTGCAGAAACATCACTGAAACAAGAAGAGCCATGTTTTAACGCTTCAATATTCAAGTACACTTCAATATTCAAGTGCAGCTGATTGATGATGAAAGGATTCAGAAAGGCTAAAAAGGAAGCTGCAGATTTAGGCCAATCCTGATATACATGTACTTAACTTTACAACTTGTTGGAAAAGGAAAATTGTTCACAAGGTATTAAAGCTATGGGAACATACCTGGTGCTATAGAGGTGTTTCCTTATGGGCCACTCAAAGGACGAGGCAGATGCAACAATGTGACCGTTGTGGTGCTGAACATACCCAGTCATATAACGCTTACTCTTCACAAAATGACACCTTAAGAGTGAAGAAAAAACATAATAACATTACATTACATTACATTACATAACATGTTATTTTTCAACCTTTAGCAAACTGAAGTACTTAGCTGTTTGGCTACCAATTATCTATTGACTACAGTGTTAGGCAGCAAAGATAAGGTTAGACACACGTTTTCTACAGAAATGTAGCTATGTAGGTACAAATGTACCTGTGCCAACACTCTTTTTTTGGCCAGGTTGTTTTCCAGCCCCTCTCCTTCCTCCCTAGACCCATCCTCTCCAGGTTCCGAGGGTTACGGTTGATGAAGTTTGGGTTGATGATGTCATTGTCCTCAGTGTCGGGTACACCATAGTCTGGGGTCTGTGTTGCTAGCCGTCTCACTGTAGGGAATTGAACATTGTAGACAAACAAATAGGGAACATTTCCACATTACAGCTGCATACTACATGTATCATAAAATTATTATACAAGGACAACAACTGACATAGCCTTCACTGTGCAAGAAAGCTAAATTGCATGGACTTTTAAAAAGAACGTATAATTCCCTTTTATTATAGTAAAACTATACCACTTCTACTATGTATATTAATTCTGAAGGGTTAGGTGCTTAAAACGGTTATTATTCTCTCAAAAATTATATGCCTCACAAATTATTTTGTTGTGGACGCCCCCCTCCCCATATGCGCCACAAATTATTGCTAGAGTATATTTCTGAGGTTCATAGAGTATTCTGGGCATCAAAATACTTTACCTGCAAATAGTCTCAACGTGGGACAGTAATGCTGAGTACTCTGCAACCCGTCAGAGGACAGGACTTGGCGAAAAATCGTCGCCGACTGGACGGCAAGTGAAGGACATGTGGGTCGCAAAAACGAGGTCCTAACAAAGTTCACACAAGCAGCCATATTAAACAAACGTTGAGCCAAATCAAGCTTCCAAAGATGCTCTTGTAGTACTAGAACCTGCTGAAATCCACGTGAAGCTTCAATGTGTTTTTTGTAAACGAGATTTGTGGCGGAATGTGATATGAATGAACTACCACTGATTCCCAAGTCGTTCTATCTGCTTCCGGGTCATCGGTTGTCACCGACCTAGCAAAAGCGCCGCCTATCGATTCAGTTTCAAAGTGCAGACTGAGCCTCCTCGAGGTGTTCCAACATGGCGGCCAGTAGTTGTTGTGTTGGCATTATGTTTGCCTAGATATCGCCAGTATCCAAGCTTCTGTTGCATCAAAATTGCCATGTAACACAATTCCCATTGTGTGAAAGGCTGCAGAAGCAGTAGAGAAGGTTTCGTGAGTGACAGAACGATTTATTGTAGTTGAACGGAGGGTGTAACGTTACCAGGTCAAACATAGCCTGTTTGATAGTGATAGGTGAAGTTCTTCGAGCCACAACAGTTTTGTCGGACTGAAGCCAAAATGTCGTTCTTCGTGGATTCCTGCATTATGTTTACTACCCAGGTATGTATGTGTGTATGTTTAATACATCACTGGTGTAGACCCATAACACACGTAACACAAGTTAATGTTAAGTTACCTGTTCATTCATGAAAATGTTGATCACAGCAAGGAGTCTTCATCCCGGTTCACACCAAATAAAGCTCATAAGAGTAACATTACAAAATATTTCATTGCAGTATGTTCAACCACATCGCTCCCATGATCTTATGATTTCAAGTTAACAACTTTTTGTCTTTAGTGCTTGGCTGAAATGTTATAGTATGTTACAAACAGAACCATGTTGATTTCTTCACCACAGGCTTTCTTCTTTGGGTTTGGCTGGTTGTTCTTCATGAGGCAACTCTTCAAGGACTATGAAATCCACCACAGGTTAGACAAACACATCTCATTAGATTTAGAGTCAGTGTAACCATGGTAACTGGTTCTCTTCTTGCTGCATGATGTGTTATGTGTAATGTTACTGATCATATAATAAACTGACCAAGGCCCTATACTGTGCTAAAGGAACAGGAAGATAAAGAGCAAATTCCTGATCTCCAAACATGTTTAATAAATGAATAGGGCTGTGTCATCATATAGGGTGAGAGGTGCCAGTGATGTACAGAACAACCTTTGAACTTTGACTCATGTTCTTGTTCCAGGGTGGTGCAGCTGACCTTTGCTGTGACCTTTGCCCTATCCTGCACCATGTTTGAACTCATCATTTTTGAGATTGTGGGATTTCTGAACTCCAGCAGCAGGTGTGTATTAAAAAATCTCAAAATGGGTATGGTACAGGCTAAGTCATTAAACCATTGCTAGGTTGTTGGCATCCGTATCTGAAGACGATGGAATCCGTGCCATGGATCAGTAGGTAAATGTATTTCTTCCAGTCTATTACCTTTTAATCATGCATCATTGCATGTAGGTTTATACATTTGGTGCACTAAACTGTTGCATTCAATCGTTCCTTTTGTTTCAGATATTTCCACTGGAAGTTGGACCTGTATGCAATGCTGTTTTCTCTCATCTTCCTGCTGCCATTTTACATTGCCTACTTCATAGTCAGCAACCTAAGGTGAGAGAAGTACTGACCAATGGAGAAATTGTAGCCAAACGGCTACAATGGTGTGCTAAAAGTTAAGTTTAAACAAAACTGCAAATATCCAATCAATGTTCGTGTATCAAACTTGAAAAAATTGTCTATTGCCACTAATCATATGACTTCTCTTCCCATCCTATCTGCCAGGTTTGTCCAGTCCTTTCAGCGCAGACGTCTGATTGTGTGGCTCACCGTGGGGGTTTGGCTCACCTTTATGTACTTCTTCTGGAAACTTGGAGACCCCTTTCCTATCCTCAGTGCCAAGCATGGCATCTTCTCAATTGGTCAGTTTAGTTTGCTTATCATAAATTATCAATAGTGTTGCAATCAATAACTACTGAACTGTATCAGTCCTGTAATACCTGTCCAATTTTCGGATATTTGTTTAACGTAAATTAAGGAGGATTGTGATGATAGTGTATTTGGTATGTGGGTAGGTCTTGGGAAGATGTCTAAACTACTGTTGTCCTTATGGATGATAGGTCCTTTACTTTTGCCATTGGATCAAAGCCCAGATATGTATATGTATTGGATAATATTGTTTAAAGAATCACACCCTACATCCCTATTGTCCCTCCAGAACAAGGCATCAGCCGTGTGGGAGTGATCGGTGTGACCCTCATGGCCCTGCTGTCAGGGTTTGGTGCCGTCAACTGTCCCTACACCTACATGGAGTACTTCCTCCGCCACGTCACCGACACCGACATCCAGTCCCACGAGCGCCGTCTCCTCCAGAACATGGAGATCATCCTCACCAAGAAGAAACGTATCGCGCTGGCGAAGCGGGAGACGAGACAGGCGGGTCCCGGGACGCAGCGGCAGGGAATCTGGGGGATGCTGAAGAACGTGACGACGAGTTTGCCCGCGGGAGAGAACGTGCGACAGCTGCAGCAGGACGTGGAGGCGCTGGAGGAGCTCAGTCGGCAGCTGTTCCTGGAGGTCGTCGACCTGCACGAACAACGGGAGCGCATCGCGTACTCCAAAACCCTGAAGGGGAAGTACTTCAACATCATGGGGTACTTCTTCTCTCTGTACTGCATGTGGAAAATCTTCATCTCCACGGTGAACATCGTGTTTGATCGCGTGGGGAAGACGGACCCGATCACCCGCGGGATCGAGATCGTGGTGGTCTACCTGGGGTTCCAGTTTGATGTGAAGTTCTGGTCACAGCACATCTCCTTCCTGCTGGTGGGCATCCTCATCGTCACGTCCATCCGCGGACTTCTCATCACCATGACCAAGTTCTTCTACGCCATCGCGAGCAGCAAGTCTTCCAACATCATCGTGCTCCTGTTTGCAGAGATTATGGGCATGTACTTCATCTCCTCCGTCCTCCTGATGAGGATGAACATGCCTGAGGAGTACAGACTCATCATCACAGAGGTGTTAGGAGACCTGCAGTTTAACTTCTACCACCGATGGTTCGATGTGATCTTCCTGGTCAGTGCCCTGTCCAGTATAGGATTCCTGTACCTGGCACACAAACAGGCCCCAGAGAAACACATGATGCAGAGCATGTATTGACAAGAAAAAAGATTTTCTCTTTATATGGTATCATGTACACTGTTATAAAGTTGGATGTTGGGTCTTGACTTTAACTTTTCTAGGAATTAAGTGGCATCAGACCTTGACAATGTCTATGAATGATGGTAATTACTCTTGTGCCAGAAGAAATAAAATTCTCCAAACTATACACGAAAGTAGCAAAGCGTGAATACCACTATGAAGAAATACAATTTACCTGGAAGTCTGATTGAACAATAAGGAATCAATCACAAATAACTACCAGAACAATGTCAAGCACAATGTATTCATCACACTTTATTCAATAAACCTGTTTCCAGGTAGCCCTCTCCCCAGGTCCCTACACTGACACACTGTCCAAGTCTCTCAACAGTTGATGAACATCAAAACCAACCATGAATGGTTTTATTTTTTTTTACCCAACTTCCACCACAGCATGTTTAAACCATGGGAGCATTCTGTGAGGCCAATAAATCTTTTAAATTAACTTATAGTGGTAACAAAATCACAGGAAAGAAGCCCCTAATGCTCTAGTTAATGGAAGCATATGCAACACCGGCAAATATAAAGAATTATTAGTTACTTTATGATAATTTATATAACTATAAATTAAGAACCTGAGGACTTAAAGTGCGGGCTACCCAAAGGAACCAAATAAATAAGTTTAAACCAAACCCAAGAATTTCATAGCAGTGCTTTAATATTTATGACTTGTACCTTTCACAAAATGTTTGCTGTAGAAGTTTAATATTCTAGCAGCGAAAAGATATGCTGAATAACTTGACGTATCTGCTCCCATGAATAAACTGTGTATTCGTATCTATTTGACGTATACAAAAATCTGTATGACGATAAAGGAACAGCAAATATTGTTACGTCTGACACAAAAGGCGAAAATGGACATTTCAAATCCATATAAATTTCTGGCTCAACTTCTGTTGCAGTATCACCCCATCCATGTCAATGTATTATGATTATTGTCAATCATTAGACAATGCCAATGTTTGCCATTAACATCTTACTATCGATGTTCAGAAACATTGACTTCAATTCATCTTGTTATATTAAACACTTGGGGCTAAGAAGTTTGTAAATTTTAGTTCAGTTGAGAGAATTTTTGCCACTTTCCCCGCCTTGCCAGCAATGGATATAAAATTACAACAATCTAATAGATACATTCTGTACACATTCCCTCCCTTCCCAGCATTCATTGCTAGTCCCAGCATTCCCTGCTAGTCCCAGCATTCTTAGCTCCACAATTTTCCTGGTAGAGGATGAATCCATGTCCAAAAACAACCAATATTTCATGATCGACTGGTTAGTCTTTGAAAACACCAAGTTCTGTGATCAAGATGTGTAAAATGTCACTGGTGTTTGGATAGTTGCATGTACTTGCTCTGGAAAGTGTGGACTAGTCTACTGATTTGTAGGGGTGTTGTGTGATGGCAGCGAATGCTGGGCCCTCCCCATTCGTTAGTACTCTTCATCTTCATTACAGTCTTCTGTCCAGTGGCCAAAAACTGTAAGTGAAAGAGAATGCAAATGTATTGAGAAAAAGTTGAAAAACAAATTATTTTCAACAATAACCAAGTACATAATACACATATACAGTATTATGCAATGGTATAAGAAATTTATTACTAACTTGTAGTCTCAGGACATTCACAACAAATGTTCTTAACGAAGGACAATACAGCATAATGTAAAACATTTCTCCACCTTTATGTTAAAACTTAAAAAGTCCCCCCCAAAACTAATGAAAAATTTATGGTAGTATATGACTGACCTTCACAGTTATCGCAGAAGGCTCGTTCCTCGTGCCTGTCCCCGTGATACTGTGAGTGGGAGGCGTACTCCTCATACTCCGTGGCCTGTTTGGGGCAGTCGTCTGTGTCGTGTTCGTCAAATACGTCACAAATGTCGCAGAAGAGTCGGGGAGGGGGGAGTTGTCTTAGTCTCTCTTCCCTGGTGGGGGAAAGAAATTAAGAGAAAAAATTGTTAGAATGTCCCACTCATCAAGTTTTCACTGTTTTGTATCAAGCATGTAGTACCAGAAAAAAAAAAGATGTACAAATGTCAAGATGTTAAAAAAAACTTGTTGCAATATGTCAAAATGTGGTCATGAGAACAATGAAGATTTCTATACTGTACTTCAATTGTGTTGGAACAACAGAGTATAGGTTCACATGTGGCAAACAATGTGATTTTATAAATTCCTGGATCAAACAACTGAAAAATCAACACTGATAAATCCTGTACACAACTCTATTTCATCTTTTATTTCATCTTCTAATAAATTTCAACTTGCTGCTACAAATGTTTCAACAAGGATTTGAGAAAGATACTACAGCAAGGACCCAACATTAGTAAGTAATACAGAACAATGACTAGAGATATTAACATTTCCTATCAATGACAAAACAGCCAACTTCCAGTCTCAACAATATAACCATGCTGAATGAAATCCATCAACTCTCCTAATATGGGGGACACCAAATGGCCCAGAAACAGAACATTAGATGAATGGGGACTTGAACTCTAAGTTTTACAGAACATTCAACAGCTTCAAAAAGACCTGTGTGAATATACTTGTGCAGGCAGTCTGGTCTGATCATGCTTAACTGCAACACAAGAATGTAGATGCAGTAAAAGTTAATGTTTGACATCTACCATACTCTTAGTTCCACAGCAGTGGGTTGGGTGGCAAGCTGTGTTTGCCTACCATGTAAAGTAGAGTTTACAGTGAAAAAAAAGTCAATATAAAAACATCTTCCTAAAGTCTAAGTGGGGAGGAGGTACTGTTACATTGTACACCTCCTACCATTGTACTCCTGTAATTGCATATTTAGCAACTAGGGGGCACTGTTCAACCATTTAGTTCCACTCTCTTGTAAGGGGGATTAGAGCCCCAAACAGATACTCACTCTTCATCGAACAGGTCCTCCCCATTCACACCACTCTCCAACTGGTCAATACGGCGGATCAGCTCATCGTTCTTCCTCTGTAGATCCACAATCACCGAGTTCAGGAAGTCAATCTGAGAAAAAGGGAGAAAAAAACGTCACATTGGCCAAGTTGTCCTTGTGTAGAGGTGGTCTCTTGTACTGGTTTGATTGTATATCTACAAAGTTTATTCAAGACTTGAGTTGCATGGCTCTTCAGAAAAAAAAGGTGATTTAAAGAGGGCTGATTCTTCAAAAACATTCTTAGATCTGTTCATACAAAGTTCTGCAAACATGCTCCAAACTGCTGAAGATCTTTCAAATGCCATGAAAAAGGAACAAACTGAAGTGATGTTAGTTCCAACATGAAATGGTTTAGATGTCGTGTCATGGGTGAACATGGTCGTCTGTAGTTACCTTTAACCGAATTTCTTTGGTCTGGAGTCACCGGCCATACAGAAGAAATCCCAAAAGCCGTACAAAGAGTAGGAGTTAAGAGACACAGGGAAGAACAAAAGGGAGACACACATTGAGATGGAGTGAAGCTAGAGAGACTTCCAAGGAAGGTACAAGTCACATTTGTTGCACAGTTATCAAACAGTAACTATATTCTTAGGATAGTCATACATGTACATGTGTCGTATGAATTCAACTGTTTTGTGACAACGGCTGCCTTAGATCTTTGCCAGCAGTTGGTTCTGTTATAGTCTGCCTGAAAGTTCTACAACATAAAAATCGTACAATGATCTGCAACAAATGTGACTGAACCTGGTAACCGTATACCACTGTAGCATTTACAAGGAGAATTAGTGCAAGACTGACAAGACAGTTTGGGAAAGACTTGGGACACAAAAGGAAGCTGCTTGACAAGTTGACAGGGTCACATCCATATTTTGTGCACAAGATCTATGGACACCGCATGCATCATCTGAATTCGAGGTTAAAATGAACCTGAAGAACCCCCTCCTGAACACTTACCTGGCCTTCTGCTTCTTCCTTCTCTTTTCTCAGCTTGGCCGTTATGGGATCGCCTGGAGGGAGACAAATTAAAAAGGCTTTAAGTTTGGACAGGTGGATCCAAATAATACTGAACAAGTCAGGGTCTTGTGGTAAAATTTTCCTTCTGGATCTGGTAGTAAAATTTTCAGGACAGCCATTGCATTTCTCGTGTGTTATGCCTAAACATAGCTTAATGGCAACAAACAAAAACAGTAGTTTCCAGATGGATCCATGTAAAACTTCCACTGTTTTGAACAGAGATTTAGCGAATCATGTTTCTCAATACCACATTAAGCTATTACATGTCCTGTAAGACAATCATACAATGATTGTACTTAGGCCTAGAAAATGATTACATATTCCAAGTCATTTTGACCTGTAATAATGTAAAAAAATACCAACTACCCAATCTTTCTTCTGATCAAATAACGTTACCAATGAAGTTTAGTGGTTAGCTTCAAGAATGGTGATAATAATCACATGTCTTGGCATTATACAGGAACCTGTTACAGAAGGCATAGAAAATGTTGGTTAATTATCATCACATGAAGCACAGCAGAAGTTGAAGCATTCTTGAGCAGGATGTCTAGAATCTGTTTGAGAAAATATCTTGTTAATTGATCCTGAAGAGATAATGATGGTTAATGACAGCACCTTCTGAATACCTTAACCCAAATGTAGTACAGTTCAAGTTTGAGAAAGAAGAAAGATAATCTAACACTACATGTACCTTGGCTCCCAGCAAGAAAGTTGTACATTCGTACATACATGTAATTTACTGGTCACTTAAAATTCAGAAAGAAAATTCAATATTCAAAGTTTTGTCAATACCATACACATGTAACATTGTGTCAGAAGTCAATTCTTTTAACCTTTTCCCTGCTGACTAAGTCTCAAAACTGATACAAATTTGGAGCCAAATGAGAACCTTGGCATCCTGGAGGTTAATGACAACATAAAGAGGGTTTTGAAATGAGAGGATTCCAAAAAGCATGTTGTGGTGCTGAGACTTTAAAATTGAAACAAAATCAAGACTTTCTGAATGTAAAGTGACCTTTGTTTTGTCCTGTTTGCTCACAAACCTGTGGGGACCTTCTCCATGTCCTCATGCAGGTGTTCCGCATCTGTATTCAAAACAAACCCAAGCCAAGACCCCATAGGTGCTTTGCACAGAACTGACTGTTGCAGTTAGCAGGGACATACCTGTCAAGCTGTCAAGATGACTAAGTCTTGCAATCTTTGGGTAAATCCGAAGTCATACTTCTTTTACATGCCTAAAGAATGTGCATTTTGTTTTTCTCCTCAACAAGCATGTGGTTTTCACAAGACTTTGCTGAAATTATGAGACAGAAATGTCTGTACAGTTATGTTTGTCATCAGCATACAATGTATTCTGCAAAAATTAGGCAACTTGACAGGAATGCACATTGCTAAATTTTCTATAACACAGAAGTTCTACAGCCAGTTACATACCATTTAAATGATCATTTTGTGACAAAGATTTGGCTAATCTAGCATGTTTTAACAATAGCTCAATTAGTAGCACCAAGGACAACACCACATTTCCCTTCACCTTACAAAACCAATTCAAAACACACCAAAATTAGTTGTTCTTCCAGATTGACACTGATGTTTAGAACTGAAGACACTCTACACTGTGTAAGATCCGCACTATCAGTGGTTAAGTTTCAAACACTGCCTTTGTTTTCATGCAAGTGTCGGTATGCTGTCTTTGTCTCGTGTTGTCTGGTGGTGTTGTGAGAAGGACCTACCACACTTGAGTTCATCTAGCCTGGCCTGCATGAGCTCAAAAGAGGAGTTCAAAATGGACAGCTCATCCCCATCCTCCAGTAAGTCTGGAACTGGGGTACTGACTTTGGGGCTATACCTCGGAACACTGTCTTCAAGTTCATGTTCAAGATCGGGGTCCTTATCTAAGACATCACCATAAACGTGGTAAATTTCATTCGCCACGTATGAAATGTGCTCTAAAAAGGGAAGAAACAAAACACATCAGCTGGGATAGAAGTTCTAAGACATCAATAAGATCAAAGAAGTGTAATCATGAAATATTCCATCCATTGATTCTGCTTGAAGACTGCTTCAGAAAGCCTATGTTTAAACCACATGTAGCGTTAAAAAATCAAAAGTGGGAATCATTCAAACAATAAACTTCATAATAAATAGATTCATAACAAAATTCAAAACTAAAGACTGCAATCCCGTACAGGATATACACAAGTACATGTTATACAGCATAATTCTGATTACACGTTTAGTACTTTTTGAAAATTGCTCAGAATCTTTAGAACACTCACCAGCTGTCATGGCGTCCATGTCTTTTTGCATCTGCTCCAGTGCTGTGTTTAAGACGTTCACCTTGTCTTCAAGTTCTTCATTGACTTCTTCCAAGGCAGAGATCTTAAGCTTCAAGCTCTCTGCAAGGTGGCTTTCACCCTTCAAATCTGTGATCTGTGAAAAGTTGAAAAAGAAGTGTTTTTCTCAGACATCTTTCTCATACAATGAGGATGATTATAAGGACAACATAGACAATTGAGCTTGTCATTGCTATAATCAGTTATGCATCCCTACAAAGAAATGTTTACTGCTATGCACAATGATATCACTTTGGTTACCTGTGATTGGTACTTGGTAAGCTCCTCATCCTTTTGTTTGACCAGTTTCTCGGTGATGTCCACTGCTTTCTGCAGCGACTCACGTTCACCTTCAAACTCTCGCTGTAAGGTGTTCTCCCTAAAACCAACACAATGCATTAGCAAAGAAATGCACATTACAATGTCCTGGCAGCTTTTAAAAGACTGCAGTTCATATGTGATACCAATAGCTCCTACTGAGGAGGTTCCATCCTAAACTAATTAGGCAACAAACATTTCATTTTGCACCTTTTTTAATATTAAAAATCCACAATAAAGTCACAATAAGTTCAAGGGAGACACTCTTGTGAGAAGAAGCTTAGGAGTCTATATTTTTTGTGTAGGTTAAATCCTTACCTTTTTGTACTGGAGGAAGGAAGGCAAGAAAATAGGGAGCAGGCAGCTGTCAGTTACAAGCTTTTGACCCATATATAGTCTGCTAGGGGTGACTTAACACCCCTTCAGAGTTACTAATTGTGTCTGGTGATAGCTAGCAGCATGTCATTCAGAGGCAAAGCCAAGAGCAAGTGCTTAAAAAGACTAAAGCTTGTGGCACATGCTTATAAAATCATCTACATTTGGTCTAGTAGTGAGACCATGGACTGTAAAACAAGAACATATCACAAGTTGCTTAAGAACAGTACTGGATACACTGCAGCAAATTAACGATCACATTAGACACTACAGAAACTCCACTTACCGTGATTTGTAGTCGTCTAGTTGTTGCTTCAATGAGTTTTGAACTTCAGATAACTGTTCATGAACAAAAGGATACAGTTAGAATGTAATTCTGTGAAATGTTACTTTCAAAAGTAGCCAGAAAAAGTCAAGAGACAGTCTTTCAACAAAAAGATAGAAACAAGTCAAGTTGTGAAGAATCATAAAACGACAATCACAAGAAGGCAACTAAAACAAACCGAATGCTTGGGAAACATTTTTATAACTCAGGAATCATACAAGATAGAGGGATCTCAGATACAAAAGACATACTTTTGGTGGCAACAATTACCACAACTCAGGAAACACAAGAAACAACTTCAGCATGACAGAGACAATTCAAAAGAAAGTCCAAGGTCACCAACAAGGTCAAACAGGTCAAAAGATGAAAGATCAGTAAAACACAACACCAAGTCAATCATGGTACAAAACCATTCAACCATCTAGTTAGAAACTTCAAACCACCAGACATCCACCAGTGAATATCATATCTCATTCAAACACTTGCATTAAGAAAAACAGCTGTTGTTCAACCTCATTGAAAAATAGAACAGATAACCTCCACACATGCCATGCCATGAAAACACGAGTGACAGACCAAACAATCACACACCCAGGCAACACACCTTGTTCCCAATGCACACCAGGTTAGTGGTATTTACATTGTATAAACAAACAAACAAATAAACAAACAAACAGACAGACAGACAGACAAACAAACAAAATACAAGGTGTGTGCTTGTGTCAGAAAGTAGTGCACATCTGGTATAAAAGCACAGAAATAGCTCAATAGGGAACAAGAGTACTATTTAGTTGCTTCAAAATGGTCAATATTTGTAAAACGTATGGGTCAATATGTGTAAAGTGTATTTTAGAGACAATAAAAAACTGTAGGGGCAGTGCAGCAGTGAAGTACATTTGCATCAAGTTAGCCAGGACAAGTGTACAGGAAAATCATGTAATATTATGGTCATCACTAGAAAGGACTATCAACATTATGGGGCAAAAGGGTCATGAATACACCAGGTCATCTTATAGAATATGCTTAGATCCCTTAATGTCATTCATAGATATGGAAAAAAAGCATCATTATTACTGACAAAGTTGCCAGGTTGACACAGTACACCACAGACAGCAAAGCATGAACGAAGTTCTGCATTTGACCAAGTGGAACATGTAAAAGGTAGTTGTACACAATGTATGTAGCCCTAACCACTGACATAGTTGTTATACTGTGCAATCCATGCAAAGAGTATGAAAAAATCTCTCCAGCATTTGTATGGGTTAGTACATGAGCAACCTTTGACCCCAAGCCTGTACACCTGAATGGAGGAGGCCTCCGTGAGGCTTGTACCTGAGATCGCTCTAGATTGAGCCTAACAGACAGGCCTTCTACCTCGGCTCGCAGACTGTTGTTCTCTGCCTGTGCCTTGGAGAGGGAAGCCTGCGTTTCTGACAGGGTGGATTGACCTTGCTGCTCAGGAGTGGGGAGGGGGGTGAGAGAGTACAAGTTGAACTTGCCTGTTCTTATATACACTACTATAAAGTTGCTATACAATGTACAAATAACAGTCTTTCAACTGTATCTGCCTTGAAAACTGTTAGCTGATGGTCAAGGTTTGAAGAAGTTGGGAGAAGTCATTGGTTAGGCACAGTTACTACACATGCCAGGACCAAATTATAACTGCAACACAAAAGACCATGACATCTGAGTTAAGCTTAAAAGCACGATTCTCAGCTAATATGACACAGACATTAAGCTGACACAAGGCAAAATTTCAGGCATGAACAATTTCAGTGCTGGATCCTTTTTGTGTCACGTGCATGTACTACAAGCACTATTGTGTTATAAACAAGACAACTACCAGGCAAAAGAAAAAATGTTTTGCTACTTGCAAATAATTTAACACACCAAGAAAATCTGTTTCCATCACAGAGAGGCCAGAAGTGGGCTTATGCAAAGAGAAGCATGCTAGTCCACATACATGTATCAGTTAGAGAACAACAATGGGGTCACAGACAAAAGCACAGCCACATGCACATTCAGATACATGTATGTTAGACATGACATTGTTACAGAGAACATAGAAAAAACCTTCCATGGAGTATGTTGAAATCTCTGCAAAATTATTGCACATCATAATCAACAGGTATTCTCATCAGGATCATTAACAAATGACCTCACTGCATTATTACACTATTTGTACACAATCATTAGTAATATACAATGTAGATTATTGTCACCTTGGTCTCACTATGTCAGTGTGTAACATAATAACTTAAGTAAAGCTACCATTTTGATTATGGCTTTCCATTGTTTTTAAGACTCAGCAATATTCACAAATTGATTTAAAATGACACCATTTGTATGGTTTTGTGATGATTTCTTTTTGCCTAAGACTTGAATCTGTATTGTCTGACTTGCTCAGGCACCTTTTGCGTTTCTGCTGCCTGGGACTTAGTAGTTTCTAGCTCAGTGTTGACATTTTGCACTTCCTTTTGTAGGTCCATGATGGTTTTGGACATCTCAAAGACTTGAGATTCTGCTTGCTGAAAGGTGAAAAAAAAATTGGATATTAAACCCAGGGTGAACAAAGAAAATACTGTTACAGATGTCATCAAATATTGATGGTAAAATTGCACCTATATTTACCATTTGAGAATAATTAATACCCAATATGCTTAATATCCAATAATCCATACCTTCACAATGTCTGCATTCTCTTGTTTCTTTGTTTCTACATCAGTTTCTAGTTGTGTCTTTAGTGACTCCAGTTCTGTGATTTTTCCCTGCAAACTTTCAGCTTCCTTTTCCTTGTTCTGTATTGAAATAGAAATACAAACACTTATTCACATGTACAGGACTAGTGCATGTATTCCTACAAACTACAAAGTCCAATAAAGATTCATAGGGAAGTATGAGACTGTGACAACATCACACATTTAAACATATTTAAACTTTCTGGAAGTATATGAGGGTCCTTCATGCAATCCTTGACTTCATGAATTCCCCATATGAACCTCTATAATAATTCCTGCTGGCTTCCAGCCACAGCCATTTCCAGAGTCCTTTTGACATTTCTGCTGGTCAACCTTCCCCCACCCATGTGCTGTCAAAACTACTGTGTCCGGATAAACAAATCCACAGCAAAGCCACCCAAAACAATACTTCCAGGAAAGAAAAAAAAAACAACACAAACAATACAACTTAAGTCTTTTGATATCGAAAATACCTGAACAATCTGTGCATTCTGTTGTTGTTTGGTTTCCATGTCTTTTTCTAGCTGTGCCTTGATAGATTCCAGCTCTTTGATTCTTCCTTGCATGGTTTGAGACTCTTTTTCCTTGTTCTGTTCAAGAAACATTGTGTAGAAAAAGAAATTAGTTGTGTAAAGTAAGGATGTTGTTGAACACATTTTGTACAGGTGTTACTTAACAGCATTGACCAACTGTCAATAGTCCCAAATTAACATTTTACAAACCTTAGAGAGTTCCACAGCCTCCTGTTGCTTGGACTCCACATTTTTCTCCAGTTGTTTCTTCACAGTTTCAAGTTCCGACAATGAGCCCTGTAAACTTTCAGTCTCTTTTACTTTTAGCTGTGGACAAGAAAATGTTAGGAAGATAAGCACTATGATTCAATTAAACAGTAAAAACTTACAGCACATTTGTCAAATCCAGCTGTAACTATACTTCTAGGAAGTGCAGAATCTGATTTATGATAATATATGTATCAAAACTTAAGGCATGTACAGCTGACCTCTAGTTTACTGGAGAAGTCCTCCTTAGCCAGCTCCAGGTCCTGGTAAGCCTGGGCCTTCTGGGACTCCATGTCTGCGATCTTCCTCTGGAGCTTCCCAGACTCCATCTGGTATTGCTGCACAGGAAGTCAGAACACTGGTGTGAGATCTATGGCAACAAGCTATGATGATGATGATGGAGTGAGACCATATTATTAAACTTGGCATGCTTATGCCTTGCTCTAGTTGGAACAATCTGGTAGTTTTTTCCAATATTTTTTTAAAAATGAAATACAGCCATTCACTTTGATGCTAATGTATCAACTTTAGAATTTTATTACTGGAACATGACCACTTGAGTAGCAAAACTCGCAACAGAAGCCTTGATCATTTTACACTGGCCTTTTTACTTTCATTCTACTATGAGATTGGACGTTAGATGTTAATCTGACTATATCAGTAGCAATGTTGATGAGAGTTGAACATACTTGTTCCTTGTCCTCAGATTCCCTCTTGAGCTTCTTGAGTTCTTTTTGCATCTCCCTTTTCTGGGTCTCGGACTCGTTCAGTCTGGTCTGGAGGTCACCTGACTCCTTCTGCCCTGCCTGGGGCATCATGGGAACAAATCATGAACATGACCACCCCATACATGTACATCAATACCATGCATCCAACAAATCTATACTTTATAAATACAAATGTAAAGGCATAGAAACTTCACCTTCAGTTTTGTGTCCAGGTCACTTCTAGCTTGCTCTAAATCTGACTCCAGATCAGATTTCTCAGCCTCCAGCTCAGAGATCTGTCTGCTCAGGGCCTCCTGTTGGTCTTGAGCTTTCTAGAATGGAAACATCAGGAAGGGAAAAAATAAGGCCATGTGCTCTACAAAAATCCAACTGTCTTCAAAGTTGTTATAAAAAAGGCTGTCTTAGATCCTTGTAGGTGGTTGGTTCTGTCACAGCCTGCTTTAAAATCTATGACATATATCTATGACATCAAAGTTGCATGACAACCTACAATGAATGTGACCTCACCCTAAAAATACAAATACAAGGTATGAAAAACATAAAATACCATAATCCTTCTTACCTCTGCTTTTTCTTCAGAGTCTATCTTGAGTGCCTTGAACTCCTTATGGATCTTGTCCTTGTCCTCCTCCACTTTGGTAAGCTTCTTCTGCAGTTCTGTCACCTCTCGTTCTCCTTGCTGTCAACATCATAAACAACATAGTTCCAAATTTCACTTCACTTATTTATGAGTTTTCAATGAAAATTCTTATGATCTCATGCAGTATGCATATGGTATGTGCATAAAGTATATAAGTTCATAAAGTATATAATGTATTATTACTACAACAGGGCATGTATTATTACTACCACAGGGCAGGAGACTCGACAACATTCAGACTTCTGGGTAATCCTTGGCTTCCTGAATTCCCCCATGTCCACATTCCTGCTGGCTCCTGGCCAGATTCTGAGACCTTTCTGTCATTCTGCATGTCAATCTTCCCCCCACCCATGTGATATCAACCTAGTCTATCCAGACAAACCCACAGCTAGCCACCCCAAACAATACTTCCATACCTAGCAGGGTTAGACAAGTCCCATTGCCCACTTGCCCAGGGCAAGTAAAAGTACTGTTCGGGCAAGTAAATATCCCCCTGCACTTGCCCGATTGGGCAAGTAAATTTTAGGATGCAAAGTATAGCCCCTGCATTATTTCGATCAAATTTTAAACAATTTTGATGAATAAAGCATCCAATAAATAAACTCTTCTATAATAAAATAATTTCCTTTCTGCTAGTAAAATGAATAGAAATGTGTCATATTTTGGGCAAGTGAAAAGTTGGTTCGGGCAAGTGAAAATGACCAGGTACTTGCCCGGTAGGGCAAGTGGATTTTTGAAAACTTGTCCAACCCTGCCTAGAAGTTAAGGTTTCTCACCTTGGTGACCTTGTTTGTTTCAGCTTTGGAAGAGTCCAGATCCTTCTGAAGTTGGTCTCTCTCTGTTTCTGTCTCAGAGAGTTTCTTCTGAAGTTCTTCTTTCTCTGACTGAGCTTGCTGTAAGAGTGTAAGAAAACATCCACTGAATTCATTGTACCACATTTCATTACTGGAAAATGCTTGTATTAAAATGTGAAACAACGAAACAAAATGTATCATTCAAAATTGAGACATGATATACACTAGAGAGAAAAGCTGCACCAACCTTTGTCTGGTTTTCTGTTTCCTCCTTGAACTCGTCAAACTCCTTCTGAAGATCTTCCTTCTGAGACGTGACAGTTTTGTTGTTCTTCTGTAGATCAACTATCTCCTGCTGGGCTTGCTAAAGTTCAAAATAACAACATTAACATGTAAGTAAACACTGTGTTATCTGTGACACTTAAATCAACTTTGCTATGATGGCAAGATTTTTTAGGCATTTTTGTGCTTTTTATAACACAGCTGAGTCCTTGAGTCATTTTATCTTCAAGTTGACATACCTTAAGTTTCTGGTCAGTAGTGCCCTTCAAAGCCTCGGTTCCCTTCTGCAACATGTCCTTCTCAGCTTCAAGGTCAGATATTCTCTTCTCAAGGTCAGAGATTTCTGACTGGCTTTGCTGTAATGCAAAAAAGTACAACAGTTTAGCAGACTCTTGACATTACATTTAATCTTCTCTCCACTGCATAACCCCATAACAAGTAGAGAATTGGTAGCCAAATGTCTACTTCGGTGTGCTAAATCTTTTAAGTAACTGTTTTTAGACTTACACTTTCTTAGACAAATGATTTTAAGATGTTCTAACCTTGGTTTGGTCTTCAGAAAGGTTCTTAATTCTGTCCAGTTCTGTCTTCAAGTTCTCAATTTCAGCATCTCTGTCAGCAACCTCTCTGGCGGCTGTAGCGGTGGCCTTTTTCTCCTCCTGTGGGAGAAACAAACACTTGTCATTACTGCACATCTTCATCTTTCTTTTTTTCAGTACAATTTTTCAACATCAAGGTCTTTCCCATACCAGATGGTGCATAGGTGCAATGGTGCAATCTCCATTCCAATAGACCTTGGGCCACACAAGTTTGTGCAATCTAGACAGCAGGAGGCTAGTCCAATGGTATTGGTGTGTGTTCCACTCCCATACTCTTTCACAAGTGCTAAGCAGAGAAAGCAGTAGGTACCATGTTTAATATCTTTCTACCATGTTTAATATCTTTGATATGACTCAGTCAGGGATCGAACAATCTACTAAATGCAAGGCAGACACTCCACTCACTTGGTCATTGCACTGGTTCCAATTAGTTAGCATACATGGTAAGAGATCACGGAAAAGGAAGAAAACCCCAGGTTTTAGACAGGAAAACATGCACTTCAAAGTTTATGATGAAAAATAATTGCAATATCTTACAGCTGACCACATTTGAAGAAGCCAGGAAAAAGTTTTCAAAAAGAAATATGACTAAAATTTAGAAACAACAGAAAATGAATACAGCCTTACCAATAGAGTTGTAGTAGCCTGAAACATTTGGTCCTCTGCCTCCTTCCTTAAAGTCTCAAAGTCTTCCAGTACTTCCTTCTTCTCTTTCTCCAGGTTAGCAATGCTCTGCAGGTAGTTGTCAGTCCTTTCTTTCTCAGTCTAAGAGAGGTACAATAGACATGTAGTTGGTGAGGTGTGTGGAACCCTATGTATGGATCTTCATTGTTCTCACTGTATCAACTGTTGCTATACATGCAGTTACCACATTCTCTTTACTACTATGTCTGGATTGTATAGTTAGCAAGCAAACAAGCAACATTTTGACATTTTATGATTTAGTATAAAAATGGTTCAAGCCATTAATACTCCAAAACATGTTTTGTGGTAAATAAGATGTAGGAAAAATCCTGTTACATATGGCCATGTAAAGAAAATTTTATGTGAAGATTCAAAAACAGTGACTGCATATAGGTTACATAAGTAACAGTTGGGAGTGATGGAATAAAGCTATATCTCAAGATGTAGACTGATACACATAAAGTACCTTTTGTGCAACATTTGTGTCTTCTTTCATTGTCTTGATCTCGTTGTTAAGTTTCTCTTTCTCGGTCTCAAGGGCTGTGATCTTGCTTTGGAGTTCCTGACTGGCTTCTTGATGTTGCTGGAGAATAAACATCAAGCAGGTCAGTAACAGAATGAACATGTTGTAGATCCCAGGTTTTCCTTTCATAAAACAAGAATGCTGGGCTGACATCCAATCAGCACCTAGTTATGACAACACCAACCAGCCAATCAGCACCAAGGACAGGTACCAAAGCCATAGCTGAAATGACCCAATCTGCAAAATGCTGAGGTTGACCAATCAGTACCAAGAACAATGCTACCTTTTTACACCTGGAACATCATTAGCATTGGCCAATAAGCCACATGGTCTTGGAGAAGAGCAACCAATCAGCGCCAAGGTAAATACTGACCCTGACCATCACTATCGATAGCCGACACAGATGCAACTCATCATAACCTTTGATAAACCATCATGTCAAACTAATCTTTAAAAAAAGGATTATTTCAAACTTACAAAAATGAGTGAGAAGAAAAGATCGGTACTCTATTCACCTCAGTTTTCTCTTCTGTTTCCTTCTTGAAGGAGCTAAGCTCCCCCTGGACCTGTTCTTTCTCAGCTTCCACAGCCTGGATCTTCTTCTGGAGGTCAGCATTGGTTTCATCTCTTTTCTGTAACAGAAAGGCATGTGTTAGAAACTTCAACAGGACTTAAAATACTGATACCTCAGAAATGACATTACTTCACACATGGTCTTGTGTCAACAGATTTTTAAAGTTTCAAACAGGTAAGGAACAGAAAGACTAACCTTGATCTTGTCGTCAGATTTCTTCTTGGCAGCCTTCATGTCTTCTACGAGCTTCTCTTTGTCTGCCTCTGCCTTGGTGATCTTCATCTGCAGTTCTTCTCCCTTCAGTTTCTCTTGCTATTCATCAATGCAAAGAAAAACAGTCTATAATTTCATTCCCTTACTTGTGCTTTTACACAGACATCTAAGAGATAGAACAATATTATGAGTGTCTTCGTTCTTGTTGCTGATAATGTTGAAATAGATATGAGATGAAATCTAACAACAGAAAAACCTCACCTTCAGGTTTTCCTCCAGTTCTTCTTTAACATTCTCCAGTTCTTTCTGTACTTTTTCCTTTTCAGCCTCCACTTCAGAGATCTTGTTTTGTAACTCCCAGGTCTCCTTCTGGCCTTGCTGTTTGATAGAGAGGGCAACAAAATAAGAAAAGTTGCTTCGGATATTTCCTGTTTTAACATACCAACTAATCAACTAATATGTAAGAAGAGATCAGCTTTATGTCTATGGTGACAATTGACAAATCAACATCAAGCTACTAGCTAATCAGCAGCAAGGCCATAGCAGAGATCACTCAATTAGCAAAATGTTGAAGTTGACCAATCAGCACCAAGGACAGAACAGTAGTAGCCACTCAGCATCAAGACCATAGCTGAGACCAGACCAGTTAGCAACAGAAAAAAGTTGACCAATCAGCACCAAGGACAAGGACAATGTAATTGCTTGCATTGTCCAATCTGCTTCAAGGTTTTGGAAAAGGGCAACCAATAAGCACCAAGGTAATTACTGACACTGTCTTACCTCCAGTTTTCCCTCCACCTCTCCCTTCAGCCTCTCCATGGTTTTTTGCAGGTTACTGTTTTCTGTTTCCATCTCAGCAACTCTCTTCTGTAGCTGGGCACTCTTCTTCTGTTCTAACTGTTCAGAAAGGTAAGAAACAGTTAAAACTCTCCCAGTCATTTACAACTTCCAAACTTTTAGAACATCAACTAACTTTTTTTAGACTACCCCTTGCAGGAAAACACAGCAAATGCAGAACACAGAAAATCACCACGCAAGAAAACTAGGCACACTTACGTCAAGTTTTCCTTCATATTCGCCCTTGAATCTGCCCATGTCCTTGTGGAGGTTCAGGTTTTCTGCTTCAAGTTCTGTTATTTTAGCCTAGAATAAAAAGTACAAGAATTAGCTTACGTTGGGGGAAGGCAAAATACACCCATCTTGTAGATTCACAACTTTGTATCAAACTTTTTAACCTTCTCACTGCTGAGTAACACAACACATAACAGCTACATTAGCATGGTGAAGGTTAATATATGGAAGCATTTTTCCCTACCTGGAGTTGTTCTCCGTCCTGTTTCTCCTGAGACAGTTTACTCTCCAGCTCCCCTTTAGTGCTGCCCATGTCCTGCTCCAGCCTTTTGTTCTCATTTTCCAGCTCAGCTATTCTCTTCTGGAGCCCCTTGATGTCTTTCTTAGCTTGCTGCAAAGACAAAGGAGATTTTAGAATACTGCATCTTCTGACATCTTTTGACAAGCCTGTACAGTAAGACTTATAGAACAAGAAATCAGAGATTTCAGGAGGTATTTTGGGCAAACTTTGTTGTGACCTTCAAACTCAAAGACACAAACCCATAAGTCATCACTTTTCTATCCAGAAGTAACAAGACCATAAATGATACATCTAAAGTTTTAACTCACTTCATTTTTCTCCTCATACTCCTTCTTCCTCTCCTCCAGTTGTTGTTGAAGTTTGTTGATGACATCTTCCAGGTCCTTGGTCTTCAGCTGGAGTTGCTCAGACTCCTTCTGGCCTTTCTGAAAACCCAACCAATCCACTCTATTCAGTCTACATTTTCATTCAGTAACGACATTGCCAAAGTGTGGGCCAGAGCAATAAATATGTCTCTGTTTTATTTTGTAAAAGGTCACCACAACTGAAGCTTATGTTCTAGAAACTAGTCAGGCTAGGCCCTGCTCAAAGACTTCTAAAAGCTTACAAATTGAAAGTCACAAAATATGACAAAGTCACAAAATATGACTATTTTAGGCTTGGGTATGGCAAACTGAGACAAATAGAATATGTACCTCCAGATTGCCCTCTAGATTACTCTTCATGTTGCTCATCTCTTCCTGCAGCTTGTTTCTGTCAGCCTCCATGTTGGATAGCTTCTTCTGGAGGTCCTCTTTCTCACGCTGTTCTTGCTATTGTCAGGGATGGAAAAATGCCTTTTAAACATAAATGCATAAATGTCTATGGTGACAACATCAAGGTGGTAGCCAATCAGCACCAAGGTCAGAGATGACATCATCCAATCTGCAAAATGTTTGGGTTGACCAATCAGCACCAAGGACAAGAACAATGTTACAGCTGAGGTTTTGCACCTATTCTATTATTCAGTATTTTAAAAAAGTTAAAATTTACAATTTCAAGTATCCCAGATATACAATTCATTCCTTTTTTTGTCATCATTGCATCTACTGGTCTTTACAGAGAAAACATGACCAACCTCTGACTTGACTTTGAACTCTTCCTTCATGATTTCGATGTCTTTCTCCAGTTTTTGCTTAGCAGCCTCCAGCTCTGCAATTCTTTTCTGCAGACCACCGCTGTCCTTCAGTTGTTGCTGTTGAAGTAAACAGGTTTCAAATCAAAGTATGTACATATGTAACTGATAGAAACTTAAACAAAGCCCAAAGCTGAAGAGCATTTGAATGGTTACAAAAGAATCATTATCTGTGTAACAGAACATGTTTTTTGTTTGTTTTTCAAGGTAATTTCAAGGTGAGATTGTGATATGACTTTTTCTTTTCAATTCACTACTCTTAACTGTATTGCTTGCATATAAATAATTTTTGGTATGAGCCATCAACAAACGAATGGCAACACAAGGCTCTTGTTGATTTGATTTAAAAAAAAACCTGTTGCTATTTTCAAATTTACATGATACAATGATGATGATTACATGACACATGTTCAAGACTACATAGTGATACACACTTACCTGCACATGCACAATACACCTTTGATATCATGCAAAGTTCTACATCTAATGTACAGAGATGGAAAATCAAATCACACAGGACAGCAGATTGGGAGATGAAATGGTTTTCTTTATTGGTAAAGTATATGAAATGTTACATGCTGATGATATTTCAACAGCTTACTGCAAAACATAACTCACCAGAGCCGTGCAACTACAAATGATGAGAAAAGATGAGGGGTACAGCCATCACAGGAAGAGGAATGTAATGCCATGCAGAGATATTGGCAGAAAATAATGCACCATGCAGAATGATGATGTATTACAGCAGATGACTTCCCATCATGCATCAGGGAATGACAGAACATGCTCTGAACTGCTCCCATCATGCAATAGTGACAGAAAGGCACATCAACCAAAAGACAAAAGAACAAACCGCTGTCTTCTCCTGGACTTCTGTCTTGAAGGAGGTCATCTCTTTCTGGAGCTGTTCGCGCTCAGTCTCCATCTCAGACACCTTGGTCTGAAGCTGTTCTTTTTCCGACCTTTCTTGCTATTAGAAGGAAAATGTTTAAGAAGCTTTAATACACAACCTGAGTATCCTGAAACACAGCGATACACCTTTTCAAAAATGAATTTTGTAGGACGCATGCTGATCCAAAGAATGCACGAAGGTGGCGATTGAATGACGATCGTACAACATATTTGATCTGGCTCTTACATGAGTGTCATGCAAATGTCACAATGTCCATTACTAGTTTTTAAAGCCCCAGAACATGGCCATACTGTTTTGCTTCACACAATGTAATTTTACTCTTAGTCTTGCGGTTTATAACTATTATGCCTTTGCGAAAAACTGACCTCGCATTTTTGCTCCAGCTCAGTTCTGGTCTCATCGAGAAGCTGCTGAAACTTGTGGCCGTCCTCTTCCATCTCTTTGACCCTCTTCTGCATCTCTGAGATGCTTTTCTTGGATTGCTATGACAGTTAGTTAGGAATTTAATTAACTGTTATTCCTGTGTTTATCACATTTTTTGGTTATCTTGGCCTTGCTACAGCATGATGGCATACTGTATTTGTTAGCACTTCTGTATGTAGTTTATAGTGCCTTCTGTCATACAGGGTAATACGCATACATTTTTGTTATTTTGATACTATGTCATTTTGTCATGCATATGTTGTCTTAATCATTAGATATCCTTAGCACAAGGCCTTGTGCTTGATAACTGTTTCTAAAATGCTGTAATTCCCTACTATCTTAATTATACATGTTTTTACCTTTTCCTGGACATTTGCAAAGTTTAATGCAAATTCAGTAATCTGAAGCTGATACAGAGTTATACAGTATGTATCACCATTGACATGCATCAACGGTTATGTTGAATTGCCTGAACATGCAGATAGTCCTGACTACACCATGAGTAGCACAAGGATGTACCTTCTTGTTCTGAAGGAGTTCCTCGGAGAGAGTCTGGACCTCTGTGCGGTGCTTGTCCTTCTCGGATTCAAGCTCCACGACCCGCTTTTGGTACATCTCTGTCTCTCTCTTCTCTTGCTGTTGTGTGTGTTCAGTGGTGATGTAGGTGTGTACAACAAGTTGTATAACAACCACATTGAATCACAGTGAGGTCTACAGTACCTCTATCAGCTTTGTACATACAGAGTGAGTAGTTAGTCTACCTTGAACCCCTGGCTATAAGAGGCAAGCCACCGTTCACATGGTTAAGAATGGTAATTCAATACCATAGAATGATATACACAGTACATCATTGCCAAGATCAAAGTAGTCTTGTATTTCTTGGATCAATCTTGACATCCTACATTACAGGAAAAGTTAAGACAGTGCAAGTGCACCAGAGTAAGTGAGAGTGCAAAAGTCTGTGTGTGCAAACTTGTTAGCTTCCTTGTCGTATCTCCTCTGTTGCCCAAGCTGAGAGAAATGGAGACAAAGCATGACAGACTGTGTTAAGAACCCAGTGAGGCAGCATCTTGAGTGTGTAGACAGTGGAAAGAGAAGACTATCCACTACCCAGGCAAGCAAGGAGAGAGTGTGTGAGGCATCCAGTGTGAGTTACTGCATCATATATGGGCATCCGGCAAGAGAGAGTGTTGTAATGTGAAGAACTGCACTTCCACCATTATAAGCTGTGCGCTACCGAATCTTAATGTTTAAAGGACCATCCCCAGACGCGTGCTGTGAGACAACACTTGCGTGCTTCTTAAAGGTACGTAACGAGGGAGAACGCACCTGCACGTTCTCCTCAGCGTCCATCCAGAACTCCTCGAGTTCTTTGCGGAGTTTGGCGTTATCGGTTTCCAGTTGGGTAGCCCGCTTTTGGAACTGCGTTGTGCAGGGGTTAGGGACAGACGGGCACAGAAACAAAAAACGTAAACACAAGGAAAGTCTTCGATAAAAAAATTTAAAACTATACGGTGAGACTTCCATGCATATCAAAGGCTATATTTTGGTGTTATATTTATCATAATTGGCCGTTTATTTTGTGTAAAAAAATAACAGCATGCAGTACATGTAGATTATATACTCCAAGATGCACCATGCAGTTGTTAGAACTTACTAAATAGGGTCAGTTAGATGGGTCAACTGTTAGATGGAATTAACTGAATAAAACGTGCGTTATCCAAAAAAAGTGTGGGACGACGAGTCAGACTGTGGTTAGAGGGGGCTCTGCAGCATTATTGTCCCGTGCAGCTGTCAATCAATCAAGCAAGCCTTAGCAACAGGACTGTTGTCATGGCAACCCACAACCTACTGTTAGGTCATTGGAGGAAGCAGTGATTCAAACAGAGACACTAATGTCAATAGCATCTCTTGGGGAGGGGGGACAAGGCTGACCTTATGCCCCTACAGGATTGACCTTGAGAGATGCAAACCTTGGCTTTGTCCTCGGCCTCCTCCTTGAGGTGTTCGACCTCCTGTCGGAGTTTGGAGTTTTGTTCCCGCATGGCGGCGAGCCTGCTCTGCATCTCATCACCACTGGCCTTCATGGCCTGAGCAGTGTGGATGGACAGGTCACACTCGTCATTGGGAGAGAACAACTACAGTACTACAGGCTAATACAGCCTGAAATGCGTGTCATTTTCCTTAGTGTCCCAAAATGTCTCCCTGTACTTTTATAACTTTTACAGAGGGACACAGGAATACAACAACAGCTAGTGCCAAGTTCCAACATTTCAACACATACATTGTACTGACCCTACTAAATATCCTATGATTGTTTAAATTGTTAGATTGTTATGTCTTTTTATTGACTTGTACATGTAGATACCTTCTTATCCTAAAGTTGGCACTTTGGGATTTGGCACTGCTTGTTGTTATTTCCATAGACTACAAGATGTAAAGAGCATTCTTTTTCCTCTTGATTAAATCTGATTTAATTTTATAGGTTTACCCGGAATAAAATGTTAGCAAGACAATGACTTAAACATGATCATAGCACAGATCATCACATGAGGCATTACTAGTATAACTCAATTACTACCACTTTGATTATCTTTGAATAAGAAAGAAAAAAGGTTGATCATTAATCCTGTGGATGAAACTGAATTAAAGTAAACATTAATCTCTCTAAGAAACTGTGCGTATGATTGGTGTGTGCAGAGACAGACATGGTGTTAGAACTGAAAACAAAATTAAACTGTCAACATACGCATGTGTTGTGTACATACAAGGCCACCATTCACTCAACACCAACCGACACATACACAGAAATCTTTCCTTTTACACTGCACATACACACTGGTACAGAAACAAGTGAACTTTAGACACATTAGGATGTAGATACACACCAGAATCACACATTTCACACTTCCACACAGTTTCCTTTCCACCTGCAGTACCACTACAGATTGCAAGGAGGAGCACATTCACACACAGGTGAAGTGACACATGCACACATGTACCTGATTCTTGTCTTCAGCCTGTTGTTTCAGGTTCTTCAGTTCCTTCTTAAGGTTGGTGTTTTCTTCCTCCATCTCTTTGGCTTTTTTAAGAGCCTATTGGCAACAACATAACAACATGTCCCTCCTATTAAAAGTACTTTCCTTACTATAGATTTCAAGCTTTGTCAAAGAAAGATGGGTTGAAAAGATTCATGTACAGATTGGGGCATTAGGGCATTTGGGCATTTGCATCTTTTTAAAAACTTGTAAAAAAGACATTCCTTCAAATAAGTTTAACTGTAAATTCAATTTTAGGTCCTAACTGTTCAATCAGTTTAGCCACAAGAAGTACTGTATATAACATCATTTATCAAAGACATGAGTTATTTCAATCACAGTTTAATATGACAAGTAAATTCATTATTTGAAGTACATATATATGACACTTGAATAAATACAAAGCATTCTAGCCTAAGAGAAGAAATGTAAGGAAGCTGTTGTGAGTGACATCTTCACTCTATATTCTACATTTAGAAGAACTGTGCAGACTGTGTGCAAGATTTGAGTTTCCTGTGGTGGAAAATTACATTAGAGGAAGAAAACATGCATTTGAGTTAGTATCACTGTGACAGAAACAGTGGAAAGATTAGTGACAGTTACTTCTATCTAACTTAAGCAGCTTTCTGCATGCTGGTATACAGAGTGCAAGGACAGTTAGATGTGCTCTTGACTAGACAGTGAAGCTCCTGTACAAGTCTTGGAGAGAAATATGCTTTTTAATAGATCTTGAGAGACAGAAGCTGTCAGTGGTGAACAGAACATAGCCCCACATTCGGCCACCAGAAGTGCTACATTAAGACCATAGCCCCACATTCGGCTACACCATGCCTCCCAACCTTGTGTTTGTCCTCGGCTTCAGCCTTGAACTCAGCCAACTCGTCAAGGATGCTGTTGTTCTCCTCCTCCATCTCCTTGAACTTTTTCTGGGAGACCTCGACAAGGTACTCCATTTCCTGGTTTTGTTAAGGAGGGGGTTAGGGAATGACAGTTGTAAGCAAGATTATCAACTTAATCCAACGTAAAGCTTGCAGAAGAAAAAAGTTCCCAAACTTCCCTATTGTCTAACATCAGAATCTTTTTGCAATACTATGTAGCACTCATGCTTTGACTGACAAATGTCCATTATTTTATACACTTAATTTTGCAGACATCGGTACATGTATTAAGCGTTTACCTTAGCCTTGTCCTCTGCATCTGTTTTGTAGGCCTCCTTTTCTCTCCTGATGTTGTTGTTCTCTGTGTCAAGTTCCGTCACCTTCCTCTGGGATTCGTTTAGCTCGTTCTTGATGTGGTCTCTGTTTAAAACGGAAACAATTGGTCATTAAAAAAACTTGGTACTGAAACTCTTGACACAAATTGTCATTTTCTTAGACCTAGAAAGGTAACATTTTGGGCATCTCCTTTTTTTCATTTTCTCATGTACATGTAAGTTGAAAATGGAAGATAAAAAACACAAATGTACTGAATTTTCTTCACTGTTTTCTATATGACCTATATCATTATGTTAAAGTCTTTTCCTGTCAAACTCATCTCACAAGTAAAGCTGCCCTGCAGTCAAGCATCACTAGGGGGCTCTGCTTGCAAAATCAATAGGTCTAACACAAACGTCATGTTTTAACAATGCTGCTCACAGTGCAGCCGGTTACAGTTGGCTGACTCATATGTTGACTTATACTCATGACTGCCATAACAGTGAAAGTCAACTTTGCCCTTTTACCAAATATGGTGTGGGCAAAGTCCAACTTTCCCTTATTTTTAAAAAGAAAGCAGCATTATTATCATAAAATGGTAAAAGAACATTGAGGTTAAATTTTCATGAATTTTAGGAACAGACCAAGAGGGATAATTTGTCCTTTTCATAATTCCGTGACAGTGCAATTCATTTCTTAATCTTTCTGTGAATATTTTTTTCTTATTTTCTTGCCTAATACTTCATGGTCCATTTAATAAGAATTTGAAGTTGACAGCCATACACGTATTTATGGCAAATGCAACTGCTACAATAATCACCTGTACCCATTTAACATACTTGATTAAATATTAAACATACATATTATTTCAAAGTTTAAAAAAACATATAGGCTTTTTAAGCCGCATATAAGACGTGTCTATTACACATTCCATTCTTTAGTGTTATTCTGTCTCTACAACCTACATGTACCTTGCAGTTTGCAACAAGAGTGATGTATTTTTACTAAACTATTATCTAGACATACTGGTACTGCTACAATGACGGTGCATACTGGCAACATTTTGGTCCATTCCAACCATGGTGTATTAGCTACAAAGAACTTTATCAAATTATTAGCTAGTTGAACAAGAGCGCACAGTCATTGAATGACCTCTCTGTTTCAATTATATATCTTAGTCGAGGTAGCACCTTCTTGCATTGGTTGTGTCTGTCATACTGGCCAGACATTTTGTTTACTGACTAACGCAGCTGTAGTTCAGTGAACTACATTTTTATGCACAAGCAGTTTCTAATTGTAGCAAGTGTGAAGCTGCTATGATGTAGTGCTTTAAGTCTATGGCACTGTGAAATGGCAGCTCTAATTCCTAAGTATAAAGACGATCTATTACCGCTGTTCTTAATTACTTTTCTACACAAATGTGATGTTCATTTTTTCTTGTCTTTCTTGTCCTTTCCCTTGAAGAAGTTCAGCTTTAGTGATTTTGAAGGTGACTTTGAGGGAGACCTTAAACCCAAAGAACACACACAATGAAACAAACTGACAGACTTGAAAAATATTGAGCAGCGTACTTCTTGACAATGTTCGGATTCAGAACTGAATGTCACAGACTCACGTACTACTCGGTTTAATGTCAATTTTTCCCCATCATATAAGGGGTAGTAGCAGCGTATTGTATATCTAGTCCATACAAAACAATTAATAGGAACTCACATTTGTTTCTGCATCTCTGCAACACTCTGAGCTCCCAGGTCAGACTCCTGTCTGCTCTTCTCCAGTTCCTGTTGAAACTTGACCAGTTCATCTTTGGTGGCTTGGAGCTGGGGACACAAGCACAGTACATCATGTACAAGGCAAGCAATGACTGATAATCATTAGTCAGTATACAATGGACCAATTAAGACAACTGATTGAAAAATGTGAAACAAATAAGCCAGGAAGAATTGTGCAAGATGGAAATGGCCTAGCAAGACCCAAAATACCCCATGTAACATGGTTAGAACATTTGATAGGTCAGATGTCAAATAACATTTAAACTACATGTATCACCACATTTAGCCTTCCAGTCACCAACAAGCTCTGAACAGAACATGAGTTCTTCAAGACATTACCTCCTCTTCTAAGGCTTTAACCTTGGACAAGGCTTCATCAGTGGCTTTCCTGGCAGACTCCTTCTCTGCTGTGACTGCATCTTTCTCCTGAATTACTTGGACAAGCTTACCCGACGACTCAGTGGCAGAGTTTAGAACCTGATTGTTGTTTCCAGAGTTTTGCGTTTCCCGCCAGACGGATATTTCAAGGGAAAGGTATGGTGGGGTGAAGTGGACGAAAACAAACAAAAATAAACAAAAAGTCAATAAAACAACATTTAAGGAAACAAAAAATGCTTTAAGTTAGATTGTTACAAGATTCATGTTATTGATTAATAAGATCTGATGTAAAATAAAATGCACACACATTATCAATAAAATGTCAAATGAAATAAAACAACATAGAAATGAAAAAAAAAATTATGTTACAAATTGGACATTTGTCCATGATACATATGTATTAGTAGGTCTGTGTGTTAGTTTGATAAGTATAGACCTAACTAGTACACAGGTTAAATTAAACAGGGATGAAAGGAACTTAAGAAATGGAGAATTCTGGACAGCCATTAAGTTTCCACATTTAATTGGGACTGTAAAAACATCTGACTTATTCAGTTAACTGTGAAAAAAATGCTAACTTCTAGTCTTCTAACCTTCTCCCTGCCAATTCACTGACTGATGTTGTACAAATCAGACAGGAGAATGTTAGTAACAACGTACATCTTGTTTTTCTTGGACTGCCTTCTCCTTCTCTGCCGTGAGTTCTTGTTGCTTGGTGACGGCTGCTTCTTTCTCAGAGATGGCAGTCTCCTTCTCCAGACTCAGCTTCTGTTTCTCTGCCTCAAGCTCCGCCTTCTCGGCCAGAGCTGTTTCTCGTTCCTTAAGAACGGCCTCGTATTGGGCCCAGGCCTTCTCCTTGGATTCCTATGGAATAACACAAAGTAGTACTCATTAAGAACAAGAAATCAGAGACTAGCAGGAACTATGCAATCCTTGGCTTCCAGAATTAACTTATGTCAACCTCTAATTCCCACTGGCTCCAGTCATTCTGTCTGTCAATCTTCTCCCACCCACTTGCTGTCAACTTACTCTGTTCAGACAGTTAGAGATAACACAAACAGTTTCAATGAGATCTCTTCTTTAGCACGTGCATGGGTCTATTTAGATTATGTAGATGTTCTACACTTGCCTTAACACACCATACATTCAAAGCATGCCAATTGAGTTACGATTACCAATTTGAAGGTTGAGCTTAAAGTAAAGCAGAAGTACAAAATCCAGAGGTCACACAAAAATGATTTTGGCATATCCCACCTTAGCTAGTATACATACTGTGTTCTTCAGCAATAAGGAATCTTGTCTCAATTTTAACATGTATAAATATCAGCTTGAGGCTTACAGGAATTACAGAAGGAGTACATTTCAAAGAAAGGGCATGCTTCAATACACAGCCAGCTGTAATTGTCATACAATACTAGTTCATTGACATGATGCAAATAGCTGTTAGTACAATGCAACAGACATATCTAATCTAGTCGGGTTGCAGGGAAGCTTACAATGGATTTCTTACAGGTAGTTGAGACCAAATACATTTTAAAGCTGTTTGCAATTTTTTTATCACCATGTTTTCAGTTTGCTGTTATTTTAAATTTTTCTTAACATTTTTTTTAATCTTTATTTTTCTTAAGGCTTTTTGTCCATATTTTGGCTGTTTTGTTTTATTTACGATTTTTATTGTGGCTTTTCATTGTAAATTTTTATTGCTTAAGACTTTTTGTAAACAATTCTATTTTTAAACTAGATTTTGTTTTTAGGCTGTCTTTTTTGTGGACATAAAGGAATATATAGACCTTTGAGGTCGATTTTTGCTTGCTTGGTTTATGTTATAGTTGTTTTTCTCTGATATTTATCTTTTTTTATTTTCTGTTTTGTTTGATTTACATTTTTATTGTGACTGGTCTTCCTCTCTGTAGAAATCCAAACAACAAACACATGCTTAGTAAACAACATTATTATGTTCCAATTTCATACATCATACCATCCATATTATATCTTTCCAACTACATTCGTCAAGTCTCTAACCCTTTAGCTTTCTTAATAATATAACCATCTCACATACCAACTTATTTTTTTGTATACCAGGTCTAGTACAACTTTGTGTGTACTTCCACCTTAGATTGTCAATCATGTTCCTTTAACCTTTTCTCAACATCACCTATCTTTCATCTTTCCATGTTCTTTCTCTTTCCACTGTACTTTCTCATTCTCAACCCAACAATACTAATCATCTACAGACTGTCCCTTTGTCCATCTTCAACTTCATCCTTCAACCTTATGAATCTTCTTTTTTTTATTCCTCAAATTTGATGAGTTTCGTAAGTGATTCCCTTTTGGTCTTACCTCTGGAACAAATGCATGCAATGAACAAACAAAACATAGCAGATTATTTGAAGACATGCGTATCAAGCTCAGAAACACTCAGAACTCTCGAAATTAAACCACTCTTCAAGACTTTGAATTAGCCATTATCCATTGACTTTTCTTAGTTCTTTTTATTCCTTCTTTAAATATTTTTTTTCCTGATAAGGTTTAGCCACAACATTGGCATTATCCCAGGTGTCTTTTCTCTTATCATCATCATCTTAATTTGGACATCATTTCATGTAACTTCATTTTTACCTTGTTTGTTTCTTTGTTTGTTTGTTTGTTTGTTTGTTTGAGCTTTCATTATTTTCAACATTTGTTTAGGTCTTTTTCAAGAATAGTTCTATCTTCTTTTGATGCCACACATGTTGGAGTTTCATTTTTAAACCTGCATTCTGACCACACTGTGCTTTTCCATTTCTTTGTCTCTCCATAGCATGTTTCTTTTTCCTTGAAGTACGTTTCATAGTTTTCTGAAGTTACAAGTTGAAGTTCCAGGTTAGGGAGAGTGGTTAAACTGGGTATGTTACCCTTCACCCTGCCAATACCCTTTCTTTAGGACATAAATAAATCAATCTTTCGGTAGGCTTATGGTAACCAGACCCAGTCTGTGTAGGGGAGGCTTTTCTTCCTCTCTCAGTATGTGGAGGAGGAATCAATATGTTCTCTCTCCATGTTCAAAAGTTGGTTATAAAAGAAAAATAAAACCAACATAGAATAGAAAATTTTCACCTTTAACAGGTGGACATACACTGTCCTTAAGTGTTGATTGGATGTTGGTACTTTCCACTTTGAAAAAGTGCTTACAGCAGCACAGGGTGCATGCAGAATACTTTAACCTTCCTCCTGCTGTGGATGGATCCATGCAACAAATTTGCATTGTTTAAAGGAGGAAATCAGCAGGCAAAGGCCTAACAGCCATCCAGGTGTCAATGGGGCAGATACAGTTACGTGCAGTGCCATGACAATTGTTTGTTCAGAACATGGCAAATGTCAAAAGCCAGGGCCAGTTCCTGTCAGTCTGCCTGCATGCACATCCTGTAAGCCTCAACACTCGGGCAAAAACGCCCGTCATCTCACTCTTGGACAGAAACAGGGATTGGTAGGGGCATCTTTGGAGACGTCCTCCCTCTTGCTCCCAGTTTTAAGACCACGATCGGTGTGGCCTTTCAAAATAAAGTCACAGGACATGACTTCAACAAAGGTTCTTCGAACCCAAAATCAAATAGACTTCAAATCACACACAAACAGAGTGGTGGAACTTTGGGTTCATCAAAAGTTGTTTCAAACCAGTAAAGTCTGGCATTAGAATATGTTCAAACCAGGCTGAATAATTTCTTGTAATTCCGCCTAGGTTTGGGACTTGTTACAGGACCTGAGGAGAGGCTGGAATTGGAGGGGGAGTTGGGTAAACCGGCATTCCGAATGGAGTGGAGCCATTTGAACTGTTTGTATTCCGTAGGAGATTCTGGTGGAGAGTTGGGAAGAGGAGGTAGGGGGGATTTCGGGGGTGGCGGAAATTTTCGCTTCTGGCCGGGGCTTCCTGGAGGTGATTGTATCACCGGAGACAAGACCTTTTTCGGCGGCCTCGGAGACCGCGGTCTACCATACGGGTATTTCAGGCAGAACGGCGGAGATGGCGGGGGAGAGAACTCCGAAATGGACGGGAGGAAATCCAAGTCTTTTGCGACAGGAATTGTCGACAGAATGTCGTCAGCCTTTTGTGAAAAGAGGTCTGGGAACGGCTCTTCAATTTTGCACTCCTTTTGCTTTTCAGGTGCTGATTTTGGCAGTTTGGAGCCTGCTGTCTCCATTTTAAAGTCAATTTTTGGTTCTTTTGTTTCAGCCTTTATCCTGCTCCGAGGGGAGCGAGGGAGGCTGTTGGACTTTTGAGCCGGTGGGAGGACGTATGAGTAGTAGTGTTGGGGACGGTAGTACGGATCTGGAGTTTTGGTTCGGCGGAGGAGCGGACTTTTGCGCGACTGAGATTCTTGGAGGCTGCCGGGACACTTGGCTATCAACCACTGGGAAGAGAAGGTGGAGAGAGAAAGAGATGGAAGCACAGTGTTACTTAATGGACTTTTCTTTAGTGGAAACCAAGACACTCAGAAAGGAAAGAACAGAGATGTACATATGGAAATGGCAGAAACGGGATGGAAAGTATAGGGAGAAGTTGTCTGACAGAAAGTCATGTTGACCTCAACACCTACCCAACTTTTTTCTTCAATCTAGACGTTTTGCTGTTTTTATGCATTGCCTAAACAATGATGTTTATCGTTTTATACTTAAGGTTTGGCAGCAGCTTAGAAATGGTCCTAGTAACTTAAAGCTTGATTAATGAAGACAGCCTGTCTTCTTGTTAATTGTTTTAGTCAATATGTTTACACTTACCTGAGCTTTGTTTAATTTTATCAAAGCCTGTTACCATCTGATTCAGTCCTTCTCAATCAAGCCATACTTCTTTGAACCATTATCTGGTAAAAGTGTAAATGGCCACATAAGCCAGTATATGTGAGGCTGCTTATCAATCAAGAACCACCAAGCCAATGAAGTTGTTTATGTCATAGATTTTGTGCTTATTGCATAAACTGAGCTCTTGCTTTAAAAAGTTAACAAAAGCTGTAGGATGTCAAACATGGGGTTTCTATGTGGGACATGACTAAGGAAGAAAACATCAGTGTAGGTTCTACCAGGAGACCAACCTTCAGCGTGTCCCTCTCGTGCTGCACCTCCTCGATGGTGTGCTGCGTCTTCTCCTGGTGGTTGTTCAGTTCCTTCAGCTTCTTCTCCGCCTCCGCCAGCTTCCCGTTCAGGTCCGTCATCTCCGAGGTGCGCTTGCTGGTCAGCTCGTCGATCTCCTTCTGGTGGCTCTCCGTCAGCTTGCCGATCTTGGCGACGTGCTTCTGGACTTCGCTCTCCTGCGGAGGGAATGGCGGCGTGTCGTTGTTGCTACATGCTACTACATGACACCCCTGACTAGTAGGGACTTGTTGTTTTCTTTTTAGTGCTGTGTGTAGGAATTATCCATCAATAGTAACTATCATGTATGTTACAGTTATTAGTCAGTAGTTATTGGGAAGAATCAAAGGGTGGGGACTAAGGTATTGATTCAGTATGGGAAGACAGATTAGCATTGTGAAGGTAAAGATTTAGCCAAATTTAGAGGGAGGTCATGGGATAATCTTTTCCTTTTTCACTCCCAAAAATGGCATTATGATCTGTTTCTCAATCAAGTAAAAATTCTTTCCTTTAGTTTTGAACCTCACACAACTTAGTAGCTAGCTTAGAAGAAAATTACTGATGCTTGTCTTTGATATTTCATAATTCAAGAGAAATGACCTAATGATTCTTACCTTCAGGCAGATCAGCATTTTCTTCAATAAAAGCAAAACTTTTTTTTCTAATTCTTTACTAAAATGTAGTATTTTAGTTGCTAAACACACACTAACACTATCAATGTTGAAAAGTAAGCCTCTTTTATTGCAGTATTCACACTTTTCAGATAGATTGTCATACAGTTCATATTGCCTCTAACAATGTCATCCTCTGTTGGCACATAGTTCTTGCTACCTCTTACAATTTTTGACCATTTAATTCTATTTCTGAAAGTAACGAAGTTAATCAAGTCATTCATTTCTCCACACTTCTTCCTCGGTAAGACCTTTTCCTCAATCTTAAGCATCAGTGTATTCTTTCTACAGAAATGGACTTTATTTTGTTTCAAATTGGAAAACCTCAGTCTGTTTTTGACATACCAAAGCTCGTAAGGCAACTAAGGTAGATGGCATCCCTCCTAAACCTTTCTCTTCAAAATATGACTACATCATAAGTTACTGACAACCATTTTTTCATTATTTAAATTCTTAGATGGTTGCTTGCTTTGCTCTTGCATAGTAGTTCCTTGTTACGGAAACATTTAATACGAGCATGTAGTATAAATAGACTATTGCACGATTAGGACTATATCACGCAATACATGTACTGCTACTAGGTACATGTATGTATGAACATGTTGGAAAGACATCTGCCTCACAGTGCCAATTACTTCATCCACATACCCCATCACTCCTCCGATAATAGACTGATCCTGATTGTCCATCACAATTAGCGGATCGACCAATGACAAAGTAGCAATTATCGGTTTGACCAATGAGAGAGTGGCTACATTTCCATCAGATACTTGCATATGTATGTTTTGACGGAGGTGGGCAGACCTTTAGGATCAGTCCAGTGAGCCAATCATTTTCTTCTCCTGCACAACATCATATTATATGGCTACTCAACTTCGGAATCAATTATCATCATCAAAATCTGCAATGCTATCATCACAGTCAACCTTACCTGAAGTAAGCTCTACCCAGGCTTCATCAATTTCTTTCTTAATAAGAAAATACTCCAGATATCAGAAACACTTACTGTAAATTGTGATACTTTCACAGTGTTCTTATTTTTGTGGTGACCTCGCTACCGCAAATTCCTTGTATTCCTTGTACTGTACTACAAGATTGTTTGAACTGTAAATCTGAAACTCTGTGAAAACCTCAATTTCTCTTCTTCAGCAAAATAAACCGCCGCAAAGGTTTCACAATTTACAGTATTCTTCTTCATACTATTGGTCATTCTTTCAAAAATCCCTCAGTACTTTAGAGATGTTCAAAAGTTTGATCATTTTGGCTAACATGGTTGCCATGACATGAATGATATTCTTGCTATAATACTGTATGGATACGATGTTTTAAGGAGAATGTTTGGCAGATGTTTAAGGGTCCGTAATAAAGTGATTAGGAGGACTGTGTGTCCACTTAGCATAGCGTCCCTTCAGCCACAAAACCAGGACATTCTGCAGCTGGGCCTGTATGGGACACAGTACAACAGAGATGGGGAGGGGGGGAGAGAGGACAGCCGTTGGAAAACACAGGGACCACCACAAGCGTGTGCAGCAATGTGCAGTGTGTGAAGTACTTTGGGAAACCAAGCTGTACGCAGGACAACCTGAACTAAATTTGTAGGTTGTCCAACTTTTTCATGAACTGGCTAGTCTCACAACTTGACTGTAATTGAGAAAGCCTGAGAAAAAGTTTACCGAATAAGGCATTCATGTTCGAAATACTAACTCAACGGACAGCAAAAATGTGAATTTTCAGGAAAAGTAAATCCATGGCTAGGACAACTGGGTTTCACCAAATACTTCACACAGTGGACATTTCAGATGTTAACATAACATTTACATGTAAGTGATTTAGTCTGATAGAATTGGTGCATAACGAAAAAAAGATTGAAATATGGTATTGGTGTTTTCTTGATATTTTAGGTCATAGAAAAGAACACACTATTTAGGTATTGTCTACATTTTGAGGATTCTACTGACCTAAATACTGTCACAGATCTGAACTAAATAGAATTTAATGTTGTTTAGGCATGATTATGTACATTAATCTCATTTGATGCAATGTTAAAGATTTTTATAAACATGCCTGTTTTGCTGAAGAATTTCACAAGTTTCACATGTATGTTTTGACAAAATATCTGAATATTGGTAAAGAGCTTAATGGATATATTTAATCTTTTTCAGGCATGACATGTTCAATGTATTTCATGAAATGTGATTCTTTTTGTAAAGAAGCCTGATTTGCCAACTGAAGGGATTTTAAAAATCCAACAAGTAGTTGCATGTATGTTTTGACAAAATATGCCTGAGGATGGAAGTTTTGCAAACCAAATTTTATGTATATTTTGCACATGTTAGCAAGGAATTGATTTAGTAGGCTGGGGTAGAAGGTGCAATGATGTAAGAAACCCAGGTTTAATTCCTGCTAGGAAGAATATTAGTATGGAGGTATGGGTAGTGTACTATAGGACTGGTCAATTTTTTAAATTGGTTATTGAATTAAAAAACTTCCTTTGCTATTACCGGAATGTCATTGGCTCATACTTGTGTATGTGTGCTTGAAAGTGGGTATGCACACACATTTACATGAAAACAACAAAACACAGACTTAACAAGACTATTTCACATATTTTGGGGCATAGATGGCACTTCTAGGGGACTAGACTTCCCAGTCTTTCTAGTAAAGATTTCAATGATTGTAAAAGTGAGGAATTATGCAGTATTTTACACTTCTGTACACAAGGAAGCCAAGACCCCATAAGTACCACCTGCAGTGCCAAGTGTGCATGATAAAACCTCACCATGTTCTGTAGCTTCTCCTGCAGGGCCTTGACCTCCTCCTGGTGTTTCTCCTGTGCTGAAGCAGCCTCCTGCGCTGCCTGCTCCTTGGCCTGTTTTGCCGTGTGTTCCAACTTCTCGTTATTCTGGTTGGCTTGGGACAGGGCATCCCTCAGTTCTGTTATTTCTCTGATGGAAGAAATAAAACATTTGAGAGAAGAAACAAAGACGGAATACCGGTAGATCATTCTCTGTTAAATGTTGAAAAAATCACAACAATGTGTCTAACACAATTAACAACTGTTAAGCCTGAGTGCACTTTGTTTTCCAAATTAGTACTACAGGCATCAGAATTACTAAATTAAATGTATTTTACCATTTTAGTGGAAGCCATGATAAGCTGGCTATCTTTATTTGACAACCATATGTGGATAGTATTGAAGAAAAATGCTAGATATGTAAAGCTGATGTGGTCCACAAAATAGGTAGCAGCCTAATCAAATGTCATCTTTGTCTTGATGCCTGTCCTTAGTGCTGAAAAGCATTCAAGTCAATGGAATAACATTTGCAGTCATGTTTGATAATTCTTATCCTACCAGGGAACTAGAAAGAATCTTGAAAGGAACTGTGTATATATTTTCTTTCAGAAGAACAGTAGTATGAGATAAAATCATTTCTAATGCTAGAGAATGTTCCCTTTCCCGTTTCCACGACTCACTTATCCTTCTCCTTGAGTTGGTCGTTCAGCCTGCTCAGCTGTTGAGAGCTGTCACCAGAATTCTTCAGCATTTCCTCCTTCTCCCCCTCCTGGAAGAGAATGACAGTTACCTTCCTCTACTACTCATTACCATCTCTTACTGAAAAATTGCAATAAGCCACTTTACAGTTTGAACTGGGCATGCTTAGCGTGGTGCAATGTAGGCAATCTGTCAAAGTTGAAGTTCTGTGAGACAAAAGTATCAAGCATGGTCTAGTCAAGAACTGTTTACAAGTAAGGCAAGATGAGCAAGTACATGCAAAATAAAACCAAATGACTCTAAAAAGATGTCAACACTTGCATACATCTAGACATTAGTAGTAGAGGTACCTAAATATAAACAGTGAGCATAGCGTTAGAAAGATTGTGTGCTGCTGGCTGAGCTAATGAAGCTGTGCACATCAGGTTAGTCCTTCAGTTGGAACTCATACCAGTTTGGCCTTGTCTGCAGTCAGCTGGGAAGTCTTCTCCTCTCCTGCCTTCACCTGACTCTGAAGCTCTGTGGAAACATACAAAAAGTACATCCAGTAAGTAGTTACAAACTACTGCTCTGTTTATTTCTATTATGGTGACCAGCCCCTCCAACTCTGTCTTGCAACTTGCTACATTATGTAACCCAATACCAAAGGGTGTCTGCTATAGCACCAGTTACCATGGTGACAGCCAAATATGAATGCCACAATGCATCTCCGAGACTGAGAAAATCTGGTAATCACATCACTGTTTCACAGACATACAGACACATACATAATTCCCACAAAATATTCACACATGTAGCAATGTGAAAGGTTTGCAGAAGATGATTCTGCTTCACTCACCAGCAATGGTGTTCTTCAGTTCCTGCATCTCCTTGTTCATGTTATCACTTGCCTCTTGTTTGCTTGCAAGTTTGGCATTCAGTTCTGTGAACAAAAAAATTAAATATTGTAACTGTGACAACTGTCTACATAAGGCAAGGAATACCAAGCCCAATATCATGTGAACTTGCCAAGTACAAAAGACACTCTTATTCCTTACCTTCGATGACCTGATCTTGTTTCTGCCTCTTGTTGTTACCATCTTCAAGTTCTTCTTTCTGTTATCATGGAAACAAGAGAAGAGTTGAAGTAAGCTGTGTTGTATTTTATTTCTGCCATACCAACCTGAGAAAACTCACGTTTCAATGCAAAATGTGCTAAAATTTGGTCTCCCCGAACCAAAATTGTGACAAAATCAATTCCGTTGTTCAAATCCAGTTATTCAAATTTCTTAAAGCGGCACACAGCAAATTATTCTATTGAACTTTTGGAATCCCATGTGATAATTTTTAAGACCCAGTGTAATAACCCAGATTATCACATGGGCTGGAACACCCACATCTGAACATTATCACGACCCAGGTATGACATAAACTAATTTAATCTTCTTCCTAATACCACCATTTCTTACCATCTCAGCCAGTGACTTCTCCAGTGCCGTCTTCTCCTGTGTGATGTTGTTGATTTTCCCCTCCAGTCTGGTGATCTTGTCATCTCTCTCCTGGAGCTCGATGGCTGCCACGCTGGCCTGGGCCCCGCCCTCCACACTCTCACTCTCTAAGGCCTTGATCTTGTTTTCGGCCGCATCCAGCTTCTGTGTGAGCTCCTCGATCTGCTCGAAGTACTCCTTACTCTCCTTCTCCAGGTCCGAGATCTTGGCCTTCTCCGACACACTGGCGGCCTGGAGTGTAGTCAGATAGCTTGTTTGTTAAATTTTCATATTGAATCAGATGTTTACCCATAGGATAAGGCCATATCAATTAAAATTCTTGGTTCTAGGATTCACTCACTTAATTTTTTTCTGACTGGAAAAAAAGTACATGTACCTCAAAATGCTCAATATTTTGGCACCAACAGTTGAAGAAAGTCCTTGTCATTCTAGTTTTTCCATTTATCAATGCAGTGATTTGATTAGTAAAAGTCCAAAATTGTTTCATTTTTGATAAACCAGTGTGGTATGCTAAAGTTGTGGCTTCTATGGTGGCATTTGAGGCTATCACAGGATGCTTAAGAATTTACCTGCCAGCTTCATTTATTTCATGTAAAGCTCCAAGAACCTAAGAACCAACAAATCAAATTGGTATGGCCTAACAAAGAATACACCATAGTTTGATCACTAACAGTTAAAAAAAATAGGTTGGTTTGATGATTCTGCACTACAGCTACAAGCCTCTAGCACATTTGGCTACATATTCCCCAGAGGAAACTAAGCAATTTTACAGTAGCACAAATATCCCATATAGCCCAACACTAAACCATAAATCCAAAATTCCATTTGAATTCCAGCAATCCTTTCCAAGCCATCACCATAATTCCTGAATTCCCAGCCAAACAGGTGTTTTTTATTTTACCTTCTCCTTTTGGAGCTGATCTTTCATAACCTTAACAAAAGAGAAAGTGACAAGGAAAAAACATAATATTTGGTTTCAATACAACAAAGAGTACAAATATTAAACAAATTTTTAATCTTTCTCATATTTATCAATTTTTACACTTGAACTATAGCTGCTAGGTAAACAATAGATTTCAGGGAGTTCATTGTACAAAAATAATTTTTTTGAGAAAGCTGAAATTTTGCACCAGTGTAATGTGAAACAGCAATCATGCCTGTGGCAAGCTGGCATGTAAAGAATCTCAGCATTTTTGTAGTAATTTCATGCCAGGCCTTAACTGCTGAGTTATCCAAAACCCACACAAATTCCACAGCCTCTCGCAAAACCATTTTTGTGTGAAAGCAGACAAACAGCTGAGCTAACAAATGAATGAAAACGTGACACTTGTTGCACAACCAACCCCTAAAAATGCTGAAGTCTACATTTTGATACAACATATTACATGACTTTACACAAGTTTAACTATGACAGTTGCTACATGTATTAGATGACAAAACTGGTAGCTGGAGTGAAATACATTCTGCAAAAAATAAATGAAAAGTGAATGGAAAATAATAAAGAAAATATGACCTTCCTGTGGTTTGCTGTGAAGATCAAAAATGTGCATAAATCATAAAAAACATACAATATAAAATAATAATATGAAAAACGAACTAAAAGGGCTACTATACACAGAAGATTAAGATCTGGAAGAAAGTTCTTCCCAGTTTCATAAGATTTTAGTACACAATGCTTTTCACTCTCTTCCTGTTGTGCCAATACTTGCACAATCAAATGTACACTTGCAGGGACAGACAGTTCAGTATTTCTCTTCTGGATATAGTAGTCTTTCTACAACAATGACAAAACAACATAATAAAACAAGGTGTGGAAATGTGGCAAACCAAACCAAAATGAGAAAAAAAGTTGCGAATCAGTGCAGCAGTCAGTGTAAACCAAAGCAGCGGGCTAGTCTACAGCGAGATGAAAAAAGGGGGGAAAGCATGGAAGACTGAGTTAAGATCCCATTACCCGCGTATCCTCAAGCTCTTCCTGCAGTTTCTCGGCCCTGCGCCTCTCCTGGACCAGGGCGGCTTCTACTAGTTTCAAGCGTTCATGCTCCTCCCGGCTCTGTGTCTGTTAGTGAAGGCGGCCATGTGGTAGGCAAACACATGACAACAGGCATATCATGCAGGGTTTAGGTACGGGGGTGGTGGGGAGGGGGGCAGGTTAGTGTGAGAACTGGCCACAGAGCAGGTTTTTTTTCCCTTTATCTCACATCACACATTTAATTTCTGAAAATATTCTCTCAGAAAAAAATCTATCACAATAACAGTTTACCAACTCAAAATATCTTCAGGAATATAAAAAACTCATGGTTTTACATATCAGATACCAAAAAGAGTCAATTATTGTATGGACACCTGATTGAATCTATGCAAAAGCTCATATTTGACAAAACAGTTTCTCAGTATGATATAAATTTAACTGGCAAAGATGTTAATAGTTTATAGTGCATTACAAGTTTATACTATCACAACTGTTAAGATGCTTCTTTTTCTCAGCACCAATTGCCTTTTAGCCCAACTACTAGTTACCATAGACAATTTGACTGACAGCACCCCCCTCCCAACACATAAACGTAACACCCAGGAATTCTAACAGCATAACTGGGACAACCCCCTACAGACAGGAAAAATCCACAAATCAAAAACCACTTTCTTAACCCCCCACTAGCCGTAACTACTATACACATTATACCTGTAGGCAGGGAAGGCCTATATCCCGCCTACATAGTGCTCTTGGGGACAGCATTCACCCCTCTCCAAGTTGAAAGCCTGGGCCTCTATGGCATCCCTACGCTACCCTGTCTCTAGCCCTCTGTCTCTCACAGCCACTGACCTCTCACTACAGGCACAGGGGGCCTTTGTTTGCATGGGCAATCTTATATGGCATTGACACTAAGGGCAGCTACATGTAGGGACAGAAGATACCCCTCACAGTCATCTGCCTGTAATGCCCAGTAACAGATGCTTAGCTTGTCACGTTACATATTTTATTAGTCTAATTCAGGATATCAAAGCTTCAAAACTAATTAGGTAAGAAAAAAAAGGTAAAATTCATTTTACAGACATAGAAGCTCTGCTAGGTAGTGACGAGTAGTGAGGAATAATTTTAGACGCACGTCGTATTATATCATCGCATGCTTACATGATGATTTCAACAGCTGGGTGGGTGCCAGACTTGGCGGCTTGCAGTGAGGGGCTAACCGTGACATTAGGGCATGGGGTGTTGGATCAACTGGGATTCTCAATCAGTTCTATCTGAAATGACAGATGTCTGTCTTCGGTATGACAATGTAAAGTCTCCATAGTACAATGTAGAATTTTATGGACATTGGTAACATTTTGCTTAGTTGCCTCAATTTCTATTCGCCTTTATACATGTATATATATCCATTAGGCTACAACAATTTTATTTCTTGGTTAACGGATTTTTCTACAAAAATAATGGAGCGGGCGGGCGAAAAAAAATTAAAAAATAAAAACAGGCCTAGGCATCCTATTATGGCCCAAAATGGTACGATAGGAGCCACGAAGTCAACACACCAGCTAGGCTGGTTCAAAATTTAAACAATGAATTTTGAACTTTTAATGATACCATTGCATTGAAAGATGAAATAACTGCAACAACTAGGAAAAAAAGGACTGTTTTCAACTGTTCAGGGCAAAATATGATCATTTTGCAGTTGATTCTGAATTTTTATTTTTATTTGCAAATCAGAAAAAAATGAAGCGGGCGAATCCGTTAACCAAGAAATTAAATTGGTGTGGCCTTACCACTGACTTAAAGTCTTTGGCTACTGGTATTAACGGCTACTGCTGGAGAATACCCATGTAATTGACATTACATGGCTTGTATAAACTGACATATATAATACAATTTGCACACCAAACCCAAAGGTTTTCTGAAGAACAAAGTCCAGGATGTGTAGATGTCATTCTTGTTAGGGAGGCCACACCAAATTAATTTGTTGGTTCTCAGATTTTCAAAATACGCTCGAACTGAGAATCAAGTTTAGTGAACATAGTGTTATGAAATGAAAACAGCCATATTCTTTTTGTCTCCCTGCCTTCTAAGTATGAGTTTCCTATATTTTTTCCTTGACATATTCAAGAACCAAGGAAGTAAATTTGTGTGGCCCAATGATTAGCATATGGTTTGCCATGTACATGTAAAGGAGGTTCTGAGAAACCCCTGATAGAGGAGCCTGTCATCAACATCTCCAGTCTATATCTGGACACCTTGGCACTACACCAGCAGTGAGATCATCCCAGCTAAATAACTGTCCTATGAGAGGCAGTGCTAATATTGTACACAACATCGGTGTGATGCAACGCTGTCTTTGCTGATTGATTCTAGTAAACATTATGGCCTTCAATTAAAAATTTGAAGGTGAAAGGAGCTCATTTAGATATTGGTACGTGGTGTTAACATTTTATTTTCTACAAGTGGATTTTTAAAACAAATTTTAAAACATATTGTATCATACATTCTGAATTGACAGCTATAGCATAATCAATTTCACAAAAATTGTTAAGCAAGAACTTCAGTCAACAAGAATTTAGGTTGAATAGCCCCCAAAGTATTCCTCTTTTGGTATTTCTGGTCAAAGGTTAGAGGTACACATTGATGGTGAAAGGAGACCTTTTAACTGGTATTGCTGGTTTTTACATTTTATTTCCTAAACTCTTGAGGTAAATTTAAAAAATCTATGTGTTCAAAAATAACATCTCCAGTTTAATTCAGTTTACCCCAAAAATTGTTAAGCCTAATTCAAGTTGAAGAGGATGAAAAAATGTTCCTGTTTGGTATTTCTGGTCAAAGGTTAGATCTCTCCCCAGCCCTATTCCTGCTCTGTGGCCTGACTCAGCCACAAACATGTGACATGTTCCCTGTACAGCTCACCATGTTACACAGGGGAACACCATGGGACATTACAACCTGCAGAGCTCAAATCTCAGTTTACTTGAAAATTGAAGTACCGGTAACATGCTCCTGTATATCATTAAAAGTCTTTTGCATGACAGTTACTGCAGTGATATATAGCATCACTTCACATCATTTTGCTGCTAAAAATGTTTTGAAGTCAAATTTAAGAGTTTGTACACTGTCTTGATTTGAGCTCTGTTATAGAAGTGATTACACCACGCATATAGAGTGAAAACACCACAATGTTTTGAACACCGTCACCGTTAACTCCAGGGTTATATTGTGCATATAACATATGGGAAGTGTGAATGAGAACATGGTTGCAATACCGATATATATATTATACACCAGACTTTGTTTTGAGTGTTTTCATATGTGCATGGACATTAGAAAGTTGCAACATCACAAACAAGTCATATAACAGTATACAGGATGTTTCAGTGATTCACATGTCAAGGTCACTTAATTTACATATGATACAAGTCCATGTGAAAAATTCAACCACATAATAATGGGTATAGAATGAGATATGACAATGTGACTAGAATACCTTTATGACACAGTTGGGGGTCAATTCTTATTTCTAAAAATGAGAGAGACTTTTACCTCCAGGTCTCCTGATGAGATGGTCTGTTCTTCAATTCTGAACGTCAAGTCTTCAACTTTCCTAAAAAGAGGTTAACAGGTTGCATTGTCAATTGGATTAAAGAAATAAAAAATTTCACACAAACCCAAAGCTCAGACACCCAAAACAATACTTCCATACCAATATTAAGTACCTTACTAGTCATTTGCTGCAAAAGGTCAATTGTGCAAGCTATGAGCATCTTCCCTATACCATTCTAATTTGAAAAAAAAAAAATCATTGTGTTTTGAATTAATCAGCCTACACACCAACCAAACTATAAACAGCCTGAAAGGCTCAAGAAACAAGACATCTGTACCTTCTTTCTTCTTCAAGTTGATTGACAAGTTCCATCTTCTCCTTGTCCGCACCTTCCACCATTGCACGCAGTTTCTCCACGTTGATTTCACTCTCGCGGACATACTGCAAACGAGGCAAAAATGACTGACTCACCACAAAATTACAGGTCAGGTCATGCTCCAAACATTATTCTACAGTCAGTACACTGATCAAATTAGTTTGCCCTAAGGTGTATAATAAACAGTCCACTGTATTATATCTAAGGTCCCCTCTGAAATCTACTTAGGGACTGTGACATATATGAATATTTCATGCCATGAGGAAGTATTCTCACCTTTTCGTGGTCTGCTCGTAGGCTATCCAGCTGTGTCTGAGACTGCAATTCATTAACAGGTAGTGTTATAAAAAATACAATGATCAAGATGTAATGAAAAACAAAGCTAAAAATCACCCTGTCACACTTCACTGATGAATACATCTTTTGTAACAAATTTTTCATCTGTAATTTCACCAAGCATACCAAGAGATTTTTGGGCACAAACTAGTAAAATTGATAAAATGTGTAAGGAAAATGTTAAATTAGTTTCTTTCACAAAAAGTTTTATTACTGCTGTGTCGCACCTCCAGAACGGCAGAGGCTGACCGTGCGACCTCCGCACGTTCCATGTCACGTTCTGCCAAGAGCTGCTCCACATGTTGTTGCTTCTCCTTCAGCGCCTCCTGTTGGTTTCAATGAGTAGTGCAGGTACAATTACAAGAGGCACAGATTAAGAGGAAAGAACAAAACTTCCTATCAAATCTACCCACTTCAAGGATGACCAACTTTATCAGTTTATACATGTATCACAAAAGGCAATGTCACAGTTGACTATACTTTTGTATCCCAACTATAATTTATTATTATAAACCCCAGGTGAGTCCAACTTCTATTCAGGTCTTGTAGCTCTTTGAAATGTGGTGTCTAATGTTAAATGGCAGTCACAATGGCAGGAAGTGATTTCTTCAATTATAGATGGAATGATGACTGTTAAATGACAAATGCAAGCTTAGTAAACATACAATTAGCAAAAATGAGCGGTCTTATATACAAATGATACTGGCATGGGCTTAGTCAAAATTATCTTAAAACAAATTTGCCAAAAAAATGAGCTTGTCAAAATGAAAAAGAAAAAGTCAGCCATGGATGTTGATGCGCTGTAAAAGGACTGGAACACAAATCTGACATTAGTAGTAAAGATGGAGATGACAGAATAAAGTTGAGGAGGAGTAGGAGGAGCAATTTCTCAATGGCCACAAGGGGTGGCAAGTAACTGTCACAAAAATATTAATTTGGGAATTTCCAAAACTTTGCAAACATCTTTGAGCTATGTCGAAGTAAATATGGTAAGACTCTTTACTTAGGAAAGTAGTCTAACTGAGAAAAGTTATTGAAAGGAGAAAAGTGAACTTTGGCGGGGTCTAATTCTCGGGCAGAGGTCTTGATAAAACGGAGCAAACTACTGAGGGGTGAAGACATTGCCACCAGAGTACTTGATGCAGCAAGGGGTGGTAATTGTGAAGGAAGAAACACCCTAACAAACTAATACAGCCTGTCCAAAAACCTTAATCTCAAATGGCATGGAAAAGACATGCATAAGTACCATCTTCTACATGTAGAATATAAAGTACCTTCATACCAAACATGCAAATGTCCATGCAAGATAGTATAAAATGTAACACAATATGGGAAAGACAACTCACAGCACAACTACATGTACATGTATAGTGTTAATTACCGGTAAATGTGCAGAAAGGAAATATCTAAAGTGACACCACACCACACACCTCGTGAAAGTGATCAAAATGGGACACCAAGAGTGCATTGACTACTTTCCTAAGTTAGGAAATGATCACAAGAATCATAATTTTCTACCAATTCTTGTATCCTGAGAGAGTGCTTTGTTTGTGCCAAAAATTATAAGGTTGTCAAAGTACATCAAAACATAATATTGGGAATCTTCTGTAGAATATGTTGAATTTATGCATTTAAGGTTCACTGTTGAGCATCTCTCTCAGAACACAAACTACAAATTTCACCGCAAATGTAAAGGTTTTCCACACTTCTGTTTTTGAGACAGTGTCTGTGATAAAAGACAAGGAGAGAGAAAGGGAAGCCAACATTCCTTGATGTTTTTGATGACAACCATCCTGGCATCTTCAAGGTCCTGCAGTTTCTTTTCCTTCTCCTGCAGTAGTTCCTTAAAAGAGAGTAGATTTCCGGGGGTGAGAAGAAAGGAACTTTGGAGAAGGGGTACAAAGCAGAAGGTAGAGCCAAGCAGCACTTCAGAGGACATGTAAGTGGGAATTGTTTACATGTACTATGGCTGCAAGCAGGTAGAATAGCAATATGCACACTGCAAGCTTCACATCCCACTAATCTACATGTACAGGTATAACAGCCAAGCAGTTTTACCAGACAACTGTACCTGTAACTGTACTACTCAACCAGTATAAGTCAAACATTTTGCTCTGTTGTCCTAAGATAACACACCCCTTTGCAGGCACAAGGGAAGGCCAGTTTGAATATATTTTTGTGTACTACAGTTCGTCATACATACATGTTTACCCTATTTGTCTGACAGATTGCTGATGTTACTCAAGCAAACTTTTTTTAAAAATCCTGGAGACCTGTCAGCTAGACTATAATTGATAATTCTTTTGACACTGCTTTTATACAACTTGAGTCGTGCATGGTTAAAGGCTTTCTCTCATTACTTGGAGAGAAGCTTGTGCAACAGACAGTACCTGCATGGCGTGTGTAGAGCTTCCTGTGGATGCCCGCGTCTTCCTGGCAGCAGCACGCAGTTCCTGAGCAAAATATGACAAAAATGATGAGATGTATAACAAAAATGATGAAGTTTACAATGATTTCAAGACCAGATAAGTGTATACATTGGACAAGATATCACCTAGGCATCTCTACTTCAAAATCACAAATGTGAACCCAGAATCAGTTATTGTTGCCCTGAAGAAGGCAACAGACTACCATCAAAACATTGGATGTGAAAACCCACTGAACACACTCTCTTGACAACTTGATGAAATTATTCACAGACGCACTGTAGTTGTACTTACAGAGTGCCTTCCATAGCCTGATGCTGAGCTGATGTTGGAACTAATGGAGCTGATGGAGCTGCTGCTGCCACTGCGAGACCTGGCGCCTGGAGTACCGAGGGGAAGGGGTGGGGGCGCTTCTGACTGGGCTTTCCTGGCTGCTATTCTGGCAGCTGTTGCAGAGCCTACAATATACGCAAATTTCAATGTTTTACTCTTGGTGGTCATTTTAGGTGGTGAATGATATCACTATACTGGATAATAGAAAAATGCATCCATATTTATATCATAGCACACTTTTGTTTCAAATCCCACCTGGTACTGAGGCTTGTTTGGGTGTTGCCTTAGGCACAGGTTCCCCCTCCCCGAGAGGCTGGACCTTGTGCACCGGAGCAAACAGGCCGAACTTGGGCTTACAGGTGAAATATCTGTCATGGAACACAGGACGAAAAAATGTTATCAACTGCAATCAAAATTCAGAGGGAAACTTTTCACTTTTTCTTATTTTCTCTTGATGTAGACATGCATGTACAATGTATTTGTAAGTTATAGAAAGATGTAATTATGAACGTACCTTACTACAGTTTCGTATATATGCACATCATAAAGATTAAAGTCTCTTCTTTTGGGTAGTAACTACTAAGACAGATGCCTTTGGCATTCATTTTATTGGATGCAAATAATGAAAATTCATTGTTCCCTCTTGGCTTGAAACCATATGGAGACTTGGCACTTCAGCAGCAATAGTGTGGGAGTCATAATTCAACTTAAGTAGCATTACTAAAAGGTGACATTGAAACAGAGGGAAGGAAATGACTTTCATTCTCTTATCTCTTGTACTTAACTTTGATCATGACGTTTCAGAGATGCGGTAGCAGTTACATTCCTATCTACGTAACCCCTAAACTTGTACTGGAGTGGCCCATAAGTGGCCAATGAGTAGAAAAAAAACCCTCACCTCTTCCCTGCCACAGATCCGTCGTTCTTGCCCTGTTCCTCCTCCAGCTCCACCCCGACCCACTCCCCCTTGGCGAAGTCTGTCGTCCCCAGATACCTCACCAGACCTGCCTTCGTCCCACTGACCAGGACTCGGTCACCCAGACTGAACAGTTCCTCCGCTTTCTTCCCGATGTCTACCAGACTAGTCATGGACACGCTGGGAGTTAGAGTCCCCATGCTGGATCCCGCTAACCGCTGTTTCAGACTGGAAGATTTCGTTGACGTTGAAAGTCGACTGCTGGGTCTTTCTGTCGATTTTGACCCGTTAACTGCGTCGCCGGCTCCTCTCGAGGCAGAGCTTGACGCCCGTGACCTTGCAGCGGCCGCGGACGGCACGCCTGCGGCAGCTCCTGGCGCTGCAGGCTCTCTGGTAAGTTTCGCAGCCCGTGAGAACACGCCGTGCTGCGGCGTACACTGGAAGTACCGCACGCCGGCCACGGAGCCATCGTTCTTTCCCACAGGTTCGTCCAACACGATTCCGACCCACTCACCTGGCGCGAATTGCGTTTCACCGATGAACTGGATATAACCGGCCTTGGTGCCGGCAACATACGCACGATCACCAATTTTCCACCCATCTGAAGATATAACAGAAGAGGCCGCAGCCTTAGTGGTGGCGGAGGCATACAAGCCTGTAAAGTGTTGTATGCCTGTAAGGTGAGTGTGGAGAGGAGAGAAGTTGAGGGTGTAAGTACGTCATGCAAAGAAAATAGTCCCAAGACAATGTGCAATTCTTGATGATTACATGCTTGTTTACATACTGTGATCATGCATCAACAACATGTACATTTACCGTAACCTTTAGCCCACAGATGTTGCCATTAATGCCTACCAAATCTCTATGGATTAGACAGTTAGGTGAAGGTTAAAATTAAACTAAATCATTTACCTTAACATCAAACATGCTGTACATCAAAAGTGCGTAATTTATGGTAGCCATTACTTGTGGTTCATTTTTAAAGATTGAGACAGTGAAATGCATCTCCTTGTGCAATTTGTAAGAATCATGCACTGTGCACCTTCAGGCCATTAACTAAAGCCATGCAATTCCTTTGTCCCTTTTATACCAAGGCAGAAATGGGCAGGCATGCCCTTTTGAAACAGATACAGAGACAGGTTGTGCATGTGCATATAAATTGTACAGTTGGTAATAGAGCTGATGGTCTGTTTGAAATGACTGCATAATCCAGAGATAATGGGCTTCACAATGGATGAGGATAGCACAGAGCTATTGCACTTCAGGACTGCCTACTCTGTAGTAGATAAAATGTGATATGTACACATATATGTCAAGAACATTGTGACAAAACTCAAAATTGCAAAACTAAACTTATACTAGCTAACTTATACCAAATGTTCCATATAAATTATAATGCTGGTAATGATGAAAGAACAAATACAGAAATTAAACATTGTACAACTGCCATAAAATGAGAAAAAAGGAACACAAAATATCACTATAACTATCAAAATACATGTACATGTAATCTTTTTTCTTAAAATAACCAATTACAATGTAGGTAAGTCAGCAATAGAAACAGTACTAGTGCCACCTTAAGATATGCCATGATACACGCAATACAGGTTTGAGTCGTTCAAACTTTGACATGATAACCAGGATCAGTACTATATAACATGTTCTTACCTGCAGCTGCACCTTTTGCAGCACCTGGAGCACCCTTGCCAGCTCCAGCTGCAGTTTTGGCTGCACCTGCTGCACCTTTAGCTGCACCTGCCGCACCCTTAGCAGCTGTACCACCAGCCTTGGGGATGCCTGTGGCTCCAGGTTTGGCTATTTTACTGGGCGGTTTCAGCCCAGACGGTTTCCCTGTCGTACTCATCTTGTTTCTTTAGAACTTATCTTCTTGAGATTTCTTATGCTTCATTCCTGACGTTTGGTGTCTTCAGCTGTTTCGCGTTTCCGTTTGTTTTCAAAGTTATTCCCTCAGGGTTCGTACCTTTGCTATTTTTATTTCGATGGCCTGTTATGCAGAGATTTTCAACTTGACCGAAGCAGTGTAGTCACTCACATTTGACATTTACCTAAGGCGACCTTTTCTTTTTGCTTTCTTGTACACAGAGAATATTTTCCTTTAAATGAATAATGCTTTCCTTGGCAATATGGCTGGGGCAAGTACATGGGCTGATTCTTCATCAGTCTTAGAAGGAGTTCTTCTTTATCCTAAGGAACTTGTGTCCTTTGCAGGATATCTGGAGTGACAAAAAAGAAAAAGATTTTATTCAAATTCCTGTGGTCAGGAGATTGAAATAGGCATTAAAACATGTCACAATTGATGCATGCCTTTGGGCTTGTTGTTCCAGATTTTGCTGCACAAACATACCACAGATATCCTAGACCATGAAGACAAACTGGTCTTCCCAGAGGACCAGTAGAAATATGTTCTATATAGGACATTCTACACCATTCTGTATCAGTGACCTTAATATGGGGACACTTGGGTTGGGTCTGTACAGTTGCTAAATCACTCAAACAGATAGAAACATTTGAAAATTGTTTTTAAGAGTATGTCTTATTCCTACATAACGATAATATGTCACATTGTATAGTCATGTGGAAAATTCTTTTAGAAAGGTTTAGAAATGATCTGTAAGTATGCAATACAATAGAAGAATGTATGGGATGAGTCAGTTGAGACATAATAATCCCAAATTTGACTTACAATTTTGTAAAGTTTCCATAATAACAGTTTAATGAGACCGTGCTGGGAGTTGGGAAATGTCTAAAGCCAAGGCTGATGCCAAGATAACACTGTTGTGTCTACACCAGGGCTATAAGTAGTAGTAAGGCAGATACAGTTATCTATTGGTGTTACTGCAGTCAGAACCAGAGTTGGAGCAACAAGATATGGATGAATTAAGATACATCTAGTATATATTATGCAATGCAAGATATGGTATTAAAATCACAACTACAGATGGAAGACTATACCATTCAAAACTGATTAAGACAAGGACAACTATGATACTGGTATAGTATATATACTGAATCAGATATGCAAAATACACTGCATGTGTTGACAATGTTTTATATACTATCACTGAATTTTAGATAGTGCAAAATCATTTAAGGTGAAGGCTTTTGATTCAATCTGATTCATTGCACAAGAATACCCAAAAAAAAGTTTTACAATAAGATTAAAGACATTTTCAACTCATAACAACACAACACAATATGTCAAATAAAAGATGAAATTGATGGTCTTTATCAGACCTCATGCTGAGATGTAGACAACAAAAATCCCCCAGGAAAACGATGGCCACATTTGATCCCAGGTCAGATTGTCACCCTTGTACCACATGCTGGGTAAGGACAGTTACTGAGTTAGGGGGTGAGCTGAATATCAATTAGTTCAAAACATTCCCCAAACTTTAATACACAAAAACCTACGTACTTACACGGACTGACGCCATCCCTGTTACCGCATTACATGGTACAACTTGGTTAAAAACACATGCGGTAAAATAGGACATAACATGGCCAAGGACGGGTCTAAAACGGATTGTGACTAAAAGGAAAGCTGTGTATCCTACAACTGGGGTCAACTACAAGTGGAGGGGTTCCAAATGTCAGACTACCATAGGGATGGGACAGACCATTCATTTACAGGGAGGGTTTGGGAGGACTTTGTGTCAGTATGAGTATACAAACTAAAATCTTAGGATGTTCAAGAACAAGAGATTAAACCTTAAACTAAGTTAAAGTATAGTTACACACATATTTCAGTCTATAAAAATGTTACCTTATTACCATAAAACAGTGGGTTATAGTCTCCCCCATCATCTTTTGAATCTGACAATGCACAGGAGCATATGACAATCATAAGACTTGTCTTCCCTAGAGTGTATACTGTAAAGCATGAAAGTTTTGAGGTGGTCTAATTTTGGCAGTTTTAGTGGTCACCTCTTCACTGTAAATTCATACCACCACAAATATGGCTCCCCGTTATATGACGACAATACCACAAAAATGTTTCAACCGCAAATCCAAAACTTTCGCCCGCGAAACTGCAGATTAAAAACCACTGCAAAACTTTCACGATTGACAGTACATGAAATGTAGTCACTTGGAATTGCATGACTTGTTTGACCTTACATATATACATGTACATGTAAAAGGGGCAGCACTAAATTTACATGTACAAGTAGGTGATAGAAATGATACCTTTACCAGCAATGTTGACATGGCAGAGTTCCAACCTCCTACTAGTCAACATGACCAGACCACTTGACTCTTTAAAAGTCATCAGCCTTCTGCAATCTAAACTCTAGCTGATGACTTTGGCAATCTAACTTTTCAATGTACCAATACTAATTTTAAGGCAGTGTCACAAAACCTTTCTTAAATATCAATTATAAGAATTAGAAATTTACGTCTTACTGAGGAAAAATAAGTTAAATACTGTTGAGCTATCAATTATAAAAATCATAAATATTTGTCTTATGTACTGTGGAGCTATCATTAACAACTCAACTGATATCATAGTGATATAGTTAAAAACAGATCATACTACATACTATAAGCTATCTACTGTCACATTCCTAAATCATTTTCTGCATGTTCATGTAATGCTAACACAACAGGATACTGTACATGCACTTCTTTTCGCAATGGTTTTAATTCACAGTAAGAGGGAAAAGCAAGTTTCTGCAGAATTTGATATTTGCAATTAAAACAATATTTTTCAATACAGTAGAATTATGACAAAATACCTTTTTGTAGTACAATGTATTATGATTTTGCAATGAATATAAAACTACTGCAAACATTTTAAGATTTACAGTACTAAAGAAAGAAGACTCTTTCATCCGGATGATTCACACTTGAGCTGACTCATTAATGTCAATGGCATCGCCCTTCCCACTGTTAGATACACCACATGTTGGGCTGGGCAGATGACACATGGGGACAGGATGGCTCCACCAAGGTCATACAAGGTCATTATCAAACATACCACAAGGTCAAAGGTCACAGTTGGGCTGACTCTAATATCTACTGATTATGTACATCATGCACAAATATTCAAAATGCTTTTACACTTCAACTTAACACTCAATACTTTTTACACCTGTTTTCATAAATCAATCCCCAAAAAACAAATTGTATCTTACGATTCACTTGCAAAACTGGCATGGCATTGGCACTGACACTGGCATTTATTACTGTACCATGTTTAACATGCACGCCTATAAAATACCTCACTCCAACTAGGCCAAAGGTTGAAGCGAGAAAAGTACTTGACATGTACGTGACCATGATTCTCCACCAGTCCTGTTTTTTGTTGACCTCTTTCATACACCTGAATCTCTATAGCCTATACCTCTTGACCAACGCAGGCAGGACTATGGGATTGGTCTGCAGCTGGAAATTGTTTTTGATGCGATCTGTTCAGCTCATGAGATCTATGCAAATTCAATTACTGCAGGAACAATCATATTTAGATGCTGACTATTGGGCTGGTGTATAAAGAGCATGTATTCTAAAAGAGATTACCATTTGTTAAGGTGACAAAAAATCCTGTAACTGGCATGGAAGTTTTTTAAAGAATAGAATTTTAAAGCATGTCCTAGTGTTATTTTTTCTTTCCATTGTCACAAATTCCTTCCTTACCAGTCCCTTTTAGAACTTTTGATCCTGATCTATTATTGATTATTAAGGGACAAAAGCTTCCTGTGATTTGGGCTCCTGGTAATACAGGTAATCTAAGGTCAGTAAGTCCACAGTTCAAAAGACAAGCAAACAAACCTGAACAATACCTTCAGCCTCAGGTTTGAAAGAAGTACATATAACTTGTAAGCCTTGAATTGCCTAGGATAGCTTTGAAGTTTGACAGATAAAGATAACATTTAACAAGTTCAGACAGTTGTCATAGACTCACTGCTTCTGCTTTTAGTAGTGTTAGTAACAACTTACCGTACCATATCAATAGCTGGAGTCAGGATTGAAGAGGCTACTGTAAATTGTGAAATTGTTGCTGTGATTTAATTTTTGTGGTTTTCACAGTGACCTCTCCAATGCAAAGCCAAGACCCTGTGACTTTGTCATCTTTGGGTACCATCAAAATTTTGGGTACCATCAAAATATGTATACCAAGAGTCAAAAGATACAGGTTATCCCATTGTTAAACAATTAGCACCACCATACTTGCGGTTCAAAGGTTCAGAAGAGATGCCGTCATTATGCAATCCCCTCTATCACAAGATCAGTCACAAGTCAATACTGCTATCTGTGTCCTTTCAAAGCAGCCATGCTAAGCCTACGGTAACTGCATACTAATGGTGACAATTTCATGTCTTCTTGAGAAGGCGACCAAGCAGTAGCAATTACCACGGACATTTGTCTCCGGACTGTATGTGTAACATCGCCAATAGGGATCAATACTTAACAGATGTCACCCTTGAAAGAACAATAAAGCACCTAATATGATCATGTCATACACAATTATTCTTAATTTTCAAACTTAATGACCCTTCTGCTCATTACACCCCCTTGCCACTAGAGGATGCAACTGCTTTGTGACCAAATTTTGTCAGATAGCTTCAGGAATTTCAAAGGAGTTTTTTTGTGTGTTTTGTTGTACAGTATTTTAAATCATATTTCTATGTATTGTGTATCATTTTCCAATCACAAAATCAGGGGTCACACAAACCCAATTTTTATTGCTCCATGGTTAATCAGTCATCAATCATTGCCTAGTTTTAAATACCATCAATGAATAACATTGAATTTTCTGCAACACAATATTAAACAGACACTGTACAGTCCACGTAGTTTCAAATTCAAGCCTACAACTTTGTTCTAAAGAATTATTCAGAGCTAGTAATATCCCTCAATCATTTGTAGAAGCATTATGCAGGCCAGGGGGTCTCAATGTGGAAACTGTGTAATCTTATTAACATCAGGAGTGTAGATAAACCAATCAACTATAAAGCACACGAGATTTCTCCAGTGTCACTGACGAAAGGTAGTGGATGCTACCTAAAATGTCACACACGATGACATGACACTCACACACACATTGTCACACATTTCAAAACATCAATAATAACATCAAAACATCAATTCATGACATCATATTCTAGATCCCGTGGGATATCATCATAAAATTCAAAATGGTTTTCATATATGTTGCCTTCTTGTACACAAATTATGTCAGGAATGGTGGAAGAGAGTAAACAAAGCAGCTCCCCGGCTTCTAAACATAGACGTGACAAACAAACGTCATCAAGTCTGGCCCCAGGTCAGACGTCAAGATGTTGTTTTGGAAAGGAACACCAACTGTATAGTTTTTTACGGGAACACTACAGGCTTTAAATAAGGCAGTTTAACTACAGTAGTGTTCTATACAGATGGTCAGGTATTAAGGCAAACTAACGATTTGGGTGCAGCGCTTCCTTTGGGAATATTACATTTACGACACGTGAATATTGAAAGTTTTTGGCAACCTTGATAGACCAGAACGACTCGGCCTACGCCCCCCTCCCCCTTCACGTACCCGGACATCCCTGCTTCCACACATCAATCTGGTACGATAACCGCCTGTCAGGGACGGTCTGGGGTTACCATCCGTAACAATGAACCTTCTGTACAATAAAACAATCCACTCACGTCTTCGTGAAGCTTTGGAAACTTTCCAGGCGGCTGGTAAATTCTTGTGATCGCTGAAATCCGGGGATAGGTGCAGACGGACAGATTCTTCGAGCACCGACTTTCGAAGGTAAATCCAGCGTTAGAAAGCCCTCGACAACAACAGCTGCTAGAATGGGCTATCTACGACGTATAAATGAGCTACAAGGCTTTCAATCCTACGGCTCCTTCGTCCAAATCGTCTTTACATTAAGCAAAATATGACTAAAACTCTAAATCAGGTGATTACACCACCCTCTAGTGGCCATTTTCTGGGTCAGCCTTATTACACACTTGGCGCTCTCCGTCGGATTACTGCGCGACCGTACACCTGAGTGTTAATACGCGGATTGACGTTAATGAGTACGTCTTTTGTGGGCCTTTTCTCAGTCGATGGCCGTACTCCACGCATATCTATGGGATATTTGCTCATAAAAAGCAATATTTTCCTTGTCAAACTCGATACGTCGAGTTTTACGAGAAGCAACAGTGGTTGGAAATTACAAGTGTTGATGCACAGCGCCCTCTAGTATGGCAGAACATACTGCAGTCCATAAAATTCGTCTGCAAAGCCATTCCAGGCTGGAAGGCAATCATATTGAGATTTCTTTGTTGATCTACATGCTTACTTCCATACACGAAAATACATCAAATAAATGACATGACAACACAGTTGGTTCTCAATACACCATAGTATATTTTTTTCGGCTGCACCATTTTGTATCAGACACATCTACCAGTATCAATCATCTTTTCGTTCAGATCATTCAGATGTAGCGTTACATTGGATGCCATGAACATATTCATGCCATATTGTGTTTTATTCCATTTCCTTCATCACTGGCCTATTTTCGGCATTTCAGTACCAAAACCTCTTGATGGAAGTACAATCCCTTGTTCCAGTTTCCTAACTAATAATGTAACTAATGCCACCGTATGAAGTATTGCAACCGAGCAGTCCAAAGCATCAAGCAAAGTATGCCACAATCATATTTGTATGGCTCATATCAAGACTTATAAATAAGACAAAATGTTCCTCCATCATCTTCAGACAATTCAATAAAAAATAACAACTGGCATTGTCTGTCATTTTCTTCTTAACCAAAAATGGATTGACGATTTCCTTTTTCCAAGAACGTCATTACCTGTGCCTTTTAGCAGCCTTTTACAATATGTCTAGCTGTTTTAGTTCTGCTTACAGTTTTGTCCAAATTACAATCTTGTGTTGTCTTACAGCTTTTGACATACAGCATATAACAGATCTTACCATGTTGCCTAGCATACACTCATTTCAAGGCTGCACAATGCTTGCATTACTGGCTCACCTTCACAATACTTGGTCACACACATGGACATACACTTGCAGATTTGACATGGCTGTACAATGATATCATGGTACACGAATGTAGAACATGTTCCGCTTGCTGTATCTCTGGTATGGCTTGGCACACTGATTTCCATACAAAACCCCTATGGACTAGTCAACACCACTGACTTAAGACTGACTTAAGACTGATACTTGATATCCCAAACCTCAACAATGGTCATACACTGTGACTTAAATAAGCAACCTAAACCGTATGGAGGCACTTCCTAGAACCAAGTGATGTCTTGGTACACTACCAGTAATAATATAGTTACTTAGTAACTGTTGACAGTACAGCAGAATGAACTAATACATTGGCTGATAAAAATTGGAAAGATTTTTTTACGTGGATTTTGATTGACGGTCAATCTTAATTCCAAAAGTATATACATGAATAACCTGTGACAAAAAAATTGTTAGATAGGATATGAAGAAGGCCAGTGGGTTGAAGAGTCCAATTTGAAAGGTTTCAGTAGAATTTCCTAGTTTAAGTCCGCAAAGAGGACTCCTGGTAGTGAACTGTCAATACCATGATAACAGTAACTGAGTCAGTTACTGTTATCGTCGTAGTGAGAATGATATGTCTGGGAAATTTGGAAGCAGTGATTTTTATCTACACGAACCTATCTACATCAAGATAAGCAACCAACAGAACAATCAGATAACTCTTGTCACTTCAAATTTATTCCGTAATTCTTTTTTTTTCTCTTCAATTTCCTACAACTCCACACCACACTATGTAATAGCTCCATCATTCTCACTTTTGACTTTTATAGTACAGTACTATTTGAAGAGCTTTCCATATTAAAGGAGGCTTCTGTTTGCCATTGCACTTGCTTCAAGTAAATTCATTTTCACTTCAGACTCTTTTCTTTCCAAATTTGAAGTGAACACATAAATTGTTTCAACTGACTTGCATGAACGGCTTTGGAGCTTGCTTTGCTTTGCAATCAATCAATAAATCATTTGCAGGTTTCAAGTTTAACTTTTCTTGTGCCTACCGACCAAGCATGGTAAGTCATACATGTACAGAACACACAGCTTCCTGCTGTATTTGCGTTTTACTTTTTTTACTTCTCATTTGTTGCGATGACTAACATTTGCGGCATGACTGGTCACGTCAACACTGGCACCATGCAACACGTCACTTGTAGTGGATGACAGAGGTGGAGAATAACAGCTTCTTTTTATTTTTGTTCTTCTTCTTCTTTCCTCCTGATGTCTGGGCTTCAGTTGATGCTTCTGTGAAAAAAATAAAAACTTTATTTTTCTGCCAAACATTTACTAAGCATGATAAAGAACAAACTCTCAAAACTATGCTATCTCAAATTTAACTTTCTCGAACAGTAATGTTTATGAAGATTAGACAATACAAGCCCCAGATGTATTGTGCAAGCACGTCTAACCCTCGGAAGACGGGGAACAACAGACGATAAACCGGACAGTGAGTGTGAGTGTGAGTGAAACTCGATTACTGGATAAAATTCAGAGACCTTTGTCATTCTGCCTGTCAATCTTCCCCAAATCTATCAAGACAAACAGACACACAAACCATCAGCTCAGCCACCCAAATCAATACTTCCATACCCGTATTCTACAGAGTAACATTTCTGTGGTTTTACCTGCAGATCCGTCTAGGTTGCCTAGAGCCTGTGCGATGGCCTCGCTGAAGGAGTTCTGGTATGTCGGCGCGGGAACCCAGTCCTCGCCCGGCTCATCGTCCTCGCTGTCTGCACTGCTGCGAGACTTACGGACTGGTTCAACTGTAGAAAAGTAGCAGTGTTTATTCATCTTGTCTATTCATGTTTTATTAAGCCAGGGTGGCCCATCTCAGTGGTATTCACTGCTTTATAGTTGGGCCCTGGAAAACACATATATTACATATAAATTTGAGTCCAGTATTCTACTGTGGATTTTCAATCTCAAAACAGTTTTCATGCATATATAGGAAACTACAAACCGTGGAAACTACAGCTACACAAACCACTCAAGACTTACCTTTTTGTTCCTTGGCTACTGCTGCTCGTGGCCAAACCTCTGGCTTAGCTTGGCCTGACCTCAACATCTGTAACAGATCCGGAAACAGAATAAGTGTCATGTAGAATGAGGACTATAACTATTCAGTGATGTTGAGATAGTCAGCAGGTGGATTAACTACAGCAACAAGAGTGTACTTTACCTGAGCGAATGATGGAGGTGGTGGGTAGAATGGCGATGTGTCCTCGGGTGCTGCTTCAGCTGCAGCTGCAGCACCTGCTGCTCCTGGCACAAACTCCACTGCAGCAGGGTTCAAGTTCGAACCTACAGTACAAAAAAGTAAAGGAATTAATTCATCTTCAATAAACCATTCTTTTAGTCCCCTTGTTCATTTTTGTGTGAGTCAGCAAGGAACAAGAAGAAATCAGAGAATTTTTCTAACCTTTAAGTACATCCTATTTCCTGTGTCTGACCTTATGACTTGTCATTCTGCCTGACAATCTTCCTCATCAACATGCTATCAACATACTCTGTCCTGACAGACACACAAGCCCACAACTCTGCCTCCCAAAAACAATACTTCCATACCCACAAATACAAAAAAATGATTGCCATTCAAACAATCAACACAGAAGATATTAAGTGTACGCCCCACTGACCTGGTGATCCTATAGGAGTCTGGACAGAAGAAGAGGATGCGGACCCAGGGCTCTGAGACAGCTCGGGTTCCCGGTTCTGTGGGTACAGGGGGTTCCGCCACTCTGGGAACTCATGTCTGCTCTCCAGGGCAGATCGCAGGTCAGGGTCTACGTCACCAACAAGGAAATACAAGTTTATAACATGTCCAGACCCCAATACCGGTACTACTTGACTGCAAAGACAGACAGGTTCGATTTACCAAATGTTGACATGCTCATGAACAGAACTTCAGTGCCTGACATACATTTTCCCAGCATCTTCTTGGACTCCTCCTCAGAGATCCTGCGGTCTCGCCGCTGCTCCTGACGGTGCCTCTTGGCCCGAGCCTGCTTCCTCTTCTGAATTTCATCTGGGGAAACAGATAGAGTTAACTTATTGTCTTTGTGAGCACCAATTTAGAAACACCCTTTTCCTCTGTGGTTTAAGAACCACACGAAGAAGCCACAAGGAATTACTGGAATTCCTGATTTTTTTTACTAGTACATTCACTGTTTTCACTGTCAAAAATCATTATCTTTCGCCCATTCCCGGGCCCCCCTCCCCTGCCATTGCCACCACTATGTTTAGTTCCATGGCTGTGTGCATTTTCTTCAGACAATGAAATTTTGCTACTGTCAAGACAAAGTAAATTACAGTATCTCACCATCAAAAAAGCGCAGAGTTGCCCGGGACACCAGCGGAGGTTTGAGAGCCAGCTCGCACACACTGAACTCACAGGTCAGCGGCAGGTGGCTCAGGTAACGCAGACGTCTGCGCACATCCTGCAAAGTCAACAACATCCATCTTTAATTTCTCTAACTAATCCAAAAGATTCTCTTACTGTTAAGGGCCTGGTAATACACATTGTGCAAAACAAATAAACAACAAACATACTCACTTCTGTGGTGAATTCTTGGTCTATCTCCACAATCTTGCCACTGATTATTTCAGGGCAGTTCTCCAGACTTCCATACTCCTGCAACAATATACAGAACATCAACTCAGAAACTAGTCCTCACATCTGTCAAGTATTACCTCAACTTGACAAGTATCCTAGAAAGACAGCGTACAGATCATCAGAATTCAAACTGGGAACATTGCAGCATTTCAAGCACCCAACATTGAAATGGCAAACTACTGAATACCACGAAAGAAGCTGTATCATATCTCTACTTTTCCAATGGCATTTATAAAAGTGTGATCTTACCTTGACAAGGCACTTGATGTTCAGAGAGTAAAGGTATAAGTGCTGGCCATCGTCAGCTGCAGTGGGTAGAAAAAAACAAGTACACAACAACGATAATAAACAGACTTGACATATAAAAAAGCAGTATTGATATGTTTCTGGCTTAGAGAGAAGAGATGTTGTTCCATGAATTCCAAATTAGTTCTGTCTCTAAACTGAGCAAATTTGTTAAGACAAATTTCCCAAGGCCAGTTTCTACATTGCAGACAGCTTAATTAAAAGATGTTTCATACCTTGGTAGAAATAAAAGAAGTTCTTGGCCCCATAAGGGAGGCTGGTTGCCTCATGACCAGCTGTTGCTCCCTGACAAGAGGGGGCATCGGAGCTGGCCGTAATTTCTTCTGACTCTTCTTTCTCATTAACACTCTGGTCCAAAACGTCTTGGTTCTGAAACTCAGAGAGGGCTGTAGGTTCTTCTGCTGGATTTAAGATGCCTTCAACAGCAGTGGGGGACAGTGGAGCTTCCCCAGCTGGCTCCAAGACACCTTCGACAGCGATGGGAGAGAGTGGAGCCTCCGCAAGATCAGGATTCTCCATCTCTTCATCGGAGAAGGCTGATGCATACTCCACTGTAGGCTGAGGACACATTTGGATCATGTTAGCATAGGTTAGGATGGGAGCTTGACTACATCATGCTTGTGGCAGCCCTTCCACTGGTCAGGCCCCCAGAAGCTTGATGGCCAATACCTTAAGTCAGGAGAATTAGGCGCATCTTAATCCTGTCGATTTATGCATGTGTGCTATCATGGACAAATAATTGTTAGACTGAGAATTGTGTTACCGTAGTGTTAAAGGCAGTGATGACTAGTGCCATCGACAAAATTTTGAGCTCCCATTGTACTACTTTCCATAGCTGATACAGAATCCTGAGCTGCTATTGGTAGTTCTGGGAATGAGTCTCTCGAGTTAGAGGTATCTTGCCACAAGCTCTCATAGATGGGACCCAATCAGCCTGACTGTGAGAAATTATAACACAGGCTAATAACACAAGTGTTCAAACAATAGGTTTGTCGTGTAAAGTTTGACATTGATGTTTCACCTTGGTGGCCTGCCAGGTGTTCTCTGGAGGTTTGTCCTCCTGGCTGTCCTCCACCTGCCCTCCCTCCTCTGTGCTCAGCCCAGCAGCTGCAGCTGCCAGCTGGCCCACCTGTGTCTCTGTGACAATCTTCTCTTCCCGTTCAGTCAGACTCTTCAGGGCTGCCTCAATGAAGCAAGCTTCTGGGCACTAAACATGTGTTAAATACATTAGTTCAGAATGGTTAAGAAGTATAGCAAAACAACTTGAATCCAAGACTAAACTATGGTTAATGTAATTGCTGTTTATGTACTTACATCCTTCTCCTTTTCCAGTTGATCCTGTAACATGGCCTTCTCAGGACCAATGATCTGTTTGTGTACCTGGTCACTGGAGGCAACCAGGAGTTTCACAAAGCGAGTGTCCACTTCATCTGAAACAATAAATGAATGTTTTTCATGATTGCTTACAGGCAAAAGCACAAAAAATATCCCTATTATACTTCTGCATTTTGAGCTACATGTAACGAGACATAAACGATGCCTAATGAAAGTTGTGAGTAAAACATACACAAGGCTGTAACAAAGGGCTTTAATGTCCTATCTGTGAGATATTCACCATCTATGTTGAAAGGTTGAGTTCCTTTGTCTGCCTGCTGTTTCCACTGAGACACAGGCAGTGCCACGACAGACCCACGTTCACGTTTCATCAGCCGCATGGTGATGGTGCCACCAACAGCATACTGGGGAGCTGCCATCGCAACCACACTGGAAAGGTTTCACATTTCATAACATTAATATCTAATGGCACATCATATTGAGAGATTTAGAACTAGAAAGTCTGCATTTGCAAGCAAATTAAGCATATTTCACTCCAACATCCTCATGCAAAAATGGACTGTACCATCCATATCAACATTTGTAAAAATGGACCATAGCAAAGTTACTTCTACCCTCAAGAGGACAATCCCAACACTATCCCAAAATTGAAGAATGGACTCTTCCTGAAAACACTGCAATGCAAAATGGACTCCAAAAGTTTTAATTTTTAACATACTGAGACAATATTAGGTGCAAGGTGACACACGTGGCACAAGATAAACATACAGCAAAACTCAAGAGACCTTTTGAGGTCTGCCTTGTGGACAGCGTCGTAGCAGATCGGACACTTCCTCCAGGACTTGTCGGACAGTGCCAGGTAATGTAGGATACAGGGCCAGCAGTAGATGTGGCCACAGCGGGTGATCTTAGCCGCAGTGGGCGGGTACAGGCAGATGGGACACGAGGGCACCTCATTACTGAACAGGCGCTGCAACACAAAATGATATATTTAGAGTTTTGAGAATTTCTTGTTTTATTCATTATTGTGAACTTCTCTTTCTACCTGCTTCACTTAAAAACTGTGATAGAAAAACAACAACAGTATACAGATACAACTTAGTCTACAGATTAAGATGCAAAGATAAAATTCTCACCACTTGTTCAATGCTGCTCCAGTCTACTAGAGTGTCTGGGTCTGCAGAGTGCACAGTGTAGTCCCCGGTATCACGCACCACAAACTGGCAGCTAAGAACAGATAGCACACAATCAGCACCTAACTAACACCTTTTAAATTGTACAATCAAACATATACAAGTGACCTCTACAGAACAACCATCTGGCCAATAAGACCCATTTTTCAAAAGGTTTTGGTGGTCCTTAGATAATTTTTCCCATTGACACAAGATTAAGAATCCTGTCTACAGTGACCACTTGTCCACATAGACCAGAATTTATCAGTCCCCTTATTGGTCGTATGACAGGCATATCCATGAACAAACCTTAAGACACCATCACAATTCCTTACTTTGACTGAAGAAACTGCTCCTTATTGAAGGGGTGTGTGGCCCTTCCTTTGCGTCCCCACTTGTTTCTGCTCTTCCAGGAGGTGTGCTGCCCCCCTCCGTACTGAGAGGCATTCTCCCTCCGTTCGTAAGTGAAGTTGAGTAAATGGTTCAGGTTCATCTTCCGAGAACCCTTCTGCAAGGCTGAGCCCACCTCAGCCTCGCTCTCCTTCGCTACCTGTGGTTCATACAGAAATTTACAATCTTTTTAAATGACAATCCATTCATAGCTTCTTGAGTTATCGTGAAAAAAAACACACAAAAAAAAACAACAACAGAAAAGTGACTACAGGGCATGTGCCTACTCCTAGAATTTTTCTGAACCGGTCACATAATACTAGTATACTTAAAGGCTCTGCCCCAGAGGCATCACCAAAAACATATATAACATCAGACATGTCTAGCAATAAAATGTAATGTGTTTTACCTTTTGGGTACATTCAGTAACAAGCAGAAATAAAATCATCTTTCAGCACTGTTGCATCAATCATACTAGTCAAACTGCACTCACTACTTCCCTATCAACAACCTAATATTGCATCACAATGACACAACATTCCACTAACCCACCTCGTCACATCTCCCGGGATTGTAATCACTAGTATTGCATCTGGACCGTGGGCGCTTGTCAAAGGACCTGTCAAATGGCTTAGTCTTCTGTGTCTGAGGCCGCCTCCCCTGGCCCAGACCGCCGGGTCGCGGTCGGCTGCCATAGTTTGGTTCTCTCTTCCTGTCGTATTTGGGGCCTGTATTTCCTCGGCCTTTGCCATTCTCTGAAATAGTAAGTACAATGTATTTGTATGTGTACATTTTGTACTTATGTTCACTGTAGCCACAAAAAAAGAAGAGATAGTCACTGAGTAAAATTTTTAGTCAGTACAGTATGATTTAACCATGTTGGATTACAGTGTATGTCTTCTTATGTCTGTTAAAAATTCAACATGCTTCTGCTGTGACACACTTAATTACCCAACAACAATTCCTGCTGGATATTCAAATTATAATTACATTGTATTGTGACATCTAAGAAAAACCCCTATTCATTGTGTTTATCACAGGACCTATAGAAAACCAGTTACAGTCTTCTTTGTTGTTACCGGTATACCCAGGTAGCACAGATTCAAAGTCCAAGGGGGTGTGTCCCTTACACCTGCTTCAGGTTTTGGGTCGGTCAGGGAAATTTGGATCTTTGAAAATGACAACACGTTTGGTTCACACATCATGCACAGCATGTTATTATTTAGGCCGTAGGGTTGCGTTCACACGTAACAATCACTGCAACGACACACTTGAAGTCACGAAAACATCCGGGTTGGTATGCTGACTGTACAGTTTTCCAATCAACAGGTGCAGACCAGTACAGTATATGCGAGTTACACAAACACAATCCAGAGAAATTGTTTCAATCCAAGCAAAATATGTATCCTTTAATCGACAGTTTCATAATGACCCACTTCTTTAGAAGTATTTGAAAAAGAAATGAGAAGACAGAGTTGTTGTTTTTTTTTTCGTGACGACCATGACATGGCCTAAATATTTTTGTGTCGCCGTGTTGCGAACCAGCCGAAAACATACCTTGTTTTCCACTCTTATTCCCATCCTGCGATTGCCCCTTGGTGGGCCCTGCAGACGGAGAACGACCAGAAGACTTTCTTTCCATTTGTTCCGGAGTATCTACCATGGACAATGAACGACTTGGGCAAAAACGCCGCTCCAAATGTTGGAGAGACTCGACCAGCACTCGACTTCATCTTTTTACAGCTTCATCTTGACTCAACCTAGATACCCAAAAGAAAACAACTTCTCTCCAATGCAGAAGAGCAGTTGAATAATAAATTCAACGGGGTAGGAAGGAAAAGAATGCGAAGAAGTAACTGGGGGTGAATTGTCCCCCAATTACACGCTTATTACCCCAAAATTTGGGGCAAAACACGGAGGAAAATTACAACTCTCCCTCCAAGATGGCGCTTCCCTGCCGGTATGTAAGTATCCCGGATGTCTCGCGAGGTCTCGTCACAAAGACGTCTGCAGTTCTCGCGAGATAAAATACTGCGCCCTGATTGGCTGTCAACTGAGCGCAGAATTTCAAAGTTTGTTGATGCTGCTCCTGTGAAAACCACAAGGTCATTTCCTGCAGATTTCGCCGAATTTGTGGGTAAATGTTACATTCTATTCTAGTATCAAAGAGATCATGAGCATCAGAAAGTCCTAGAGTCGCTATTGATAGCGTCTTGATACTCAGATTGTATTTCAGAAGCTTCCAAATAGCTTGATAATTTTGATGCTCCTGTCTTGACGTCTCTTTACTATGGCCTTTGGCTTTAGGCCTTTGGGGCTGCCCCGTGTGGAACAAATTATAGTACTTTTTCGTCCATTGCCTCACAAGTTAGTAGACCGACAGATTTTAAGTAGAAAGATAGATATACGCTTTCTTGTAAAGAGTAGCCTTGCATCTTGTATGATAGGATTTATGCAGGCTGAAAATATGGTAATACTAATGCTGTGGTATTTAAATTTTGGACACATGCATCACATATTAATATAATGCTTTGTTGCTAACTGTAAAGCATAATGTCCCATATCAATTCCTGCTCAGGTTAGATTATGGAGCTGCTGAGTGAGTTTGACCCAGCCCTGCCTATGGGTGCTAACTACTGCAGTAACCAGCTGACAGCTGAGGAGTATGAACAGCAGGGGTCCGACGCCACCAGACAGGCACTTCTGGTAAAAACTCTTCATATTTTTCTTATCATGATTTAATCCTGGTTAGTTTTACCACACAGTGTGATTTTTTTCTCACCCAGTATAATTTTGCAGGTCTCAGAGGATTAAAACATGTCATTCTTCACTGCCTATCTTTAAGTTTTGATATGTGTTCGATCAAGATTGAATTTAAGCTACATGTACTTGACGGGTATGAGTATGACCTCCTTGGTTCAGTATGCCCATGTCAATTTTTCTGTCATATTCATTAGTGCCCTCTATGGTCCATTGCAGGAACTACAGGAGGCGATGAAGCAAAATCCTGAGCTGTACAGACAGGTTCTGGGGAAGAAGAGAATAGACGAGGGAAATGTCTTCTCAAAACTCAAGGTTGTTAAGCTTTGTGTTTTTACTATCATCCCTATAATACAAGTGTATTTATCTTTTGCAGTTCTGAAAATAACATTATCCTCCATTATGTAATTCATAAATACATGTAGTATGCCACAGTTAAAAGTGACCGTATTGGGAAGCATTTTATACTTATACTGATAATAAAGAGTTTTGTGTTTTTCCATACATAAACCAGGGGAAGCTGATGACTGCTGTGAAGGGTGATGAGTATGGGAAGGAGAAAGTGACAGAGTTGGAAACTCAAGTGAAGATGGCCGAGCTGCATGAAGAGATGTTTAAAGTGTTTGACTATGCACAAGGTATGTTCAACACCGATCCTAGTCTCTACCAGACTCGAATGAGTTATCTGGAAAATGCAGAGAAATTGGCCAAATAGACTGAATAATATGCCCAAAGAATCCATGGGTTGCAATGTTACATATACATGTACCTTGTGAAGAAGAGCTGATTGAAATTTTGAAAATAGTAAAAGATCACTTGTGTTCTTCTTCAGAGGAAAAGACCATGACTAGAAAGTCTCAGAGATTGGCAGAAAAAAGAGCGAAGAAAGTCAAAGAGCAGCCAGCTGCCACCCCCGAGAAATCTTCCTCTGGTGAGGGGGATACCTACACTACACCCCCTCAGTTTGTCCCACCACCCCCTCCCCCGTACCCCCCTCCAGTAGTGGGTACGCCCATGGCACTCAGGGAGAGAACCAACATGCAGTCTACTCCTGCACCTGCTGCCAAGAAGAGGGTTGCTGACAAGAATGGGTATGTAACATTCTATGATACATGTACATGTAGCTCATTAACAGGCAGCCATATCAATGTGCTAAAGTTTAATTAGGGCAAATGCAAACTTTTAGATTTAGGTATGAAAAAGCTATATATTTGCTTCTTAACAATTCACTGAGCAAAGTAGATCTCAATATACTTATTTGTCAGTCTTCAGCTTAACCCATTGTTGCTATATTGTGCAGGCCCATGCATGGCTCCAGCACATCTATCAACAGTGTCCACTCTGAGCTCCTGGCCTCCAACCAGATGCTTCGCCTCAGGCCAACAAGGGTTAAACGGTGTGTAGTAACATTTCTCAGTTGACACAACAAAGTTGGTACCTGGGATATTAACAATTGACCATTTTAACACTGCCACAGATGCAATATGTCTTTCAGATACGTTTTGTCTTTTAGTCTAAGCACATTTACGCATGCAGGATCCTTTTTCTCTCTTTTTCTAACAGCATGAATCAGAAAGTTGTTCGCAGAAACTTACTCGTTGGTAAGCAGACAAAATCAAATATGGCTGGCAGGAAGATAAGGTGTTTGCTGGGTCGAAATTCTGAACATTCAAGAAATTGGCAGTGGTATTGACACTCATTTTAGTCATGACTTAGTTTGCTTGTTTCGGTATAGACCAAATCGTGACTCACTGTCATAATTAGCGGTTCTACCAATGAGAAAGTGGCTGAAATGTTTGCATTTATCTTTTTATCTTGGATTTCTTCATCTTGAAGTACATTGGTGGGGCCATGGCATCAGACTATTGTGTCTCAGGTTTCAATGCCAATCCTGCTGCACTTCTTCCACAGATCTCCAGGAGGCACCCCGTTCTACCGCTCCAGACACGCCCGCCCTAAGCTGAAGGCTGTGGAGATGTCGTATGACAGCGTCAGCAGCTTCAACCTCAGCAGTCCATTCAGCCTCTTCAACTGCTCCCTGCTGCAGAAGTTCCGCAACGCCCGCAGCCCAGCCAGTCCCGCAGACAACCCGCCAGACTCCCCACACAGCCCAAATACCTTCTCTCCCTGAAAATTCACATACATTTTTGACCACATATCTTTGTACAGCCTTGTCTGTTTTATCTTTTCTTTCATTCATTGAATCATTCATTATAATTCAAATCAAAGTACAAATGTATATAAATATTTGTAACTCCTTGTTGGACTTCAAAACAAAGAGTGTGGTCAATAAGCTTAGTTTGTTTCAACAGTGTTGTCAATCATATCAAAAATGACTGTGCTTGTCCAATATCATATCATTTTGTTATGGTGACTTCTAAATACTTGTAGTAGTTTACAGTAATCATGCTTGTATATTCTGTCACAATTTCTGAACCTTTCAAATTACCATTTTCTGTCAGCAACTTATTTTAAATGTTCTTGATCCCTGAGAAAGTGTTCAAAGATGATACATGTATACACAGAGGATCGACTAGATCCTACACAGCATCATGGTTAGGTAACATTACACCTTCTTCGAGTTCAAGGTAATCGAGAGCTCAAAAGGAGGACATGCATATACAAGCTCAAAGTCCCATTAGCTAGAAACAGGGCCAGTGGCCAGTAATATATAATTTTGTTAATCCCAATGTAATCTCAGGTTTAACTTGACAACATTCCAAAAACTGAAGAAAGGATCATGAAATTATGTCTTCACTGTAAATACATGTACATGTATGTCCACAATAGCTATGCTCAGCACAAAGGTACAGATATTAGAAAAAAAAGAAGCAAAGATTAATATTTTTCAACAAAATCTTCAAGAAACTTACGATCATGTCAAAGTGGAAAAATAGTGCTGAAGAATTTATGTTAAGGTTAGTAGCAGGTAGATGCATTTTTTGGCTCATTGTAAGCAAAAGCATTGTTTAAAAAACCCCAGTTTTTCATCTTAGATGTGCCAGCAATCTCAAGTTGAATTTGCACATTTATAGGTTGGTTATTATGTTGACATACATTTTCTGTATCACTGTATGTAATACTATAATAATATTATACACATGTTAAAAGGATACCAAAGAGACTGTAACAATACAGCCTTCTACTAAAAATGTATATGTGAAACAATATGCAAAAAATAAATGCTGTAACCTCAATGTTGTAGTACTTTTTATTTTGATAAAATTATCTATTTTGCTATATTTCCTTTAATAACTGAAGAAATATACCAGTTTTTGTAACATATTACCTACAAGTAAGAAATGATCTAACCTTAACATTTCCATCTATGTTTTGTGTACATGTATTTTACAACCAGAATATAAAGGAGCTTGAAAATGCTGAGGATGTTACAAATGTATGTAGTTCCTGATTACTTTTTATTTGTTCATTTGGCTAATGTACACTCCTTCAGAAATACTTTTAAACATAACCTTAATCAATTGATATGTTTTGCTTTTCTTGACAATTACCAAAAATTCATTTTTCCTAAGGAATAAATCACTAATAACAATCACTTGTTTATGCTTTGGTAAAAAAAAACGATACGTTCTTGGCTAAGTGTTGAAGATACCAGTAATTTTCTTATCTAAAGGCTAATTTTGTTTGCCTTCAGGACATTGTTCAAGATATTCTTAAAAATCCAATCAGTTGGTCCATTATTCTATACCACATTTTAGGGAGAAAATTGTATGGAACTTTTGGCACAATTTAGAAACTTCCCTTCCCTGCCTAAGACTTTGTCCTATTCATAATAAGTACATTTGTTCACAATTGTCAGCTTTGACACCATAGGATCTGCTTGAAGATTAAGGCATCAGTGCAACGTGCTATTCTGGGCAGCCCTGGTTTCCATGTAAAACACTTGATTATTACATCCCTAATGGCTACTAGTATTTAAAAATTCCCAACTACACTGTGAAATCAAAACATTTTAACACATGACATATTCAGTCCAAAACTACCATGTAGACCACCATAATACAGGACATAAACATTCTATCTCAATATAATGTATCTAGGAATCAAAGTGTACAATGCAGGTGATGGTGCAAAGACTTGTTTACATTATAAGACATTTTTCGTCTGACTACATAGTTCATGTAATGCTGTTTTTCAACTGTACAGTATATAAGGCAAGAAGATTGAAGGCACTTGGCTTCCCTGACACGGACTTAACATAGAAATAGAGATATCTCAAAATACCTAACTTCTACATAATGTGTGAAAAGTTCTTTTTTTTTTCAAGATTTGTTCAACTGCTCAGTACAAGCAAGGACATTGGTACAAGGCACCTTTGTTCTAACAGATCTATCTGCAGACACTACAAATTCTCTTATCCTAGCTCCAAAGTCCTACGTCCTCACCGCAAATAGGATGTAGGACTCGAGAGCTATAATAGGTTTGGTAACCAGGCTAAAATTCTCTAACTTTGACCATGAGTAACCTCAGGCCTGAGTATCGTCCTGTCCAGAGAAGGCGCTGAAGTGGGCGGGAGTGGCATATTCAGTGGTCGGAGTGATCTCGGCCTCCACCTTGACCTGTGAGCTAGACACTTCGGGAGTACGGGGGATGGATTCCACGCTGATGCCATTTTCACGGAGAGTCTTTCTCAACAGGTCGATTTCCTGAAAGTACAGAACAGGTGAATGGAATAAGTGAGTTCACGGTTCCAACTGTGCATGCGCAAGGTCAAACGTAAAGGTCCTGACTTGTAACAGTTCTTGCTAATACAGTTCTCGCAAGCTCATGCATTGATCACTGTCCACACGTACGGTCAACACATTCGCGAATAACAGTTCTTAACCTTCTCCCGGCTGAAGTAGGGTTTAGGCATCAAATTTGTATTATAGGATTAGAGCAGGGGGGAAAAGGTTAAAAATCAATAAGGCAACATTGTCACTCTGACAGAAGAACCACATTTTAAGGCCTTCCTGGTGACTATTTCCTGCCCTATCAAAGCTTGTAGAACCTGCAGTGTTCTAAGAGGAAAAGTTATCACAGTGTACATGCGTACCTTCTCCAGGTCATGTGCGTGTGCGATCATCTTGTTCAGTTCCTCCTGTACCTCCTGTCGAGCTTGCTTGTGGGCGTTGATCTTCTTCTCAGCCGTGTGCTGCACTGACATCAGGATGCCTTTCATCGTGAAAAATATGAAGAAAATTCTAAGCAGCAAAATCACATTTGTTTGCCAAGGAAATAAACTTTTTTTCTCCCTGGGGGCTGTAGGATGCAATTACTAGAACGTATAACTAGAAGATTTCAGACTTCCAGGGGGTTTACGGAAAAACCTGGGCTGTCTACCTTACCAGGCTACCTTACCAGTCTACCTTGCCTGTCTAGGACGTCAGGCTACTGAACTCCCCCCATCCACAGCCTCACGAACAGCAAGACTTCCAAGCAGCTGCGCCCCCTGGCGGAATGCATCAGAATTGCACCCACTACTTTGGCACGTGCGTGTGCACAAACCTGTGCAGCATGGAGTTAAACATAGCCTGACTAATCGCGCTCCTGGCGGTCGTCGACCCGAAGTGGGTGGGGGTCATTAACCTCTTGTGTAACACAGGCTATGTTAACACAGCAAGAAAACACAAATTTAGCACAAATTTAGCACAAATAAATATACGCTATGTGCTATACGCTATTGACAATCATCGTCACTCGGCGTGGTTACCCAAGTGATGTCAATGTGTCAGGAATGGGGTGTAAGTGAAGAGATGTCACACGTTGTGCGATAGCGATTCAGTCGCTTCAGCGATTCTTCATTTGAACGTTATTTTTCGTTGAAGGGTAAAATTTTTAACATCATGTCTTCTTTTTCATTTTTTTGTTTAATTCTGAAAAGATACTTTTACAGCACATAGACCCGTCCTAACCTCCGTCATACGATAACATTTGGACGTCCTTATCTCCACATGGGATAATCAATTCTATAAGCTACATATTATCGAATTACATGGATAAACAAACACATGCTATGACCGAGAGAGAGGCCTTGTTAAGGGACTGTACGACATTTACCGGGGGGAGGGCTGGTGCACTGGGGGGGGGTAGGGCCATTGAAAATTTTTTTGGCCTGGGAGGAGGGCCATGGAAAAAAATTTTGAGCTGGGGGGAGGGCCATCGAAAAAAAAAATCGGCCTGGGGGTAGGGCCACCGAAAAACTTTTGTAAAAATATGGCGTCGCGGAGTACCGAATTACAAGAAATACGCCGTAAATTCCCGAATATAGTACGCACTTTTTACATTTTTCAAAATCCCAGAAGTGTCTCGGGCCGTCGCCAAAGTCGCGGTGCGTACTTTATTGAGTTTTCCGCCGACAAAATCCGTGGACGGACCCAGGAATATAGCGGAACACCGGCACGGGAGCTTGGAACGACATCGATTCGTCCATAGCATGTTTAGATAAGAATATTGACGAGTGGAAATAAAAGTTAAACTTACAATAAAT